TTCAGGTCAAAGGTCTGAATCTATTGTCCCTCAGGACTCTGTGAGTGAGTCTCCTCTGCTTTCCCACACTCTGTCCTTTCACTGCTTTCACAGGGGAACAATAGGAGTGTGCCGTATAATGCATCTCATTAGACACCAGGACTGAACCATTTAAGATGACACCAGGTTAATCATAAACTTTAGAAACATTTAAATCTGAAGGTTTCCCAAAAATTATATAAGAGATAAAGTTTTTTCAAAATCTGCTTTCACTTTTCTCTCAGGTAGGTCCCATAACTACCAAAAATACATTTTCTATCACCAGACTTTTACTCTGATAAACTTCTTACAGTCACAGAGCATCAGATCAAACATTGTGTTGTGGCCCTTTGAAGCAAAAACTGATGGTAGCTATAATTATCTATGTTTAGAGGTTTCAGTCCATCATTATATAACTTTATACATGTAGTTTCACCATCCAGTATTTGTTTGTACTCCTCTCCATTGCACTATTGTTCTCCACACTCTCAGAGTTAAATGCTCAGTGTCAAATGTTGTCCTGTACATATTAGCTTAATATTCACAAAGTTTACTTGTACGTATAGACATACCTGATCATTATAGTTGACTTTGACGGTGATTCTGATTTCCTTCATTTGTAAAAATACAGACATTATATTTACAGTTCTTCATTTAAGTCTCACCCATATAAAAAGATTGACATGTTACACAAGGACACACAATCTGTGCTCATATATGATGTAGTGGCAGATAGGGACATTGATGAGACCTGTGATTAAAAACAGATGACATGAGAACTCAAAACTTGCAGTTTACATGTTTTTTTATTACATAAGGACAAGATGAGAAAGATTCAATAAGAGGTGATGATGCATCACAACACTGAGTTATAGATTTCTACAACACACATGTGTACTCACAGAGAGTAAAGGAACGACTGTCTTTATAAAAGACACATGTTTACAGCAACAGAGGGCACAGTACTCACTGACTTTTCCTTAAACGGAAAGATACATTTGTTCTTAGTCAACAAGAACAATACTGGAAAAACTGATCATACAATAGATCATATCATCTATAAAATCACTCAATATGAATGACTGTCAAGAAGCAAAAGTTAAAATACTTTCAAAGTTTGACAATGTTGAGGTACAAACCTCATTATTCTAAAAAAGAAAAGTTTCAAATCTTAAAACATTTTCATTTAAAATCAAATAGTTGTGAAAATAAAAACAAAGTCCAATAAAGGACAGATGTTTGATCAATATGATCAATAACAATCATGAGTTTAAATGCATTACCACTGCATATATATCATACACACAGTATATGAATATGGGTAAATGTAAATGACATGCTTAGCATGTATCCATGTATGTACAGTACACACTGTATAAATACAAGCTTTATAAGACATAAAGTCATAAAATCAATTGAAGAAACAATCAGGTTAGAATCTAGCAGCAGTGAGACTTAGCGCTCTTTCAAAACTTGAAATATATTGTTGATGTCATTTCTTCAGAAATGTAAAATTAAAATAAACAAAGCCTTCTGCAAAAGCAGAAAATTGGAAGTATCAGATAAATTTCACAGAATTCAGTCCAGAAATCTTTGACCAATGTGGTCATCTCAGGTTTCTGGTAAAAAGTCCAGTCTTCGGGTGTCTACCACGGCCTCCAGAGGGCGCTGTTGACTGGACTCCTCTCTTTGGTCATGCTGGTCTGGACTGTGTAGCTCAGAGGACACAAGTCAGCCTCTTTCAGGTTCTTCTCAGGGGAAGACTGCAGCTTGTTGAAGTGGTTCAGCACTCTCATCTGGGACTTCATGTTGACCTGCTCTCTGGACAGGAAGTGTGTCACCTCTTGGACACACCTGGAGTAGCCCTGATTGACAGCTGCTGAGTCCAGAGCTTGGTTCTTCTGCTTGAGTCGTCTGAGGACACAAACTGTCATCTCCAGGATGTCTGCTTTCTCCAGCTTGGAGTCTGGCTGCTGTTTGAGGAACTCTGGACCCAGGAGAGACTTGAGCTGTTCAATGCTGCTGTTGATTCGCTCTCTGCGAAGCTTCTCCACCAGAGGCTTTCTCAGCTGAAAAAACAAGAAGAAATAAGATCAGTACATTCATTCTGAAACTGATGTTTTGGCAGAATTTAAGATTAGTGAGCATCAATCATGTTGAAGTTTTGTTGAGTCTTGAATTTACCTTGTGAGTCAGAGTGAGATGCTCCTGAGAGTTGGTCATTGCTGCAGTGATTGTAGGCGCCATGTCTGGTCTCAGTGTGCTGTAGAGGTCTCTGTAGAGAGAATCTGATCTCTGCTGGCTTCATCCCTCCTATTTATAGTCCCACATCTCCATATGAATGTGTGGGTCTTGGTCAGGAAGAAGTTTCTCACAGTCTCAGCCAATCAGGGAGCTTGTTCAGACAATAAGGCATGTGGAGCAGCAACACGCTGAATGCTGTTAATGCCTTTGGGACAATGGTTAGACCTCAGGGGAACAGGTGGAGGACTGGAGGGTGATAGAGAGACCCTAACAGGGCTGTTTGTGAGTATGGGAAAGTGTTGACCCTGTAGAGAGATCAGTTCTTCCTCCTGATGCTGACTTTGACTGAGCACTTGGTCAGTGTTTGTGGTTTGGACTGTAGCATCTATACTTTATTCTTTATTCCAAATTTCACCATATTGCCTCATCTGAATTTGTGGTCAATGAACATTTAATAGTGACATTCATAATAGCCGAACTGAAGGTATGTTGTAGTTGAAACAGATCCTGACTTTATTAACCATCTGCAGTGAAAGAGCACCATTGTAATGATTTAGAAACATTAAATTAACAATATCAGGTATTTTTATTGTTTTTCTAATGACACAAATAAACCTTTGAATCATGACTGCTTTTATATCACATGCTTCGATCTAAATTTAAGCTCGACGTGACGGTGAGATATTCCTGTAGTTTGCCAAATACTTGAGAGAATAATCTGCTCTGTAAAATCCATACCCATGTATTACACAGTTGACTTTGCAGTTTGCTATAGAAAGTTATTTTATTTTAATTGTATATCCTTCTAAATGTACAACTTTTCAAATTTCATTTTTGTCAGAGGATGAAATTTAAGTTGATAATTGATTTCTGGTCAGCAGTGGCGGCGGCCAGGGGAAGGGTCTCTTTTAATCTCATCCCTTCAGGTCAAAGGTCTGAATCTTTTGTCCCTCAAGACTCTGTGAGTGAGTCTCCTCTGCTTTCCCACACTCTGTCCTTTCACTGCTTTCACAGGAGGAACAATAGAAGTGTGTAGTATTATGAAACAGTTGAGATACAATGTCTGACCACATCTGTAAGAGAAACAAAGTTGGTGCTTGCCTTTTTTACCTCAAACAGTCTTCAAACTTACTTTGCACCTTTATAAGAGGAGAGTTTTATTGTTTTTAAGTTATATAATTTACCTTAAAATAAAATTAAATGATAAACTTTCTCAGCTTTAATATAGAAACTTAATTTAGCAAAAATTAGACATTTGGGTGATACAACAGATATATTCAAGTAAATCATCAAAGTGGGTCTTTTATACAACAAAGACACTGGGATCAATGCCTTTAAATGACCTTAAACTATTTGTCTTTATTTCAACAAACATTACAGATTTAAGTTTACACATCCTTTAAATCTTCTACAAAAATGTACTTTTAGAATATAAATCATATTTTTCAGATTTCCTGAATATGAAATTACATCATTCTCATGTCCAGATGCAGCAGGTGCATGTTCTCTGTCTTGTGGCTGCTAGTTAGTGTGAGTAAACAGTGGTCCTCCGTTTCCCACACAGTCTTTGCATGATGTGGTTGTTGCACATAAAGACTCTTTAAAGGGGCTTTTGTGAATGATGCTGGTAGTGGGTAATAATAGATGCAGGGCCTGACGTCACTCACCATCTGGAGGGACAGAGCACCATGCATGTCCTCCATCATTAGATACCCAGTTTAGATACATAAAAATATACACCAGGTGTCAGCAAGCATAATTATGTATGTCACCTTGTTTTTTTAAATAAATGTTGATATAGTCTTATAGAAATGAGCCTTTCTGGAATTTTCTGGACCAGAAATTTTATTGGGGGGGTGGGGGGTGGGGGGGTTATATGTTTCCTGAAGTGTGCCAAATCCCTTTGGCATTGCTGGCTGCTGGTGTGGCTAAGCTAAATCATGTCGTAACTAGTAAGAGTATTTTCAGTGTTACGCCACAATACTGACAGTGGTTACTGTGAGTGCCTGAAAGGCCTTACAGTTGAAAAATATCATGAACTTATTTTTAAGTAAAATTCAAGAGTTAAATTAAAAATATCCAGAATCTTTGACAACAGCTCTTAGTTTTCTTTCAATACCATTACCGTATATGTAAAGAAATAAATTTATGAAACATACTCTACAAAAGTAATCAAGTTCGATATTAGATGTAAGAATGAGGGAAGTGAAACTAAAGTTTCACGTAGACCAAACCATTTCATATCATCCCATTTTGCCAAGTCAACCTGCTGTAGTTTTAGAAATGCCAGTGCTGATTTTATTTTATTTTATTTTTGTTACAGCATTCATGCCTGTTCTTTTCAATTCAACAATACTGGGGCTTAGTGTTTTTTTTTTCTCTTACAGTTACCACCTTCACTGCTTTAATTTGATCATCGTTAGTAACAGATTTGTATTGGTTTATCAAGTTTCTGGCATTTATCATGGAACATTTTGAGAGGTCACCCCCAATAAAGAGCTTATTATTATTATTATTATTATTATTATTATTATTATTATTATTATTATTATTATTATTATTATTATTATTATTAGATTGAAAAAGGGTTGATTGTACTTTTAGAAAAATTAAGATACTAGAGTTTGTGCTGTCCTGTGATATTACATGACAGTAGAGTAGAGCACACTACTAATAACAAGTCAAAGCATGTAGAGTCTGTGGATTATCACCAATATGTGCTAAGTATCAACAAATTCAAAAAAAAAGAAAAGAGAAAGCATGATATATTTTTTTTAGTTTATTGATACAAACTCAATGGTAGAGATTTAAACTTCAAACTAGAAGCATGTTCATGTGATGATACATCACAACAGTAACTTGGTGACATCACCAAAACACATTGTACTCAAGATGAGCAGAGGAACAACTGTCTTCAAAAAAGACACCCATTTATATGAGATAAATCACATCTCAGTCATGAATTAAACATTGTTTAAAATTAATACCTGCACTTTCTAACAAAAGTGAAGAAAACAGATCCTAGAACAGATCAAGTGAGGTTCATCACAAAGTGACAGAGTGGACTGAAATAGACTGATCTTCAAAAAAGAAAAGGTACATCGCAGTCTCAGACTGCACAAATTGAAATAAACCTTTTTAAATTAAAAGATGAAGCTTACTGATCCAACAACAGATCAGTGATCAACGATAGAAACTTAATATTCAAAACCATTCGTCTCTTTTTCCACATAGTGGACATTTGGAGTTTTACAATAATAGTTTGCACTTTTGCCATAGGAAATTTTTTTTTTCATATTATGGCATTAATAAATCATAGAAAGCCTTCTCTTCATTCAGAAGAAAAAGTCCATCAAATTAAAAAAACTCATGCAAAAACATGAAAAGTTTGACCAGTGTGGTAAATAAAAATCAAAATACAACCTCTGTAACTTGATCAAGAAGTTCCTGTGTAAAGGGAACAAAAGTAGGACACCAGCTGTCACTGGTTTTCGACTGGGTCATGCAACATGCAGGAAAAAAATTTCAATTTTCTCAATTGAAAAATTAGAAGTTGTTATAAAATATAGCAACTTATAGAAATCAGTACAGAAATCTTTGACCAATGTGGTCATCTCAGGTTTCTGGTAAAAAGTCCAGTCTTCGGGTGTCTACCACGGCCTCCAGAGGGCACTGTTGACTGGACTCCTCTCTTTGGTCATGCTGGTCTGGGCTGTGTAGCTCAGAGGACACAACTTAGCCTCCTTCAGGTTCTTCTCAGGGGAAGACTGCAGCTTGTTGAAGTGGTTCAGCACTCTCATCTGGGACTTCATGTTGACCTGCTCTCTGGACAGGAAGTGTGTCACCTCTTGGACACACCTGGAGTAGCCCTGATTGACAGCTGCTGAGTCCAGAGCTTGGTTCTTCTGCTTGAGTCGTCTGAGGACACAAACTGTCATCTCCAGGATGTCTGCTTTCTCCAGCTTGGAGTCTGGCTGCTGTTTGAGGAACTCTGGGCCCAGGAGAGACTTGAGCTGCTCAATGCTGCTGTTGAGTCGCTCTCTGCGAAGCTTCTCCACCAGAGGCTTTCTCAGCTGAAAAAACAAGAAGAAACAAGATCAGTACATTCATTCTGAAACTGATGTTTTGGCAGAATTTAAGATTAGTGAGCATCAGTCATGTTGAAGTTTTGTTGAGTCTTGAATTTACCTTGTGAGTCAGAGTGAGATGCTCCTGAGAGTTGGTCATTGCTGCAGTGATTGTAGGCGCCATGTCTGGTCTCAGTGTGCTGTAGAGGTCTCTGTAGAGAGAATCTGATCTCTGCTGGCTTCATCTCTCCTATTTATAGTCCCACATCTCCATATGAATGTGTGGGTCTTGGTCAGGAAGAAGTTTCTCACAGTCTCAGCCAATCAGAGAGCTGGTTGGCACAATGAAAGATTACACGCGCCGAATGGTTTTATTGGTGTGAGAGCAATGGTGAGATCTCAAGGGAGCAGGTGGAGGACTAAGGGGGTGATTGACAGACCTTTACAAAGCTCTGGGAAAGTGTTGACCCTGTAGAGAGAGCAGATCTGTTGCCTGATGCTGGGATCAGTGACTATCAGCACATACAGAAGAGTGACGTTTGACGGTATAATTGATACGTTCGATGTTAGAAACAAATGCAACTAGATACATACAGAGTAAAGGCTGGTATTGACTATTAATTCTATAGCCTGATCCTTGATCAGAAAATTATCAGCTGTGAATAAAATATTAAGTTTTGGCTACCAGTTAAGTAGATTGAAGGAGGTTCTTTTTTCCCTAGATGGGAACTGAATAGAGTATCTCAAAAGACTTGGATTTTTCATCGAGCCTGTTGGGTCCAGTGGTTGCATGTGCCCTGTTACTAAGCAGTAATTAGGAGGTTATTTGGTGAAAATCCTTAATTATTGGCTTACTTTTTCTAAGGTATGGTCTAGGAGAATAAGTGGATAATAACTGCTCTATAATAACTAATTACGAGCCATCTTGCTACTAATAGACATGCTAATTAGCAACTAATTAATGGTGTGTACACTTATGTTAAGAGATACCCAGAAAACAATGGACTTCTGTTTAAACAAGGAAAATGAATTAAACCAATTGTGAGTTGTCTTAGACTGAAAGTTACTTGCTGGCGATCCACTGAGGGTTGTAGAGATGTGTCTTTAACCCAGACCAGTTCACACACTTCTGTCCAGATGTTTAAAAGTCTCCTGACTTGTGCCTTGTTCTTTGGCTGGGTAGAGAGTTGTTCTCAGTTTCCCACACTGACACCCTGCACGCTGTGGTCAGTGAATAACAAAAGGACAATGAATGGGCCTTTGTCGCTGATCCTTGAAGTGTGTTGTAGTGAAACAGATCCTGACATCACTGACCATCTGGAGGGAAAGAACACCATTGGCTGTTTTTTTCTTTTTTAAGTTTGTAAAGTTTGAGAAATTGTCAACATATTCCTAAAAGAGTGAGAAATCATTAAGTTGACTGTAAATCAAACATGAAATTTAAGGATAAAATGAAAATGGTGCTTTTGTAACCTAAACTTGATCAAAATTTAGGAGGTTGAAGCAGCTGTTTCCTGAAGTGTGCCAAAATGCCTATGAAGGATTGTTCTGCCGCTGCTCCTGCTTCAGGAGGCGGGCAATGCTAATCATCCGAAACTACGTCCTCCAGAGTTTTCCCACACTCCTCCTGTTTAAACAAAGGCATGTGCCCAATACAAATTAACCTTTCATTGAGTGTATGTGGAGTCTTTTTTTTTTTTTTTAAATTTTCTTTAAGGTGCTTCTAACCAGATCTAATTTCAGAATAATTGAGGTGAGAATAAGGACTGATTGGAGGCAGCAGAGAAGTCCTGTATTTTGTTTAAGACATAGAAAAAAAGTTTGAAGTTGCAGTCAGGAACTTTTTGCTAATTATTGCACAAATTGTGAGCAAAGATGAACATCTGATTACTTTGCTGACGTTGTCCTGTACATAAAAACGTCACATTGTCCGACAAAAAAATCTGGCACTGCTTCTTTAACAATCAAATGTCTCACCCTAATTGAATATTTGCCATTAAAAATATACAAAAGCTGTTTCTTCAGTTTGTTTCAAAGTTTCAGGCATTAGAAATCACACCATAGAGACTATCAGCCTTGTTTGCTTCTGTTTCTCAAAAAGACACATCAGTAACCTCAATCTAAGTAGTTGAAAATCCTCTGAAAGACTTTGATACACATTAATTTTAGCTTTTATACATGCTTCAAGCCATAATTAATCAACAAAAAAGTGGCCTTGGTCTGTGTGGCAGGAAATCTGTTACTCTGTGGTTACTCTGTTACTCAAGATCTGGAAAATTGGTGTGTTTTCTCAATTTAGTTATTTAGCTAAATTTATTTCAAGAGTACCTGCGATACATGTTTAAGACATGCCAAACAGTTTGAATAGTTTTCTAAATGTTAAGAATGATGCATTCTGGGAGCTTGGCTCTCTTTTAATCTGTCTCTTCAGGTCAAAGGTCTGAATCAATTGTCCCTCAGGGCTCTGTGAGTGAGTTTCCTCTGCTTTCCCACACTTTGTCCTTTCACTGCGCTAACATGGGGAACAATAGAAGTGTGCTGTATTATGCATCTCATTAAACACAAAGGCTGGCCTATTTCAAATTACTCTGGATTCATCACAGGCTTTGACTCAGGAACACTTAAAAATCAAAGTTTTAGAAATGTTTCCAGGCACAAGAAGTTTATTTGGATATATGCAATGATGAATTTCCTTGATCCCATAATATATTCTACATATTATTCTTGATTTCGATATTTTAAAAATGAAGCCACCATGTTGTAAATAAACCATGACTTAATGGCTCGTGTTTGAATATAACTTCATCATATGTTTCAAAGAAAAATACCATGAGAACAGAAAATGTGCAGTTTACAGATTTGTTTATTAAGAAGGCACAATGATGCTGATGAAGCAGGAAGACAGCTCCATCTAGAGGTGATGATACATCATAACAACTTGTAGATCTCCACAAGAGACGTTGTTCTCACGGAGAGGAGAGACAATTGTCTTTATAAAAGACAAGCAATATTTGTACAACACTGCACAGATAGTAACTTAACTTTTTATCCAAATGGATAAAACAAATTTCCCTTATTGTTAAAAAGTACAGTAGATAATAAAGCTCACTTGACAAAATGTAAAATGTCTCTGAAGAATGTGACAATACCACATAAAGTAAACCATTTACAGTAGAGGAACAAACATAAATCATTAGACTGATTCATTTCCATATTCACAAATCACTTATGAACTCTAACATAGATGTTCTATAGATAGAAATACAATTCACAGAAAACTGAGATTCATGAAAATATTTCATAAACAAGGACAATTGAATCTTAAAACAGATCATCTCTGAGGGATCAGACTTTACGGAGAGCTGAACTCTTTGACGACATGCACATTGCAAGTACCCTAAAACATTTTGATCAGTCTAATCAACCAAGACAGAAAAATGCTTATAAAGCATATAACACTAATACATAAGTAGATCATAATTGTTATTGCTATAAGATTATGACAGTAGAACATGTCAGATAAGATGCTCTTTCTATTGTTTTTATAGAACTTGTCATTTTCTTTGAAAAAACAAAAAGTTACATCTGTTAAAATCAAATTAAGTTAGGAGAATTTCACAGAAATCAGTTCAATAATCTTTGACCACTGTGGTCTTCTTGGTTTTTCTTGTGGTAGATCCAGTCTGTGGGTGTCTACCATGGCCTCCAGAGGGCGCTGTTGACTGGACTCCTCTCTTTGGTCATGCTGGTCTGGACTGTGAAGCTCAGAGGACACAAGTCAGCCTCTCCCAGGTTCTTCTCAGGGGAAGACTGCAGCTTGTTGAAGTGGTTCAGCACTCTCATCTGGGACTTCATGTTGACCTGCTCTCTGGACAGGAAGTGTGTCACCTCTCGGACACACCTGGAGTAGCCCTGATTGACAGCTGCTGAGTCCAGAGCTTGGTTCTTCTGCTTGAGTCGTCTGAGGACACAAACTGTCATCCCCAGGATGTCTGCTTTCTCCAGCTTGGAGTCTGGCTGCTGTTTGAGGAACTCTGGACCCAGGAGAGACTTGAGCTGCTCAATGCTGCTGTTGATTCGCTCTCTGCAAAGCTTCTCGGCCAGAGGCTTTCTCAGCTGATAAAACAAGAACAAACAAGATCAGTACATTCATTCTTAAAGGGGAGTTTAGAACAACAAAGGATGATCAGTTTCAGTTTTTTTTTTTTAGTTTTGTTGAGTCATAAATTTACCCTGAGTCAGAGTGAGATGCTCCTGAGAGTTAGTTATTGCTGCAGTGATTGTAGGCGCCTCTTAGAGAGAATCTGATCTCTGCTGGCTTCATCCCTCCTATTTATAGTCCAACATCTCCATATGAATGTGTGGGTCTTGGTCAGGAAGAAGTTTCTCACAGTCTCAGCCAATCAGAGAGCTGGTTGGCACAATGAAAGATGACACACGCCAAATGGTTTTACTGGCATTAGAGCAATGGTTAGATCCCAGGGGACCAGATGGTGATCTGGTTGGTCACCACTTCAGGCTGGGAAAGTGTTGACCCTGTAGAGAGAGCAGATCTACTTATGACGCTGGGATCAATGATTTTGACTGCGCACACACTCAAAAATGTTTAAAACTTTTGGCAAACTCAAAGTTAATTCTCTCTAGAAATGCTATTATCCAGAGTTATAAACTCTACTTACACTTATCAGTGGAAATGAGCTCTTGTCTAAATTTAAATCTTGCTGTTGTCAAACAACAGAGAGGAGCTGTCCACCACCATTGGCCCTTTGGTACATTAAGGTGTTGTGAAGTGGGTGATCCATGTTCTTTAGAATAGTCTCCACCTTCCTCAGTGTAGATCTCTCCATCACATCCTCTACTGAGTCCAGCTTGAATCCAACCACAGAGCCAGCCTTTTTCACCAGTTTGTTCAGATGTCTTGCATCTTTGTGTTCTTTGTGTTTGATACTGCCTCCCCAGCAGACTGCGGCGTAGAACAGAACACTGTAGACACCACAGACAAACATCTGCAGCATCTTACTACAGATGTCTATTGATCAGAGTCTTCTCAGGCAAAAGAGACAGCTCTGCCCCTTTCTGTAGATGAAGTCTATATTCTTAGACTAGTCCAACTTATTATCCAGATGTACACCTAGGTATTTATATGATGTCACCACTTCAATGTCCGCTCCACAGGTGTTCACTGGCTGAAGAGGGGGTTTGGATCTACAGAAGTCTATAACCATCTTTTTATCTTTGAGGTGTTGAGGAGGAGGCAGTTTTAGTGATATCTGATACATGCCACGTAGAAACAGCCTCAGGTTGAAGGTCTGGTGGAGAGGTTGACACAGTTCTGCAGCACAGTCTCTAAGCAGCCTAGGACACACACCATCTGGACCAACTGCCTTCCCAGGACAAAGTCTTCCAAGCTCCAACCTCACCCCTGTTTCTGTGATGGACAAGGGCTGGTGTTCTAGGAGGGAGGCAGTTGAAGTGGTTCAGACATTTGAACAAAATGGAGGAGGAAGGGCAGAAGATGTAGTGGAGATTTGTTGCTGAGAGGAAGGTGGAGTAGCAGTGGAAGTGGGTGTGACAGCAGTGTCAAATCTGTTGAAGAACAGGTTGAGTTCATCAGCTCTTTCCACATCACCCACCACTGGCTGTCTTTTTTTTTCACTGCTGTGTCCAGAGATGGTACTGATTCCTCTCCACACTTCACGGATGTTGCTGTGTTGTAGATTCTTCTCTATCTTCTTTTGTACTCCAGCTTTGCCATCTTCAGTCTCCTCTTCAACTCTTGTTGCACTTGTTTGAGTCGTTCTTTGTCACCATCTTTAAAAGCTTTCTTTTTCTGGTTAAGGATTGCTTTTATGTCACTTGTGATTCAGGGTTTGTTGTTGGGGAAACAGCGAACAGTCTTTGTGGGTGTAACTGTGTCTCTACAGAAGTTGATTCAGTAAAGCAGCCAACCTGTCCGTCAATGTTCTTACTGTCCTCTTGTGTTTCCAGCAGCACATTCCAGTCTGTTGATTCAAAACAGTCCCTTAGAGCTTTACTAGCTTGAGGAGTCTATCTTCTGATTTTGACCTTAGTTACAGGCTGCAAAGTACCAGTCAACTGGTTGACTTGTTGGACGATGCGTGCTTAGTCGACCAAAATTCTGATTGGTTGACTCCGTGTTAATTTACAGTCTATGGGTAATGTCATCAGGTGGAACGTACCAAGTGCTAATGGGGATGTTTTCAGAGCACCCCTGTTTCACAGGTAACAGCCTGTCTCAGAACACCCACTGAAGACCGGCTGGAGACAGGAAGGTTGAAGAGCGTCCACGTTAATCAACGTCTGGTGGGTTGCTGAATATAACATTTGTGTTTAATTGCCGTCTTGTGCTGATATCAGTATATTTTCACCCTGCCGAGCCGCGTGTCCCTTGCCGCAGAAGCATTTGCCATCAGTTAGAGCAAAAAACGCATTTTACTTAGTTTTCATTAAAATTTTAATTTAACGCGAGTAAGAACTCTGCAGTTTTATAACCAGTTGACTTGCCGACTACTTTGGCTGCAAGTCGGCGCTGTGTGCAGCAGTCAACTTAGTCAGGGTCCAAACGGACGCTTCCCCTGGAGAGCTGAGACTGATTTAAGCTCTAAAGTGCAGCCAAATTCAGATTAAAAAAAAATATACTTGACTGAAGATCACACTTGCTCCATGGTGACATCTCTGTAGTGTTGTCTGCATCACAAATTGCAGTTTTTTTAATCATTCACAGAAACCTCTTTTTCTGTCTTTCTTACATTTGGACCAGTTGATAACTGATTTGAAAAATTTGTCTCTTTGTAAAAAATAGTAGGTGGGAAACAGCTATGTTGGCGCATTTGCATAGAGTTCAGTGCTACCATGGACACAGCTCCAATCGTGGAAACTGGCACAAGCAAACAAATATTTTTATGAGAACATATTTCCTAGTCGATATTTATTAAGAATTAAACATTTCTTAAGTAAACAGCCCTGGTCTTCTGGGATCCCAGCCCTCTGTAATAACCCACTTAATGTGCATCATCCCCTCCAGCCTAAGGCGTACTACATTGTTATTGAAACATCCAGACTTTAAAAAAAAACAGAGCCAAAACATGCTGTTAGTGAATGAATGACAACATCGAACCACTTTGTCATAGCTAATTAAAATCTCTTTATTACAATCACATATACATCATCATATTCCAAAGAGCTTGCTGTTGTGAAAAGTACCCTTGCACAGACACATGGAGGTGGTGTTGCAGACTGGATGGAGGGATTGTCAGATGGGCTAAAACCAGTGTAGAGTTCCCCAGCAGCAAGTGTCTCCGCTCCAGTGTGCTTTTAATTTCACATCACATGAGGACAGCAGCACTATTTTCAGCTCTCTGTGTCCTTGTGTAACGTAAGTAAAGAGAGTGAAGAGGGGGCTGGGTGAGAGGGGAAAAAAACTCTTTCTTCGTCATCCATTATTCAGACTGCTTGAGTCACAGTTGAAAGGAGAAATAAAAGTGGAAACAAACATTGTGGGGGTTTGAATTCACTTTTCATTCCAACTGTTTTCAACAAACAGACTTTTATTTGAATCATTTTTTCTGTCTTCTTCAGAGTCAATCAAAAAAAAAGATAAACATCAGTTTTATCTCCACATGTCCAGCACAAACAAAGCAGGCACTTAACCCTGCCAACCCTGTTATTTTGGCTTTTTTTATTCTAAACTCTGAGAGAGAAAAAAAACAGCAAGAAAACAAATCTCTTCCTCAAACCAGGTGGGAATTTTCCTGAATTACTTTCAATTTTGGTTCTATCATGTCTTTAGCCTCAGTGATTAGCAGCTTTAATTCAACTCTATTAATATTGTGACTGTTAAACATATAAGCTTGCAGCCTAAAGTGCTTAACAAGGAAACAGAAAATAACAACAAGCAAAACAATGAAAGACTGGACATATAAAAGTTGACAGGTTTCAAGTGTCCAACTAACCACCAAGATGTCATATAATTAAGGTTTCAAGGCCTTAAACGATTATTTATAAGAGCTTCAGTCAGCTTTTTTTTTTTAAACTGTGCTTTTGTCACTTTGTTTGGTCACATTTTTGGACTTTAGTTTGATAGAGGTGCGACACTTGGACCAGAAAAGTGTAGAAGTGTCAGGATGTTGGTTAATCAAGTGACTTGGTTCTGCCTGGCATATTTTAGCAACTATTGGGCTGATTTCTGGTTAGTTCTATCCAGATGTGGTATCTTTGCCAGGGGTGGAGCCAGACAACCTTGACTGCGGACACTGGAACAAATAAATTACATTGATTCGCTCTTTCTCGTTATGTTCTTGTGTATACTAGACTTGCAAAAGTAAATCATCACAAAGTAGCCACATATGAGCATTTTTCAGCCAAACTCTCTCCGACAGTAAAATGTAAAGGATTTGGGGTGGCCAGTAAGAATTAGGGAGGCTGCCACCTTTAACCAGCCTCTGGATCCACCCCTGACCCCAGACTTTTTTATCAGGTCAAAATTTTAAATTCAGGAATGACTATTAGAAAACAAACAATGACTAGCCTCAGTGCACCTTTTTAACAGTGAAGTAAAACTAAGCATGCTCAGTTAAATCACAGGAACTTTGCATGCCAAAAAGATCATAATGCATGAGAATTTAGTGCACAGTACTACTGGCATCTTTGTGCTGGACACATCGAGATAAAATGAAACGTCTGACTCTGCAGAAGGCTCGAAGGACCAGGACTTTCGAGTATATCTTTGTGCATTAGCGTGTCAGTGATCCCACCAATAATTCATGGATGCCACATTGAACATTCAAACCAAACTGAAACACTTCCCATGAATTTCAACAGTATTATGAGTGTTAAACATACTAATACTACAAATGTAAATCTCTGTGCTGTATATACAGCCTCCATAACACAGCTATAAACCTACAGAACCACATGATAAATCACTGGAGGCGTCTGACGGCATCAGCATGTCTTGATACTGCTGCGAGACCAACCTCACCTGCACCTTCTGACAAAATCAATATGTACATGTCATAGTGACACAAAACAACAATAAAGTTCAATTTAGCCATTTAAAGAGACAATAATATTCACATTTTGTGTTCACTCTTTAAAAAATAATAAATCAACATTTCACCAGCTCCTAAGTAAATTAACTAGATTTTAAAGATTCTAAAGATCATAAAAACTTTTCACATTATTTTATAACCATCACAAGAAAAATATTGAAATATGTCCAACACAATAACGATAAACTGATATTTTCCTTCATAAATCACTATGATAGTTCATAAAGAAAACATCGATACACACTGTCGCTCTATCTACAGTCGTTCAACTGGCCACGGTCCCTGGTACAGAAAGATAGGGAAAACTTTTTGTATAAAAATGATGTGCAAAAGTTGATCTCTTAGGTCCCTAGAATGGAAAGCAGTGTAAAGAAATGATGGAAATATCTACATGACCTTTTCTCTTTTCTTTTTAGATTCAAGGATGATATACACTACGAGTGACTCGCCACTTTTGTGCATTTGTGATTTCAAACAAGTTACTGCATTTGATGGAAACATGACAGGTAGTGCACAGAACTCTTTCTTTATCATATTAAAACTAGCTTGAGGTATTATTGCACATTTTCCCAAACTGCAGACCTGTAATCAGCAGATTTTAGATTTCCTCACACTGTATCTGCTTTATGTGGAATGTCAACATCACTGTCTTGATGCTCTTTCAACCTTACAGACGCTGCAGCAGTCTGGACAACATTTAGCTGACCTGGTGTCTCTTGAGGTGTATCTTCTTTTATTCAGAATGATCTCCACGCAGTCAATGCATCACTGTAGATTTCAATAAACATGCATAAGCTGTTACCTGGGTAGGTAGATCTGTAAACATCCTGCCAACAGCAAAAACAGACACAGGGACAGAAAGCCATGAGCCATGAGGGGCAAGAATGGTATGCTGCATTCACGCCATGTCAGCAGAGCAGTAAGAAAAGGGGGGGGGGGGGTCCTGTTATGAAAGCAGTCACATTGTGGCGCTTTTAGACAACCAGCTGCTGCAGCTGTGCTGGCCCCCAGCAATGTTGGTGTTCTGCAATTTGACTGGTTGGCAGAGGAATGCCTTGGGCTTGCCCACTGAATCACATTCCTGCTATCGTCTCCGCTGAACTCATTAAATAGCCACAGACAGGGGGAAGTGCATGTTAATAGAGGAGAAGTTAGGTGGATAAAACTTTAAATGGTATAAGTAATATTAAAACAATAGTAAAGTGGCCTAAACTAAATACTTAAATGGGGATTCACAATATTGCAGGATTAATACTGGTATCAGTTTGTCAATGTCAGCCAATAAAAGCTTCAGAATTAACTGCGAGCATTGACATGTAAAGTAATGCATTAATTACATAAAGCAGCCCCTGCATCAGCCATTTAACAAGGCAAAGAAACTGAAGCTACCATATTTCTAATGTTGCTATTTGAAAAAAAGAATATAAGAGATGGTTTGTGTGGTTTTATGTTGGTTTGTAGACTGTCAGAGGAGAAACAGGCAAATTCTGATCCTGGAAAGACTGGGCGTTCTTTAAAAAAAATAAGGTGTGTGTTCACAACAGCATTGTTTTTGGCCTAAATGAGTTTAAATATATCAGCAAAATCCGACATTTGTTTATCCAGGATTTTAGGAAATGAAGGGAACTCATTCACCATTCCAAATGGCTGTGCATCCTCTTAAAAAGAGAGGAAATTTCAGGTTAAATTGTTTTTTTCCATTACAGCTATGAGTCATTAGTCCAAAGCGTTTTCTTTTTATGATGTGCAAATGAGCCGAACTACAAACGTAGCTGGATATAGCCTTCAGTAGTGGTGACCAGCTACTTATTCCAAATTCCTGTTTTCTCAGTTGTTGGAACAAAAATTTAATGACTATGTAAATTGAAGCTGTAAAAAATTCAAGCAAGATTATGCACAGTTAACAGGCCGAACACTGAATTACAGGGTCAGAGGGTGAACAAAGTCAAAATGGTCACTGTGGTGTGTTATGGTCCCTACACACCGGGGATGACACAAATATAGAATGCGAAATCACGAAATATTATGAGGCAAATTTTGACGTGCCTGACTATACACATCAAGCCCGATGCAATTTTGCAACTTTCCGAGGGGAAAAAGATGCATCCCGGGGAAGAGTTTTACGGGGGAAAGTCCCGCCTCATTCGCCACTGATTGGCTAGAACCTTCCCTAGAACCTTGGCGGGACCTTCCCTTAACAACCTACAGCTACCAGGTGAACGCAGGTAGACAAAAATGGAGTCTACTTCAACTTCAAGTGATGGCGAATTGGTACTCCTTTTGCTTTCTCAAAAGAAAAAGAAACGTAGCACATGGGTGCATCCAATATTACAAAAAAGAAGAGAACCTGGTGAGTTTCACTGCTTGGTACCGGAGCTGAAACTGTACCACGGTCGCTTCAGAACCTATTTTTGGATGTCTGTTGGACAATTTGAAGTTCTGATGAAACAATTAGCTCCAAGTTTGAAGAGGCAGAGGACTAGACACTAGTGTTGAGATGGCTGTCTGTCATGATAGCATGTACTGAGTCGGGGCCAGTACCACATAAGCAAACTCTTAAAGCACACAAAACATTGTCATATCAGAAATCCGACGCTATGACTCTCCACAAGTCTTTCAGGTCGTTATCTCTGTAATGTGTGTGTAAACGATCATAAACAATCAGCCGGTCGGCCGTGTTGGGTATACCCGTGAATCTGACGTCGCAATCACGAAATCTGATTGGTCAGAAGTGGACACACGATCCGAAAAAATAAATGCCGCAATATCGCAGAACGGGAAAACATTGCTGATGTGAACGCTTGTATTGACAGGATACGGGTTCGAAAAAAAAATATTGACGTCTGAAATAATTGCATGACAAAAACGGTTCCGGTGTGTAAGGACCTTTAGTCAGCTGGTTTAACTCTACCAGGACCAGTGCTCTGTGCGGGGTAACGTCCACATGCCTTAGGCAGTGCTATGGACACGTATGTGTTATTCTGGCGTAAACAGTGAAGGCCTATCCCCATTTTGCTAGATCAAAATACTGCTAAACCACACCATTCTGACATCTGTCATCCTTGCTTGTTTACATCCAGGTAATAAAGCATTATGGTAGTAACTACAGCTAAGGCAAATGGTAGGTGGCTGAACTACAGCTTAGATACAACAAATGACCTATGTTTCAGGTCTAAATTGAACTTGTAAACTTGTAAAAATGACTCCTAATAGCAGGGGTGATTGCATTTCACCTTTTTAGCCATCAAAACTCACATCCCCAGTAGTGATCTTGCTGTTTTTGTCGTGTATAATTACTGACGTTTCTTTGATTGTTTGCAGCAAGTGGGTATAGTCTGAGTGGCATGACATGAATGTAGCATACTGTCCTTCGAGGTGACACAGATTGTTATGATCTAAACCTTTCTGCAAACCTCTGTGGCAACTCTCCCCCACCTGTCAATACTGTAACTGTAAACAGAGTTTCTATAAAAACTGTTCAGGATTTGGTATCAAATCTAAGTTATCATTGTCTGCATTGCTACAGTTGATGTGTTCTGTGGCCCTGATGTAAAAGACGTCGATCATTAGTGCACAACCAGGCACATCAAGCAGAACGGTATTGCTCCCTGACATCTCAGGGTCCATTTTAGTAATGGCTTCCGAACCCAAAAGTTTTATCATTTTGTGAAAGACTTTGTGAAATAATCCTAGCATGTGATGTAGCATGAAACACATGATTCAAACACACGCGCTCATCTGGCCTTGATTGGTTGTTTGTCATTCCAAGCGCCATGCACTGACACACATTTTGTCCGGAGTGCTGTACAGTGGTGACACACCCACACATAAAGCTATCAGTTGAGGTGATAACAGCGATAACAGTGAGGTTTTCTCTCATACGCACATTCATTAAAGGAACAGTCAAACATTTTCACAAATCGTCATGTTCTGTCTTCCCCAGAGTCACAAGACATGCTCAGTTCTGTCTTTGTGCTTCAGGGGCTGAAATGTTGAGGATGTTAAATAACTGAAATTTCTGAAAGAGGATTTTTTCCTCTCTATCTCTGAAGATTGAGCCAGGTTAACAGTTTCCACTTGTTGGTCTTGTCAAACACACCTGGAACCATTGTTATATCTGACACACAGATGTAACTCACATCAGTCCTCATATTTGACTCCAGAAAAGACAGGCCCAGAGGATTAAGTGAAAATGTATGGTCAGCTTAACACCACACACACTCACGCACAGAGTTACTGATAAAAGTGTGTCCATGCAGTTAGACAGTAGTGACTGTCAGCAGGGAGCTGGGACACAGCATGTCCTCATGGTTGTCCAGTCTGGTCCCATGAGTCAGGAGCTCCTCTACTGTTGTCCAGTCATCCAGCAGCTTCCTATTCCTCAGGCGACTCAGCTTCCTCTGACTCAGCTCCAGGACAGTGTTGCACCGCCCATCTGTAAAAGCTCCACCACCTCTGCTGTCCTGCACACCTCCATCTCCCACAGAGGATGGTCCCAATCCTGCAATGGCTCCCACCCTGATGCTGGCATCCCGTACACTCATCCCTCTCGCCTGCAACTGCTGCTGTTTCTGCTCACGGGCCAATAGGAAGTGTTCCCTTCTTTCCGTTCGACTCCAGTATCGACCCATCAGCATGTCAGTGTTGGTCTCCTCATCTGTGCTCATCCCACTGCGTTCATCTGCAAGCTGGGATGCACGGTCTCGCAGGAGCTGGCTTCTTGAGATCCTTGAAGTCATGCTGGGTTTGGGGCTTGGATCAACTTTTGGCTGCAGACCAGAACTGGAATTTGGGATTGAGTTTACACTCATGTGACCCTTTTTTGTATCCCACACAGCAGCAGCACAGTTTATTACCCCAGTGTGGCCTTCCAGGGTGCTGTAGAGACCTCTGCTGCCTCCGCCTCCCTGGGCCTGGCGGTTGGCAGGTTTGGGCCACGTGTCATTGACATCCACAGCCTGAGAAGGATGGACTAAATTCTGTAGGTGTTGCTGCTCTCTTGCCCTGCTCCTCGCCAGCTCCTGTTGTCTCTCTCTGTCCATCTCTTCCTGAATCTGAGCCTCCCTCTCCAGCTCTTTTTCCTTCTGCATTTGCCTTTTTTGTTCCAGTTCTCTCTCAATCTCTCTGTCCCTTTCTGTTACCAGTGGTTCAGGGATCATGCATCTTTCTTGTGAGTGCCAGCAATCATGGTGAGCAACCTGGCTTTTGTTGTCATAGCATCTCTCATGGGTGTTGGCACCCCTGGTATGCCCTAAAGCAGTGGGGTGTTGTTGGGGAGAGACAGCCAAGCCAGCTGGATGGGAAGCCATCATACTTGCCACTAGCTCACTTTCCTCTGGCAGACCAAGCGGTAGGGCATTGCAAGGCGCAACGGCTCCGCAGTGGTGCATGGTGGCTGCACAGTAGGACGGGGAAGCTGGATGGCTTGCCCGGCGACGATACTCCTGAGGGGGAGGGCGATGGTGGAGTGTTCGGCTTCTTCTTAGCATACCCATTGAGCTGGAGCTCTGATGGTGTGGCTGCATGGGTACCAATGGTCTTCGGTGGCTTGAGGGAGTGCTGCAAGTAGAGAGGACTGGGGCCGTCATTCGTGAAACTGCAGCATGGGACGGGTTAAAGAGGGCCCCACTGCTGGAGCTGTGACGGTTCAGACAGGGCCGGTCAGTTTTATGGAACTGGACCGATGAAACCCTGGAAATTCAAATGGTAAAGTTAGCCAGAAATACCAAAAATATGTTTTGGAATACACCTGGTCCATTATTTTGAAAAGGTAGTCATGTTGCTGGTAGTTACCTGAAAAGTCCCCTGGGTGGGAGGTCCATGACAGGCTCAGCGCCCTCCTCCATCCCGAGCTGCAGGCGCTGACACTGAGGCTGCATGGTGAGCGCCTCAGGGATAGCCTCCAGCAGCTCGCGGTGGCTCTTGGGGCAGCTGTCCCGTCGCTCCCTCCTCTCGCAGGGTTCCCCCTGATGCTGCAGCCTGGCATTATACAGCCGCATTCGCTTCTCCAGCAGCCTCTGAAAGTGTCTGAACTCCCCGGTGCTCACGCTGTAAAAGCCTGAGTCGCTGAGCTCAGAGGAGATAAAAGACTCAGAGGATGGAGAACCACCTCCAAAGCCTCCACAACCCCCTGGTGCAAGGGCCCCATGAGAATGACAGTCATCCAGGCCGCCCTCTTCAGTTTCCAGTCCTGAGAGGTCCCCCTGGTGAAGGGAGCCATCTGTCCAGCCCAGGCCGCTATCCAGCTCATGATGGAGGGGCAGGAACCCAAGTGGCTTCTCAAGCATGAAGTCTTCATCATCCGTCTGTAATAACAACAGTCACTAAACAAATACACTCACAACTTTACATTGTGTCCATGTGAAGGACCTCAGTACACTCTGCCTTAGGCTTTACTGTGTCTGTAGGGATGAAGAAATAAAAAAGAAAAACTGGAGGACAGGATTCAATCTATGAAGTTGCTTTTCTTTTCAAGTGTCCTTTAATAATTTTGTAATTATCTTGTGTCATTTTCTCTTTTTTATTCTGCCTTAAATTAAGAGAAGTTTGGGGTGCATAGATGTGTTGTCAGGCTGCAGAGCTCCTGTATTTTTCTACAAATATGTCCCATGGACAGATAAAACCAGCAACATGTTGTGTGTTCTGACCAGCTTTGCCTTCTTCAGGTACCAAGCACTGTTCTTTAGTCTGATAAAATCCTTCCACGTAGTTTCTTGGAGTCTTAGCTTATTGTCTGTGGTACCTTATCGTCATGGCAACATCTGTCTTTGCCAGTGTACCTCTATGGCAACTTTTTGAAGGGTTAGATAACTGCCATCACCTTGAATTGTAGCTCCCTGTAAAGTACTGCACTACCTTCTGATGATTCTAGCAATAATTCTTGGACCTGTCCACAGCAAGGTTATCAATATCAGAATTTAATCTTCAATATCTCAGCTTACTTGAGCCTTGGACTGAGGTTGTGACTGTCAAATGTATGAATACATATGTAGAGTCAAAGGGCTCTATTTTCGTGCCTCGCCGGAGACGTGCCGCAGGCGCGGCATAAGTCAGGTCCGCCGCGCCGACAAGGCGTTCCCAAGCACAATTTGGTATCTTGGTGAGCGGTGCAGCCCGGCGTAAGTATCCCCCCCCCTCACTCAGCTCCTCCCAGCGGCGTAAGTCGTAGCGAGGGAGGAGAGAGGGCGTGGAGTGGGTTAAACAAAGCCGAGACCTGTTTTCACCAATCACATAAGCTCCTCTCCTTGCCTTTAAATCTGCCACCGGCGAGGCGTATTACTATTTTCGTGAAGTAGTCAAAGAGATCAAGAGATGTCTGAAGACAGTAATGCCACACGACGACAGAAGGCAGCTCCTCAACAAGTGCCACTGTAAGCGCTGCATTGGGCGTCCTCCACACTCTCTCATATGAGCACAGATGAATTTGGTGTGTGTAATGTTGGACCCACTGGTAAGACAAACACCCTTTTCCACAAATAAAGAGACTCACATAAAGTTGCATATATTCAAACCTCATGTGACAAAGGTGGGTTGAGCGCACAGATCACAACATAAACTCCAAAAATGGCATTCAAATCGGAACCATCTGTGCTTAGTGATGCATCGTGCTCCATGGCCTGGCTCTTTCTTTCATAGATGTTGGCATATAAAATAAATTTGGCTCACAAAACTGAATATTGTAATATTCGTATGTAGGCTTAAAGTAAATAACTCATCTGAGCACTGAAATAAATCATCTGTTCAGCCGCTGCAGGACGGAGAGAGGACACGGAGACATGTCCAGGTTGAACTGTGTGAGAAATAAGAGGAAGAAAGAAAAGGAGGGAGACGAATCACATATCTTGTTAACTTCATCATGTGTGTTTATTTACTAGATATTTAATTTAATTTGATGCGGTTTCAGCTGTGTTGATTCGGTCAGGTTGTGTGTCCAAATGCATGCCAAACGCGCTCTTCAGATCAGATATAGATCAGAATATATCGATATAGATCTAAATGTATGTGCTGACTCAGATTAATAGTTGTTGTTGATGATTATTTATTGCACTGAAATGTGCCTGACACTGTGGAAACCTGCCGGTGAGGCATCGGTGACGTATGCCGATACGCCGCCGGTCTACCAAAATACCTCTAGACCAGCTGCACTCCGCCTGCGCTGAAAGCTGACCAGGTTTGAATCGGCGAGCTTTCAGCACACTTTGTACACCACTGGCGAGCACGAAAATGTCACTGCGCCCGCTGATTCTGTTGACACCTCCCCCTGCCACGCCACCACGCCCAGCTTGGCGGTTCTCGGATCGCCTCCGTGCGCCTCAGTCCACAAAAATACCAAACTGGCTGTACGCCGGGCTCCATCAGATGAAAATACAACTGCACGGGTCCGCCACCCTCCACCGCCTCACCAGCGTACACGAAAATAGAGCCCAATGTATTAAATATTATTGTAGCATCATTAAAAAGTGCTCTGTGCCTCTGAAACAGATGGTCATGCAGTTTCTGTAAACATAAACAGGAGGAAACAGTGCATCTGTTCAGGACTATTTTCAGCTGCAGATGAATCCAGATTTGGTGTTCCTGTATTTCCAAAAGTAAGTGTGTGTGGGTGTGTGTGTGTGTGTGTGTGTGTGTGTGTGTGTGTGTGTGTGTGTATGTGATTGAGTCAAAACAAACTAGAGTGCTCATGTTTGTGAAGAAACAATCAGTGAGTCACTGATGTGTTTTGGAATTTTTTTTGTTTTTTGACAGCGCAATGGCACAGAGAAATAATGTGTCAAGCTTTACTCAGACAAATCTTTTACGTAGGAACAGTTTGTTGCTGGTTTTAGTCTGCCCATGGGATGTTTTGACTGAAATGTGTTTCAAGTCTCAAGGACGCTGAGAAACAGAGAAATCTTTCAAATTTCAATGTCTTTCATTTTGCATTGTGCCCTCATTCGTCAGTGATGAAGCTGGTGTCAGCTAGATGACGAAAAACCATCTTTATCTAAAAATGTAACTGAAGGTTTCTCTGAAGTGGATGGTTTGAAAATAGAGGATTTGCAGCTGTGAGATGCACAGCACAGTTTTGGATACCTGACTGTGGAAGCCATTTGGTTCTTCCAAGTTTGTATTGCAGCATCCCATCAAGCAGTTCTGTCCCTTTGGTGCTCGACCGCTCAGCTCTGGATCCTGAAGGATCAAAATGTGAGAAAAAAAACATGAAAAACACAAACTTTCCGTAATGCAAAAGGTGGGCTGATGCAGTTTTAGTGGATTTGGGTGGTTCATTCGGGATTTTTTTTTCAGTCAGTCCTGAACTTAACTTCCATGTTATGTTTAGATTTTTTTCAGGCTTTGCTGAAAATGTGTGTGTATTCTGTCACATTTGTGCTGTCACACATTCTGTGGGGTCAGGTTTGTGTAATGCAGCATGGAGCCAAAGTTTAAATAAGTAATTTCTCTAAAGCAGCTGATACATATTTATGTTGACATTTAGTGTTTGAGGCTGAGTGTTTGTCACCTGATGGACCATGTCCACAGTGTCATGTGGGGAGCTGGACAGATAGCTGTACCGCCCTCCATCACAGTGATCTTGTGGCAGAGACAGATGGCTGTAAAAATGTCTGAGAGGCAACAAAAACACAAAATTTAGACATTTGAATTTACAGCTTATACATAATTATAAATTCTGTTATCGGGCAAAAATTTGGACCCTTGTATCTTCAAAACTCGCAACTCCAAGTGTTCAGATTTTTTAATCATTTAAATTGGAAAATACCTTTTCTTAGTATTGAACTAGAATTCTGATAAATAAGATGTTTGTGCTGTTTTCTCATGTATGTTTGTACCTGTCCTGGTAGGAGGGACTGGATGCATTAAGCCCTGCCCCCAGTGGTGGGAGGGGCAGGTTAAGGTGCTGCAGGTTAAGGGGAAGGGTCTCCCAGGCCCCCCTGTCTGACTCAGAGCCACGCCCTCTCTGACCCTTTATCTGCAGTGTGATTGGACGTTGACTGGCTGCCAGGATCCTCAGGGCATCACGCTGGCTTAGGTGTGCAAGGCTGCGCCCATTTAACTGCAACAAATGAACAAAAGTGAAGAAGAGATTTAATATAAGCAAGCATGACCCAGTTACCCTTTGTCCTCACTCAGTCTTTATTTAAAATCTTAACAGGCAAAATAAAATATGGCAATGAATAGCAATGTACTAAATCATTTTCCAGAGTGTTAAGCAGCGTGCCTTGACCCTAATGTATTTTGTTGGATAATTAAAATAGCCCCGCTTCTCTTAATGGATATGGAAAGAGTGGATGTTGTGCAGCAAAGAGTGGCGATTACAATGAAGCACTGATCCTACGATAAGGATTGTTCTTCAGTTCACAGTGAGACCTCTCCTAGCTGAGTAACCCAATACATTTAACCATCCTACTGAGAAAGACACCAAGTGTACAGGTTAAAGGGGAGAGTAAGGCTGGAAATGAAATACTGTAGTATTATTTCTATTTAAGCTAATAGTTCTTTAACTGTTTTTGTGTTAAATACCAGGAGTTACATTTCACATGACAGACTTTTACAAACAAAATTTAGTTGAAGTTTGATGGAGAAGATACACTCATAGGCTACATTCAATGAAACTACTGACCCACCTATAAACTTGCTCAAACTTAAAGCTTTAAATGTCATATGTAACGCAAGATATTACCTAACACACAGCACTTTTTAGGTACGGCAGCTCTACAGTGTGAGTTACCATAGTTACCAAGCAGGTAATCATTGAAGCTGCAGCACTTTAATGTAGCAGCCTTCTAAGCTTGCAAGACTTCAATAATCAAGAAAGATTTACTGCAGGGCCTGTGTCCACCAGTGGCATTTTTTAACACCAACCTCAGTTTTGGAGCACTTCTCAGTCACCACAAATTAATCCCTTTTTTAATATTAAGTATGTATCTTAAAGGGTTATTTTTCAAGTTTGAGTGACTCCAAATTACATGCTACTGGTCAAATCAGCTTGCATTATGAAGATGCTTGTTTATTGTTATTGCAACAATCCAAATCAAGTCTTTAAGTTGGAACTTGTAGAGTTGTCTCTGTTGTAAACTGTCAATCTAGCATGTCTCTAACAAGGGCAAAGGAGGCCCCCTCTGCATCAGGTATCTGGAATTGAACATACTCTAGCGGTAACTAAATTTGCATTGACTGTAAAAGCAAATTACTCTGGTTTCCTCTGGAGGACCACCTTACAGGGCTTTGATTCACGGATCACATATTAGTTAAAACTGAGATTATTTAGATTATAAGATTAAAATCAGTGACTCGTGATTTTGATTGGTTGGTGACAGAGAGGTAAAATTGACGAATGGAGCAGTGTCTCATAAGTTGAACTATTTTCTTTAGCCTCAATTTAATAGTTGACACAAAGGCCAGTTTTTCTCTTTGGAAGCTGAAAACCCTAAACTGCAGTGGAAATCAGGGACTGCTCACATTTCCCTTGTGGGAATAATAAAGGAGTATCTTATCTTAGCACAAATCTTGTCAGTGGACACAGGCCCTTAATTTGCTTCGACATAATAACCTCCTGACCTGGTCTCCAACAAAAACCTGCTCATTGATTAGTGTAGCTTTAAAAATGCGTAACATGTGTCTTAAACTGATGTAATTTTGTTGATTCATATGAAGTTAATTATTGAATACCACATAATTGATAAATTTAGTGGTCAACAGTGATGGGGTTGTTTCCCACTGATGTCATCCCCCCTTGCAGTTGTGGGTTTTCACTCAGTGCGCCTGCCTCCTTCACAATCTAAAAAAATGCTGTATCAGTTGATGACCTTAGACTGGTTCGTGATAGCCTGGCAGCTGGTCTAAGGTGTGCCCCACCTCTCACTAAATGACAGCTGAAATAAGCACTAAAACCATTTAGAATGGGCAGTGTTGGTGAAGGGTGGATGCTACATTTGCATCTGCAAACATAGACATCATTAGTATCAGTGCTGCTTTGGGTTGGTCTGTGCAATGCCCAAATCATGCTTGACAATGTAAGCACGACTATACCCCAATCTGGTGGGTATAGAATGGCAACACCAGTTTGGTATCAGTGCTTTGCCTTGTGAAGGAATCCATCAGGAATTACCATCTAACATGTTTGCTTTCCTGTCTGCCTTCTACAGCTTGTTCTGTCATATCAGTAGCTTTGACCAGTGAGAGCACAGAGCGCTCTGCACATGCCAGAGACCTGAGCATAAATAAGCGAAATGGCGAAGCAAAAAAGGGACAAAGAAGTTGCTGCTGCAAGATGGAGCAAAGGAAGTTTGTTGAGCTCTGACAGCAACATCCCTGCAGAACAATATGTCAACAAGAACTACCACAACTGACTAAAAAAGGTGAGCAAGAAATAGCAGCAAGCCAGTGACTGCAATTGGCATTTCCAGGTGTTGTCTAGTCCAGCCCATCATCTGTGTCAGCACAACAGTCGTGACGATTGGTTTTGTCACAGCAGGAATTTATAGCTTTGTAATCGCCTCATCTGACACAGTGACCAGCCTTACAGATAAAAGGATTGTTTTGTCAAAGTTGTGGCTCATGTCATTATACAGTAATGACTAGGATGAATTTGTGGTAATATTCACTGTTTGACATCATTTTGCCCCATTAATTTGAGTACAAAACCCAAGATGAAACTGAAGGACAGTCTGTAATGGCAGTGCTTCACCCTTACTGTCTATAAACTGATAGTTCACTCTGAAAATACATGTGTAACCTCTTCAGGTGCTTTGAAGAGGCTTTGTCACATTGAAAAAATTACATTATAGCGATGTCATCAGCTTGAAGAAGACAAATGTTAAACAACATCTGTGTGAGAAACTAGAAACGTGAGGTTCTGGAGAAGTTTGATTTGCAGAGATTTTTATGCTGAAATAAAAAGATGCTGCGCAGTTGTATCGTGGGGATAGTATGATCCACTGTTTGGGGGATTTGACCCACATGAGGGACTCTCAGTCAACATGTATCAGCCTCATCTGGGCTCTTTTTAGACCCTGTCATCAGAGAAATGCTTGAATCCAGACATGCACTGGAGAAAGACAGCTACAAGAAGGCAATGATGAAGAGTTCATCGTCACGCTTCCATTTTAGTCTGTTTTTCACACTCCAGACTATTAACTCTGGAACCATCGATATTATGCAACTGGGTCACAACAACCAGCTCTGCAGACAGATGGTGAATTTATCCTTCTTTGACAAATAGACTCATTTTGGTGATCTACACCAAACATGACGAATGTGGACACAGTGTCCACATTTGCAGCAAAGGGTTAACACCTACAAGCCAACATAAACCACAGCCTACTTCACACACGCACACGCGCGCACACACACACACACACACACACACACACACACACATGCAGCTCAGCAGCCTTCAAATTAGACGCATGAACAGTATTGTTAACTCCAGCACATCACAACCATGAGTCACCCTCCGCTACAGTCGACCAAACACACACTCTCATACACACACTCGCGGTATGAGCTGAGAAGCACAAAATGGCACCTGTATGTGGAGACAGAGTATAGCAGTAGAGCGACCGTGAGTCTTCAGCAGATGGAGATGATGAACATGAAGAACATCCTTGCATAAAACATAAACATTTTTCATATTTGGGGAAAAAATAGATGAAGTGTGTGACTTTTAACAGCATAAATTAGGTTAATTAGCAAAACATACACACACAGTCAAATGTGTTTGCAGAAATTGAAAAAATGAAGCCATTTTGCATCTGTATTCACACACACACACACACACACACACACACACACACAAACATGGACATGGTTTGCACAGCTCCAGCTTTCCTGATCAGATTCCAGAACACACGTATAAAACACTGAGGTAGGTCTTTTAGATGCTTACCGTTTGGTCACCCATCCATGGTCCAGAGAGCCAGCACCCCATCTTCACGGCAACAGAGGATAGCCGCCTTGGCCACTAAGAAAACCACAGATGCTGCTGCTTCCTCCAGCAGATCGTCGCTTCCCTCCTCCTTCTCCTCCTCCTCCTCCTCCTCACACTCTCCCTCTTTCTCTCCTCACTGCTCCTCTTGCTCACTCCTCAGCATCAGACCTCCTCCCTCCTTTTCTTCTGTGTTCTTTTTCCTCCTTTTTCCATCTATTTCTTCAGTGCCTGTATCCTTGCCCCTCCCCCCTTTTCCTAGCTCCAGATTTCAACATCCTGCACACACACATACTCTCTCTCGCTCTCTCTCTTTCTCTCACACACACACACTTTCTTACATGCATGCGACTCTGCAAACATAAAAATATGCGCAGGCTGACACAGTGCATTCAGAGACGAAGAGGGAAACACAGGCAGTCACACAGTAAAGATGGTGTCTGATTGGTGGCCTTTCAGGGGTCATCAGCCAATCAGACGCAGTGGTCTCCCTCTGGATATCTTCCTCTCTGACTGAAACTCCTCATGAAGCATCGACATGTGCAGGAAGGGGTCTGTGCTGCAGCGATACACACAGTAACAGTGGGAAAACACCTTGCTACCATCCATCTTCTGGCTGTTAATCCAGGATCCTCCAGCAGATGCTGCTTTAAGGCATGCTGGGAGTAGTAGTCCCTCCAGTGTGTTCACAGGAGGGTTTTCTGTTGCAGATTGGCAACACAATTTTAAAGACCCTCCAAGAATCCATGTGCACGAATTGATTAAAATGAAACCTGATCCATCACGGTCATTCCCTCAAAGAAGCAGTAATCCAGACTGAGCCGTGAGAACATCATGTACTTGCTTTTGTGGTCTGTGGATTTTTGATTTTAATACAGCAATTATGAAATCAAAGACACACGCACAAAAAATCCCAACATTTGACCACAATCCTTTCTGACATTTGAGGTTTATAAACTAGTTAAGATTATATTTGAAGATGGGCGGCACAACCTCCCCCCAAAAGTAAACGCAGAGTTTTTAAAGCTTCCGGAGACTGGCTGCAGTGTGGGTCATTATTCCCACCTCCTCCATGTTAACAGATGGAACATGGATCAAACTTTACAATTATGATAAAAGCCTGATAAATTTTCCTTTAAAATACTTTTTGTTGTGTCAGTTATTTCTTGTTCAATATTTCTAGGTTCAAATGTCCTCTTGCGTTTATGCTTTGTGTTTACTTTTCTTACCATGGTTGCATTTGTTGCTTTCCCTTCTTTGGGCAGCTTGCTTCATGATTGGTTGTTTTGTTCCATGTGACTGTAGACAGAGTTCAAGCACAGTCTTCCCCAACATATAAATTTCAGATCATCCTGTGGAGGGGAAAATCTGTTAAATTAGACAACAGCTTTTTCTGCAAACTGATAGAAACTATTGAATGATCCTGAGAAAGCTTTCCATTTGCATGACTCAGTACATAATGCACTTCACAAGCCAAAGTGCAGGCTGCAGTACATAAATCCCTGTCACATGAAATTTAGATAGTGAGATCTAAACCTTAGGAGAAAAAAAATTGCATAAAGCTTTTTCATCGTTAGATTGCTGGACAACCTACTGTAAGTTTGTGCCAGAAATTGGAAAAATTTGAACTTTCCTGAACAAGTGAAGATACAGCAGCTACAGGTAAAGCATGAGATGTGTCTTTTCTACCTAATATATCAGCTTTATGATATTTGTTTTATTTCAAATGACTAATAAATCTTGAAGTAATTTTAAGATGTTGCGCTGCCCTCCCTCTTGAACAGGTAAAGCCAAAGAGTGGAGTTTAGGTCACGGTAAAGTGTGTTGAACTCTCAAGTTAAACTTGTAAATGTTGAACTCAATGACTTCCAGAAGAGAGAGCTTCATATCTGTCTTTGAATATCACATCACACAGGGCATCCTCTCCACCTTAATCTAACACACCTCTCGCTCCGATTGGACAGCGGCCTGGCTCTCTCGGCAGAGCCTCCTGAGGCAACGCTGCAGGAGAGGACAGGCAGAGATGTCTCTGCTCCTCAGAGGAAGGAATAGGAAGCAGTCACATGAGCCTGACAGCCGCTCCCCTGCTCTGCAGCTACACATGAACACACACACAAAAACACACATCCATGTAGGCTGAGTTTCATCTGATTCACTCACTGACCCTGCTCTGGCTGTTTGGTTTCTATGGTAACCTTGTTTCCTTCTTAACATACATGTATGTGTATGAGCTAATTTCCCTCTCCACATTCACTAATTGATGTTTTTAAATATGAAGAGTTGCAGAAAACTGTTGATTCTGTTGATTTTAAGGCAATGCAGATGTAGGCAGCGGTCGTGTGTGTCTCAGTATGTGTGCGTGTGTGTGCTTGTCTTGCTGCTGCTGCTGCTGCAGATAGAGATGACGGTGATGATGATGATGATGGGTGCATCTGGATGCCTGTCGCTGAGCTCTGCCATTTCTGTGCTGAGGTACGGAGGCGGAGAGAGTGAGGGAGGGAGAGTGAGAGAGAGTGAGCATGTGTCAGAGTTGCATACATACTGTAGATCCTGAGCTGCGACACACACATACCTGTCTGTCTATAAATGGAAAATACACTTACTGTTGCTGAGAGGCTGCAAGAAGCTTCTGTACATAGCGAGTGTACATACAGAGGGTTATATTTACATCCATCAGGGTTTGAAATAAGGTGAAGGTGGCAGCTCAGAGTTGATATATAATGTGAGTGTTACAAGGAAGATTTTTATTTTGTTATACCAGCAAAAAAAGGATCAAAATAATCCTTTTACTTTGATATGAGGAAACATTCAGAGGGTGATTTTGAGGTGTTTGTCCCTTTTGCATCACTGAACAGCAGAAAAGGTTGGTTTTATCTCACTCTGATGCAGGAAGAGATAAAGGTGTGGTGACACTGATGACCATTAACAGTTCCTCTCCTCAGTCCCACACTTGTTGAAAGAGGATCATCTACTAAATAGAGGAGCTACATGATGCAGAGTCTGAATTCTTGACCTTTTATATGGGTCAGCTCCCATATTTTTCAAGTTTAATACTCATGGTAGGACACAGAAATGATTTCAATGTTGCCAACAAAATGTCATTCTGCCACCTAACAATTCAGCAGCTACAAAGTCAACAATGTTCCCATGTGATTTTCTTTAAATATTAATTCAACAAAAAGCTGTTGTTGTGTTTTTAGTTTTCAGTGGTGTAAAATCTGTGTTTTAAAGGAACATTTAAGTACTTCTGAAATGAGGTTGTACTAGTCGCATGTCATTAATAAGTGCCGGCAGAAACAGGATGCCAGGTATGCTACCCTTTCTGCAGAAGGGATCAACTTTGTTTAAGCTAATTCTGAAAGACTATGACCCAAGCATTCATCTTGGTTTAGGTTTACACAGTGCACAGAAAATTTTCAACATCTTTCCCATTTCTTTTTACACTATTTGCAGACATGACACACACAGATGTGATATTCTACATGCAGCACACTTCAGGTCAGCAGGCTTAAGAGCGAAAAATATGATCTAACTAACAAGTGAGTGATTCTGACAGCACAGAAGACATGCCATTTACTGATAACACACATGGACACCTTTATGGACCAGGGTTTACAGAGGACAAAGGTGACTAAAAGCATTGAAGGAAAAGCAGTGATAGTTCTATGTGAACTGGAGTGTTGCAAATCCCAAAGGGACCTAAGAGCAGAGCGCAGGCAAAGGCAACTCAGAAGAAGTTTTAGAATGTTTATTTTGGGTATGGCACTCATAGTTCTAGTTCGATTGCAGAGGAAGAGGAGGGATTCAGGTTTCCAACAAAGATGAGGAGGTGCTGGCAGGCTGAAGAGCTGTTGGTCTTAAAGAAGTACAGATTTGTAAACTGTGAGCTTATGCCCACAAAGTGACGTTTGTCAACAACAGTATATCTGGATCTTCAGGACTCAAAGTACATCATTGGTTTACATGAAGCTACAATCACCAACCAGAGTCCACTGCCATACTGGAAAAAAAAAACCCACCAGAAAAACATATAAGTCAAATGGAACAGTGTCTTCAAAGTTCACCTCTCGTCAGCAGTTACCTCCATCCGTTGGGGTCAGATCCTGTAGTGTAAAGGCAAAGGTTCTTCTGGAGCACTTGCCATTTTTGTTGTGGTGTTCTTCCACCTCTGCATCCATCTGCACTGGTCTGTACCCTCCTTACTTCTCTAAACTTGAGGTGGCCACTCAGCACATCACCTCATTATCATATCATTGTGCTTGAGGCTAGTAAGAAGTCTTGGCACACCAAGGAGTTAAATTTAGAGGTAGCAGCACTATATAGTGGAGCATACAAGTCCACTTAAAGCACTGTGTGAAAATAGACTCCATTAAATCAGCATGTCCCTTACATTTTGAGCCTTTTAACATAAGAAAAAACTTTTAATATGGCAGCAGAGAGCTCTGAGCAGGCTCATGCAGCTCTCTACATGTCTTGGTGAGCTGCAGCTGTTGTCTCTTTGGTGTCTGAATAAGGCCACTCAAGGCTTCTTACCTCTTACCAAAGGTGGGGCCGTGACAAATGCAATAATAGCAAGGGATATTCCAAAGCAACAAATGCATAAATAAAAATCCAACTAGCTGAAAAATCAGAAAACACTCAAAGTGGAACACAATTTATTTAAGACAATGGAAAACTGGATCATGTAGTGTGCAGGTTAATTACATCGACGTGGTTTGCTGGGTGTGGCTTTCATTAACAGAGCTAGTACCACCAACTTTAAATCCTCTCTACAGGGTGACATCCACATATAAGCCTGTGTTAGTTTAACACTGGTCTGATCAGTCCTGGCTATATTCCAGGAGAAAAACGAGACATGGGATTTGTCAGACTGTAGACACCATCAAATTGTTGAACAAGTCCTTTAAAGCCTAAACATATCCCCCTTGTATCCATTCTTTGTACTATCTGTAACACCAGGCAAACAGGTATTTTACTGTAATGCTCAAAATTTTCAATATTATGCATAATTTCATAATTATATTGTAATTTCATAAGTTCAAATAAATTAAAATATTACACATTTACCACTCTTATTTAATAAACTAAAGTTGTAAGGAACAGTTGAAGTTTCCAGCTGTTTCCTTACAGCCTTAACCATCACGCGTGTTTCGTATAGATTGTCTGCAGTCGGGACCCATACATTCGCTTGTGTTGCGCATGGGCGCCCGTGATTGGTCAGGCTGCCAGAGCAAGCGCTGTGATTGGTCAGATTATCAGCGGTGCCGGAGCGGGCTGAACAACACATCTTCATCCAGATACCCTTAAATTCGTGTTGTTTAGCGTCCGACCAAAAAAATCAACTGTTATTTTTGGTTTAGGGTTTTAAAGGACAAACTCTAGAAAGAGAGGTTCAACAGACTTCTTTGTAGTATTTTTTTGATAAAGTGTCTGTGGTTATTGGCGTATTATTATGTGACGGAGTTAGCCACTCTAGCTTAGCAGGCTAACATGTCTGAGCCAACGTTAGCTCATCATCTCTCGTGAACTTTTGAGTTAACAGCTCACCTGCGGAGGTCCAGGTAACACCAAGAACACTTCAGATACTGTACTCATTGTTGGTTATCAGATTTATATGATTTATGTCCTCATTAAGCACCAAATGATCAGCCTGTAGACAGTCGACCCTAAACTTAGCTGAACTCCGACACCATTATAGACCTTCTGTTATTTGTAGCTTAATGTTGACCCATGTGTCTCTCCTCTTTCCCTAAACAGCATGAACTGTCCCCCCACAAAGCGCCTTCGAGGCCTGAACCAGGACGTGGTGAGAGCCGTGCCTTTAGTTGACCCATTTGATGACCCTTTTGATGATGATTTCACTCAGGAGGACCTGGAACAGATCGACATCATCGCCTCACAAGCCATGACTTCCACTGCTATACCTGGACATGGGTCTAGTTCAGCAGCCAGGCCGGTGGAGCCGGCTCGTGGGTCGACATGGTCAACATCTGCAGGGCCGAGTTCATCTGTGAACAGAGCCTCAACCAACCCTAGCACGTTTGTATTCAGCAGCAGCAACAGCAGAGAGGATGCTGGGATACCAAACAGAGAGGCTGTCAGTGAGTTCAAAGCTGAGCTGAATATTTCTCTCACTGGTTTTTAAAGATTACTAAATCAGGTTTAAGATGTTTTACCCCAGCAGCCGAACTGCATTCTTGATGATAGTTTCCTGAATCATAGTTTAACTTAGTAGAGGCCATGATTCAGTTTGGCATATCACTGACTACATCACAAAGCAGGCAACAAAACTGTGTGTCAGTGAAAGTGATGCCAAAACTCTGTTTTAGAGGCAACATAGTTCCACTCTTATCAAGTATGACCACTGTCATCTGCTGAGATATTCAAATTCAAATTTATTTGTGTGGCACTTTTCATACAAAAAAATGTAGTTCAAAGTGCCTCACAGAGGCTAAAAACAACATTTAAACAACAATAAAACCCAACCCTCCCACCCACACACGCACCCATGGACCCCCCCACACACAAAGACACACACCCACCCTTACTCACCCACACATACACATACACACACACAAGCCCACACAGAGTAAGAATTTAAGATATATTGTTTAAGAGACCTGGCCTGACACTGAGACATTACTTAAGGAAAGAGCTACCTTTAGGAAACACTGGAGATAAAGATAAAAATGGTGATAAGAAAGAGTTAAACCTGATGGACTAAAACAAGAAAATAAAATGAAAAAATAAGTAAAAGCTCTTTACCATAGAAAGGGGTAAAAGAAGTAAAAACCTTGATGATGGGAATTAAGAAAAAGACTAAAAGCAGAGATAATTGGTAAGATTACATAAAAGAAACATTAAGCTTTGATTAAAATGAACATTTGCAATAAGAGAAATATGAAAAGGCAATCAGTGAAATACCTGGTTAAAAAGGTGAGTCTTGAGCCTCTTCCTAAAAACATCAACAGTCTCTGTGGCCTGATATGTCCATTAGAATTTAAAGTGTTTGCATCGGGAAAAAAGTAACAGCAAGCTTTTTAAATAAGAGTGCTGTTTAAGCAACTTATAAATTTAGAAATGTTGATATTTTATACGTAACTGACTATTGAATTCAAGGATTTTTCACTTTATTTTTGTCACTAATGAAGGTCTAATTTAGAAGCTTTGGGATCTTGACTCTTATCAAGACAATAGCTTTGATTTGATGAAAAAATTAACGCTCCTTAGAAGTTTATTTATTTTTACAACTTCAATTCCTAGTCAGTTTGGATGGCGGTGTGAAAAAACAATGGAAACAGAATTTGTTGTTGTGCAAATGAATTAAACTCGATATTTTGTGGAAAAAATCTTGCAAAGACAACTAATGAGATATTGAGACTGATTTTTTGTTTTATTTTATGACAAATGTTTGCTTATTTTAGCAACACAAATCAAAAAGTTGTGCAGCCCTTCCACATATCAGCTTCCCTCCAGGATGAAGAAACTTAAACTGAACCTTCAATACATGTTAAAGTTGAAATATTAGCCTGCTCATTTGCCATATCTTTTGATCTTTCACTACTGTGATATTATCACTACTGTATATTGTTCCAATTACTTAGACATGCTATCACCAGTGCTGTTGCTGGTTGTTGGTTGCTGTTGCTCCACTCTACCCGATCAGATTTGGTTGGGGTCCAGTTGCTCCTCACGCTGCTCTAAAATCTGTGCCTCCTAAGCAGGGCTTGACAGTGTGACTGTTTCATTCGCATTTGAAACTAAAAATAGATAAGTGCAAATTGTAAAATGTATTTAGGGGCACACGTGCGCATTAAAAAAAATCCATGTCATGTGACCAAAAGACCTAAAATGGATTTCAAATACGGTACTTATGTCGACCAATAAGACACACATTATTTGATCCATTTTAATTGTGCTTCTAAAGTTTTTTGTGTGCACCGTACTTTTTCAACTTAGGAGCACATGTGTCAAGCCCGAATTGTCTTTATTTCTCAATTTCTAAGATCAATCTGAGACACAAACTGATGTTTTTTGCCACAGTGTCAACAGGCATAGGGGAAATGTGATGGGACCTCCCTCTGCGGCTCAGTTGAATATGACTTGTGTGATCAGGTTGTACCTAATGTTGAGAATTTGGGGTTTTTGTCTGAGTAGACAAAGTAATTTAACACAACTGGATAATTCTGTGAAATTTTACCTTCTTGCAGATGTAAATGTGATATTCAAATACTCTGAGACTGTTTGTTGACAGAGCTCTGTTGCGTCTTGTTTTAGGCAGCAGACAGCCACAGTTTGGCTCAGACAGAGTGGACTCCTACAGACAGCTGGAGGCTCAGCATGCAGCGCTGAAGAGAAAGGTGAGACTCTTGGAATGGCACAAAAAAACTTGCTAGGATCACTTAGATGGTTAATTTTTCTTGCATTAAGACTGCAGCAATTCTGTGAATGAGCAGATTTTACTGTAAACATGTTGTAAAATAAGATTTCTGAGTGATTTTTTTCAGGTGTGAACGGACCCTAGATTCATGTGTTTTTGTTTATGCATGTGCGTCATTAGCTGATGGAGGTGGAGGAGGAGATTGTGCTGAAGAGCGGGGAGATCCGGGTCCTCAGGGACTCTCTGAAAGGAGCCCAGCAGGAGAAGGAGGCCCAGAGGCAGAACCAGATCCTGGTGGATACCCAGAGACAGCAGAAGTACAGCGAGAGGGAGATGGAGCTCAACAGGAAGGTGAGGGGCCGAACATACGACTCAAACAGAAATAATCAGCACATATAACCTTCAGAATTACCTGATAGTAAAGTTCATGACATCAAAGTTCATGATAACAATGTGCTCTTCATGTTCAGGTCCAGTCTTTGCAGACGGAGCTGCAGTTTAAAGAAGCAGAAATCAACGAGATGAAGACCAAACTCACTTTAGATAAAAACAAGACCACCTCTCCTCTGCCCAGAAACAGGTGAGTCATCGTGGACATTTAGAATAAAAGGAATTTGATAACTACTTTCATGATTTGAAGCATCTGATCTCTTTTACAGGAGAGCCTGAACCCCTTTTCTCTGTCACCTTAGCTTAAATGTGATCACATATGCTCTCTTCTCTCAGTCCTAAAGTCGCCCAGCTGCATCTTGGGAGTGGCAGCAGCTCCTCCTCCCCAATTGCAAATGGTTTCATTACCAAGGAGATGTTTGAAGCTAGCATCACCTCCAGAGTGACGCCAGTGAAGACGAGGAGAGACGGTGAGTGGCATCATGCAAATGACTGGCGGATGCTTTCGTTATGTTCATGACTGTGATTGAGTTCTTGTGTTGAAGACTTTTAGTGATGTGTGCTTGTAAATGTCTTTGCAGGGGACCGAGGATCCAGCAGCAGATCTGTAGACAAGCAGGAAGTGACTCCCCCAGACCCCTTTGTCTCAGTCAGATCTTCACACCTGCAGCACAGAGGTCAGAGCTACTTAGTTTTATGTTCAATAGAATAAAAAAACACTGAAGCTTGAGAAAAAAGCAGATCTACAGTCATATTTTCACTCAAAGCTGCCGTGAACTTGAGAGAGAGAGCGATAGATAGAGAGATAGAGAGAGAGAGAGAGAGAGATAGAGAGAGAGAGAGAGGGGGGTGGGGGGGTGGGTGGGTGGAAGCTGGTCAAATTAAAGAGGAAGTGAAAGTAGAGCACCTGTTATGGGTAAATGAAGCCGTAAAACTGAGAAAGGTGGCTTTTTGTCAGACTTTCACTGCATTTATGCCTCAGTGAGCTAATTAACGAATTTATAAACACTCAAAAAGTGCAGATTTTAAACTTTCTCAGCACTTCACAGGTTTTGCCCTGAGGTGTGTCTGTGTCTGTGTCTGTGTGTGTCTGTGTGTGTCTCTGTTTCAGCTCCACTCTACTCTCCATCTCACCTAAAGCTCCCACAACACAAAGTACTCTAAATCACAGGTTGGAAAATAAGTCGGCTGATAAGTGAAAGTAAAGTCATGGGTGGGGGTTTCAGGGTTTCTTCTGTTTGCTCAGTGACTTGAAAGAGTGGCAGATGATAAAAAAAATCAAATCAAATTAAACTTAAATTTATACAACCCTTTTCATGCAAGAGTTAATGCAGCACAAAGTGCTTTACATGTTAAAAACAGTTTTTCCTCCCCACACATTCATCCCCCCACCCCTGCCAAGACCCCACCCAAGCACACACACACACACTCAAACATACATACACACACACAGATAATGCAGTCTTAAAGGCATGTGGCTGAGTACAGAGGAGCCAGGTCAGGAAACGTCAGGTGGCCGTCTGCACTGGAGGCTGCTCACGGCCCAGGGCCGGGACACCTCCACCCGGAAGCACGCCCTGCTACAGTCCAGTAAGGGGCCTACAGCAGCAAGCACTGCTGTAGGCCCCCACCTGGCCAACCTGAGTGCACACCACGAGGCAAAGAATTCCCAGACAAAGCCAGTCACATCCCCCAGTGCAGGTGTCCCCCCCACTGAGGAAACACTGGAGAAACTAAATAAAACCATAAACATGATGTTCTCGGATAAGAACATCAAACTAAACACTTGTGAACAGCAAAAATACCATTCAAAATAAGTAAATGAATAGAATAAATATAACATCCAAAATCAGGGCTAAAATATATAAATAAAATGAAATAAGATAAAAATATAAGTTAAAATAAGACATTAGTTAAAAGCCTGATTAAATAGGTGGGTCTTAAGCCTGCGCTTAGAAATATGAACATATTCCACAGACGAGGGCCATAGTGCTGGAAAGATGCCTCACTGTAATTTCCTGTTCTAGTTTTGGAGACTATTAAAAGGCCAGCACCACAGGATCTCAGGGTCCGCGAGGGTTCATATTTTAAAAGCAATTCTGAAAGATAAGAAGGTCCAAGACCCATAAGACATTTAAAAACCATTAAAAGAACCTTAAAATTGATCCTAAAGCACACAGGGAGCCAATGCAGTGATTTTAAAACTGTTGTAATATGTGTGGTGTAGAAAGGTCAATTATGGACGTTCCAGGGTGTTTGAACCTGGATACACTTCTTCATGATGTTAAATTAAGAGCATCCAGTCAAACTCGAGTCTTCAGATTTTTGATTGATACCAAATGTTCAATTTTGAAGGTGTTGAGTTTGAGCGACTAGGATATTCACCCTTCAGGGAGTGCTGTTTGAAACATACTTTGTGTCAGAGTATGTCTGCTTTGTCTCATAAACTTGTACATTCTGTTTCATCCTCCAGGTGGAGCCCTGCTGGGGTTGTTGCTGCAGCAGCCTTTGTCTCCCAGCAGCCTCGGCCTTTCTCACTTGCTGTCAATGGACCTGAACGACATCCAATCCAAGTCCAGGTAGAAGAAAACATTTGCGTGCTGTTGAAGCAAGTTTTTTCCCCCTGAGCTGTTTCTATTTTTAGAGTTGACTTAAAAAGACTTTAAAGTTTCTTAATCCTCAAAAGAAAGTTTCTCTAAATAAATGATATTGAATTCAATCATCCCTTTTATAGGTGCTTCACTTCAGCACCAGTACTGATCATAGTAACAGCAGTATTTATAGTGTTCCTTGAAGCTGTTGTATCTCACACTGACTGGTCTAGTTTTGGACTCTGTGTTTTCTGTTATTAATCTATTCTAGAGGGATGTCAGGAGGTTTCCTGCTCCACCCTGAAGCTGCAGCTTCTACCAGCAGTGGAGGTGGGGCTCCCAGAGCTGCTCAGAGTCCAGTCCAGAGTCTGGCTGCAACCGGACTCAACATGCTGAGCCAGAGCCGATCAGAAGCTTCAGGCGGCAGCAGAAGCAAAAGGTAGTGTGACAGAAGAGTGAGGACCCACAACTGCTTTACTTTAACTGTACCATCTCTGATACCTGCTGCTCTGCAGTCCTGCTAAACGGGGCCATCTAGTGGCCAAAAGATGCAATTACCCTAGACGGAAACACCACCTTCATGTCATCCCTGATGTTCATGTTGATATTGTATACTGGATTGATTGAGTTTCTGGGATTTATTTAATACTTGTCTCATTGATGATTGATCCCACATTCAGTATTTAAAGCCTCTTAAAAGAGAGATAATAAGAGACAGTGGTGCCAAAAGTAAAACACTTTTGCATTTTTACACATTTCATACCATAAGAAATTAACTCTTTCAATTGTTGTAATATGTTCAGAGTTATAACCATATCCCCAAAAGAGTTCATAAGTCATGGACAAAGCTGTTTGGGATAAGAGATTTTACTTTAATGTCATTTTGATCATGTGAGAATTGAAAGTGATCAATACTAAGGTCTAAGTTTTGTAATAACTGAATAATAATAAAGTAAGTAAATAAATAGATACCTATAAAACAGTCAGGCATTTTAACATCAGTGAATAAATTAAATGTATTTTAAGGCCATGTCCACACATATCTGCAAAAAAATTATTTTGTATGATTCGGCCTGTCATCCACTCAAAGCCGCACGAATACGTCATTAAAAACTGTGCTTTTGGAAAATTCCAACCAAAGTGAAGATTTTGGAAACTCCAGTTTTGCTTTTGCGTGTAGACACAGATAACCAGAGTTTTAAATTCCCAAACGTCATTGTCGGCGATAGCTAATAGATAAACGTCATATACTATGCGCCCTTGTTTATCTCGGCAGTGGACCACAACTATATTGATACAGAACATAGATATTTTTGCGAGGAGCAAAGGAGAAGGAGTGCTTTGCAGTCGGCTCTTCTACACCAAATAACCCTTCCTTCATCTTTCTTGTGTCTGATTGAGTTTATACTCCAAAGTTCAAGTTTATAGTGTCAGTCCACACTAAAGAACTACACGGCGCTGTGTCTCATGTTTAGAGAGGTGATGACGAAAAAGGAAAACTTGCTCTGACTGGATAGAATGGATCTAACTTTTTGGCAAATAGGACCAACTCCAGGTCTGGCATACTTATAACAGCGGTCAATAGCACACTTAAGCGGTTTCGTGTGTGAAAACGATGATGTTTACACATGACTGTTTTTTTTTTAAAACAAAGGGTTGGATATCGGTTTGTAAAAATACCCGGTTATGTGCACATGGCCAAAGTCTTGTGTCTGATTTGTAGGTCGTGTCATGAAGCTGTCCTCCTCCTTCCTCTGCTGGACCTCCACCTGTCTCGGCTCTGTCGGGCTCTGGACTCGCTCCGCTTCTCGTCCTCTGCCGCTGCCAACTCACTGCCCTCAGGCCGTGCTCCTCCTGCAGCTGGACCAGGGAGGCTGGAGGAGACTGGCGTTAATGGTTTTAGTGTGGAGGACACTGGTCTGGCTGCTCTGAGGCTTCTTTATCTGCTGCTGGCTCACAGTGACGAGGTGATGAAACTTTATTCCTGCCTGTAATTATTCAGCCAAAGTGCAGATTACAAAGTTTTATCTTGAAACACAGTATGTGTGGTTAATCAATGAGCAGATCTGGCTCAACACTCTGCTTTTGTGTTTTTAGTTAATTGTCCATCCACTCTGCCAGAAATCAAGTCCATGTTGTGTTTTCTGAATCAGGAGTGTTGATGATTAACTTTTGTGAACTCTTCAGGTGGTGGAGGCTGTGCTGACAGAGGAGAGTCAGAACATGGAAACAGATACAAAGGTATAAAAAACAATCTTGTTTGTGATGATGCAACAAAACAAAAAACAAACTTTGTCCTCCAATCAATTATTTCCTGATCTTCTCCAACACTTTGTACACAAATCCTCTCCACCCTGGCTGCAGGCTGCTGCAGATCTGAGCTCCCAGAGTGCCTTGCTGCAATCGGTGCTGCGGCTCTGTGATGCAGGCGGCAGCAACAACGGTCCACAGACAGAGCAGCTCGCCCTCAGTGCCATGAAGACTCTGTGTGTCCTGATTGAGAGGACAAAAGACTCACACACTGACCGGTACACAAATATATATATGTATACACACATTTCACTCAGTTATCTGAAAGAAGGAGGCAGAAATGAACCTTTTTAACTCCAATTGTTAAAAATAGAGTTTTTATTGTCTGAGCTCCATGTGGCAGTGAGACATCAACCCTCTTCTGCACCTTCTCTTTTACACACCCACTCATGATGCAACTCTCACCTGGGATGAACACCGCTGGAGGTAGAGGAGTGGCTGCGCTTGGAGTGTGTGTTTATGAATTTTCCACTGGCTGTCTGAGATTATGTAATGGCTTCCTGTAAACTACCTGCAGTTTTTATGGTCCCTGGTTACGCAACAGAGAGAGAAGAAGAAAAACTGAAGGAGCAAAGCTTTGCCTCGGATTGCTTTTACTGCCAAACCTTTTAAAGACAAAACCGGTTCAGACTCTGTTTTAACAAACCCAAAAGAAAACCTATGAGCTCATGCTGTGTGACTTTTTCAAAAGTTTTGCAGATTAACCACGATTGAAAAAAAAAGTCCAGGAAACATGTAGAAAAAGGAGATATGTGTATTTATGCTGGTGTCCTCTTTCTTTGTGTCTCTCAGGTTGCAGTGTGTGTTATCAGTCGTGAGTGTGTGTTTCACGGCGGACAGCAGGCTGCAGACCATCTCAGAGTGTGTCTCTATCCTTGCGTCCATGTCCAACCACCAGAGTCTGTCTCGGCAGCTCTGCTCCCAGCACGGTGAGGCCCTGTGTTCTTCTACAGTGTTGATCCAACAGGGGACCCCAGACCTTTTAATTAGACTGTTCAGGTGACTTCACTGGACTGATGTCTCCAGTTTACAAGCACTGGGCGAGAATCGAATTCTTGCCCTTAATGTGCTTTATCATCATCTTTGCAAAGCAGCTACTCATGCTTGATTTATTTTGATTTAAGGTCTTATTTCTGAGTAACCCCAAACAAAATATGCTGGGGCCTTTCCACTGCAGCATTCATGAATAGACTACCTAGATGCAAAGGAAACAGCTGAACTAATCCCCTATGTACTGCTCGCAGACCACTGCGAGGTTGTAGGAGGAGAAGAAAAGTTTTGGGAAAACTTTTGATGAACTGTGATTGCATGTCAGTAATCTGCTCTGAGGTGTTTGTTGTGCATTTTTTTTCATCTTTGTATGTGTGTGTTCAGTCTGTCAGCTTGTTAAAGTTCATTTTTCTGTACTTGTTTTTTTAGACCCGTGTGTGTTCCTGAAGTTGTTCCAGTACATCAGGAACAGACCAGACAACCTGGCGACACACACAGACTGGATTCTTCTGGACCTGCAGGTAAGGATCTCTTCAGACCGGCTCCAGAACAGCTCGATATGTTTGTTAACATGAGGTGGTCTTGTGAGATTCTCCATTTTGAGTCAAATGGACTCAAACATGATGACATCCCTCCTGCTGCATATAGTGAAATAAATCATGCCGTCCCAGTCCGACCCTGTCATGTAATCATCTTGACAGTCCAGGGTCATCAGATGATCTGGTTTTACTATGCTCCGGGCTGAACAGCTGGACCCTCTGCTTATTCGGTCTGCCACAAATACCACACATGTCACACCCGTGCTTAGCTTCCTGTACGCTCCAGTGTTTTATTTTAATTTGTTAAAAGGACAGAGAGACTTTTATACATGAGACAAACACATTTGAATTAGTAGCATAAATATTTTATCAAGAAAATCTGAAAGATGTGATTTATACGATTCTATCCAGCAGAAAACAGTGTGTACCTCTTAAATCTTTACTTTAAATTCAACATTTTAACTTTTGTTCCTCTGACAGACTCTTTTTTTTCTTATTTTTTGTGGAACTAAACTAAAAGAAATCCTACAAAAGGAATTACATATTGTGTGGAATTTTTCAGGTTATTTGATTTTAAAATGCTTCTGTTGATATTTGTCTTGTCTTTTTGTGACTGTTTTCTTTTGTGTTTATTTTAATTCATACATTGTTTATTTATTTTTTTATTTATCTTTGTCACAGGTGGTTCGTTTGCTCCTCAAACTGCTAACCCAGAGAGCAGAGAGCTGGACGAGCAGCCAGCGCAGCACCTGTCCATGTTACACTGAGGTGAAGCTCTGTCTCTCTTTGAAACTCAGCTTTGTGCTGAAACTTTCTCTCTCAACATCTTTTTTCTCTCTCAGCTGGTTCAGACAGTGGTGATCGTTTTTCATCGTCAGTGGTTGGATCTCCGTGGTGCTCAGGAGCTGACTGACTCCAGAGGTCAGCTACATTTAAGATTTTAATCCAGAGCTGGAAGTGTTGCATAACAACAATTTGCTGACTTAACAATCATTAATTGTGTTTTTTTTTCTTTTGTTTGGGTGTGGCCCCGCCCTTGAATAAAGGCCCCGCCCCCTCATTGCCTTGGTTCAACAGCTCGGCGGCATCTCTGCTTAGAGAGTGTCTGCTGCTGCTGCACTGGCTGCTGCTGCATCACAACAGCTTCTCAGAGAGCTGCAGGCCGCTGCTCCACATGTACGACCAGGTGATCCCCGGCGTGCGAGACACGCTGAGGAAGATCCCCGAGCTGAGCGAGAGCGAGGGTACGGACGCACAGACATGTTTGATGTTTTTAAGCTAACATACAGGTGCAACTCTAAAAAAGTTTTCAAAAGTTGTTTTTTTTTTTTTTAAACTTCACACACAAGTGAAATATTTTAAGACTTTTCAGTTTGAATCTTGATGATTGTGGCAAATCTGGAAAATGGTTTATGATCTCAGTACTTGGTTGAGGCTCTTCTTACAAATTCCTTCATGGATGTGACGTTTCATTGAGTCCATCAGTCTGTGTCTCTGCTGGGGTCTTATTGAAGTCCAGGTTTAGCTCTTTCAGTACATCTGTAGTGTTGCTCTGGTGTCGCTTGTCTTTCTCCTGAGATCCTCTATGGTGTTCAGATCACACCAGTTGGCTGGTCAGTAGGCCTGCACGATATATCGTTTGAGCATCGTCATCGCAGTGTACGTGTGTGCAATAGTCATAGTCGGAGGTAAATGAACTCATCTAATTTCAAGGGTAACTGACTGAGATACACTGGATGTGACTCTGCATGTGCTTTGCAGCAATCCACCAATCATCTGCGTTCTTTACTCAGTTACCAATCAGACTCAGTTCTCAGTTGTCAATCAGACTACCCTGCCAGCTGTCAATCAAAATCAGAGAGGAGGAAACCCACCCCTGCACATGTTCTGCACATGGAGTGAGTCGCTGGCGCTACCGGAGGTGAGCCGAGAAACGCGTGTCCGCTGAGAATTACTTACGGAACATTACTCATCACTGTTTAGCCCAACAAATAAGAACCGTATGGGTTTTAAGTTGTACATTTCCGTGGATCACTCTACTATAAGCAGTGCGCGTTTTGTGAGGTGCATGCAATTCTCGGAGGACATGCGTTTCTCAGCTCAACCCCGGTATCGACAACAACAATGATCACAAACTGAGCAACAAACAGAGAAAACCACCTTAGATGATGACTTGTTGCCAAAAAGAAAAGGAAAGTCAATTATCTGGAATTATTTCGGTTAAAAGAAGGATGATGTCGACCAAAACATGTGTTCTGTGTTCATCTGTTTCCACAATAATGTCCCAGCACAATAAAAACTAAAAATATCTCTGAGACAGACAGAAGCCATTCTACTAACATTCACAAAAAGAGGTAAGATCAGTGCAGGTTGACTGTCCTCAAGATTTCAGCAGTGCAGCATAACATTAAGTGCTATTCAAAAAAAACGCAATGTTAGTATTTTCCAATATCGTGCAGCTTTACTGGTCAGTTAAGCACAGTATTATTATGGGGTCAGTAAACCAGTTTCTGGTAGTTTTGGTGCTGTGGGCTGGTCCTGCTGGTAAAGGAAATCTGTATGTCCATAAACCCTCACTGCAGATGTAAGCATCAAGGTCTTTAAAACCTCCCGTTAGACTTCAGGCTGCATTGACTCATGGCCCCCTGAACCATCACAGACTGTGGAAACTTCATGCTGGACATCAAGTTCCCTGTATTCTGGGCCTTGATGATGTTCCTCCAGACTCTGGGACCTTGATTTCCAAAGGACATGAGCTGGTTAGAGCTCTTTACAGGACTGAAAGAACCGTCAAAAGCCTGGACTTTTCCACGATACTCAGATTGTGGAATTTTGATTTTCATGAGCTGTAATCATCGAGATTTAGACTAAAACAGTCTTGATATATTTCACTTGGTGTGTGATGATTCTGGAACAAATAGAAGTTTCACTTTTTTGTTAAATTATGGAGGAAATGAACTTTTTTAGGACATTCAAATTTTCCGGCTTCACCTGTAGATCTGTTGCAACCTCGGATGGTCTGTATGTAGGAAACACTGCAGTGAACATTACTGGTGTACAGGCTAAATTAGAGAGGTCACTATCAGACTGATCTCCTTCTCTGTTTCCCATCTGTCAGAGCTGGCTCTGGAGGAGATCTGCCGCTCAGATGGGGATGACACCGATGACATGGACACTGATATCGGCTCCTGATTGGCTGCTGCCTCTGCCCCCACATTTGAATAATAATTGGAGCTGAAGGACAGTTTTCACTGACTGCTGATTGAAAATTTGACACTGAGAAACAGACGTACAGGAGTGTTTTCTGTCAAACTGATGAATTAAAGCTGGAGTGAAATTAAGGACAGTAATCTGAATGACGAATGAGCTACAGGATTTAATCTGCTGTCTGATAGGAATTAACAATAAAACATGAAGGTAACTCAGTCAGCCCTTTTTTATTTTCTTTCTTGTACCTTACTTCTTTTAGCTTCAGACACGTATGGGAAGACACACTGAGGTCCTTGTTCAAATCCAAGAGGAACCAGCCATACAGATCAGCTTAATATGGACCCAGGAAATTAAGTGTAGTGATGGAGGTGGCAGTAACACATTTTTCTGTCCTCATGACTGAAAACGAAACAAAAAAAACAAGCAGGACAAAGAAAGTTTTTGTAAAACCACTTTTATTTATTCTCCAGTTGTAAATGAGGTCTGCATTAAACGTTCAGAAGAAGGCATCCTGTTAGCGAGCTGCAGTTCTGTGGGGTTGTGCTCTGTCAGTCAAAATGAAACAAGGAAAATATATAGTCCGGTTTTCTCAGGATTATAACTTCTGCATTTACTCCAGAAACTTTTCTCAGATGTGTCATCCTGGTGATATATTTAACTATTTATTTTTAGATGACAACTGATGGATCTTAGTAATTTCTTCACTTTTTCAAAAGACAGAGAAAGAGTCTGAAAGCATAAAACTGTTTTTCATTTTTACTGTAAGCAAAATAAGATCACACTGCAGAAAAACTCTGGGCTGATGAGTCAGTGAAGTTTTAATCCTGAGGTAACAGGTCTAGAAAATTCGGCTGCTGCACAAAGTTAGGTCAGGCTGAAGCTAAATTTACAGAGCAACATCTTTGTACTCTCTTTAAAAAGAGCTCTGTTTACTTAAAAACACTGATTAATCCTTCACTTAGAGTTTCTAAAGAGCAACCAAGAGTGTAAACACTGAGAGGAAGAAACTGTGCCTCATTCAAGCCCCGTCTCCTTCAAAGTCCAATTAAGTGAGAAAATCACATTTTGAGGTGTAAATATATCCATAAATTCAGGCCTGCAGAAGAAGAGGGGAGGGTGCCTGAACACACCATGTCTGAGCGCGTTTTAGACCCATACTGACTCACTGAGTCTTTTCTTAAAGCTGCGACTATGGAGGTTAAGGGGCGGGGCTTAGATGAGATACAGGTACAGGGAGTTGAAGGCACCTGAGGGTCGGGTCAAGTAATCCAGGATCAGACCGTTTTGAAGTGTGTGTGTGTGTGTGTTTCTTCCATGTTTTTGAGGACCCTTGTGACGACATTTTTCCTGAAGAAGAAACATTTGGACATTCAGGCTCAATTATCAGCCAATAAAGATTTAAATCAGAGTCACTTTGGTTCATGGGGAAAAAAAACTAATTTTCAATATTTTCTAGCTTTAGTAGTCATCTTTTCTAGCATTGCACTGTATTATGTTATCATCGCATGATAACTTAAGTATACTCAGGGCCCAGTTGTTCAAAGACGATCAAATCAGCTGGGAGACTTAGTTCCTAAATGTTGGGATGATTTTGCCCAAGAAATCAGGATTATTCCGATCAATGCAGAGTACTCAAGTCGGGCTGGATTACAGAAATAAAGGGTTGAAACCATTTTTTACTCTCCTATTTTAACACGTTTTAAAACTTTGCTCTTGGATTTCAAATTCCTGACAATTATGAATGAAGCCCTTAAGTTAAAACGCCAATAAAAAGCTTTAAAATCCTGCTTGGTCATTAAGCTTAATCATTTATAAGCAACTGTATGACTTTTTGTTGGGAGGTTAGCGCCCCCTCTGGTCAAAGTATGTAAGGGCAGCCAATCTGTTTTTTGGTTTTTTTAAAGGTAATAAAAGAGGGAAAATGAATTAACTGATCCTGAATAATGACAGGTGGATTTCTTAATTTGGGGTTTTTAGTCCAAGATTGAAATTTTTGAACAACCAGGCCCTGGAGATTTTTTGAGGGGGAATCTGGGTAATAAATTAAGAAGAGGCTGTTTGAGTCACTCCAGTCCAACGGTCCTCACAGGTTGTGTTTGAAGTCGGTGTAGCACAGAGGTTTCGGTTACTTATATGCAGTAGTGAAAGCTAGTGGAAGTTAATGTGCAGGTTCTCACAAGAATAGAACTGCACACACGTTTGTTAGTGTTTTTCAGTCCAGGTAGGAACCACCTGCTCGTCCTCCTCCTCCCTGCTTGGCGGTGTTTGCTGCGGTGTTTGCTGCGAGCTGCTCTGAGTCTTTTGGATGCTGTGATGTGGCGTGCTGGGATTAGTCAGCCACGGGTGCATCAGCAGCTCTGCTGCCTCCAGTCTCTCCGCAGGGGACTTTCTTAGCATGCAGCCAACCAGACACCTGGCCTGTGGTGACAGCCAGTCAGGAAGGCTGAAGGCGCCGCGGCGGATCTTGGCGAACAGTGCGGCGGGCTGTGTGTCCTGAAAAGGGTAACGTCCAATCAGCATGGTGTACAGAGACACGCCCAGGCTCCAGATGTCTGCAGCACGGCCCGAGTAAGAGCCTTTCCCGTTAGTCAGCAGCTCGGGGCTCACATAGGCGGGGCAGCCGTGTCTGTCTGTCAGGGAGTCATCGTTGTGGTCACCATGCAGGAGGACACAGTCGTTGAGGCCGAGGAGAGCGAGACGAGTCCTGAAGAGATTCGATCACAGATAAGGCTTTGATGCTGTGAGCACTCGGCGGTCAACAGAAGTTTTAAGGTGCTTTTAGCAGTTTCTATAGACTTTCATATACATATCAACATCATAAATACTTGAAATATTACACTCACAGGCTAATTCAGCATTTTCAGCAACACTGTAACAGGGTGTTGCAGAATGGTTCTTAAAACTACAACTATGAGATGATTTTTTAACAATATTTTTAATTTTTTAAAACTCTGTCATGAGTTAATCTGAATCTGACATTTAGCCGTTAACACAGTCTGTATGGACCATCAGTAGAATAATCTGTCTCACCTGTATTTGTCCATGAAGACGAACCTGCGGAGCTTCAGGTCCCTCAGGATCACTCCATGCTGATGACAGTGTGTCACAGCGTTCAGCATCTGAGCGAATAGATGCCCCGCCTCTTCCTCACCCAGACGCTTCCGGCTTCTCACATACGCATGCATGTCACCATGGTGACCGGGCAGAAAGATGTACACTTTATCCTGGCCGACCACCAAGTCCTGCATGCCACAGATGTTGTCATGGTGACCAATGCGGGTGTAGGCAGTCAATCGCTCCTGGTAACCACGCAGAGGGATCACCTGAGCACACAGAAACCAGGAGGGAGGGATCGGTTAATACAGTCACAGTAACAACAGCATTAGTTTTGGTATTTCCAGCTGTTTGTCAGTAAAACTCTGAAGGTTCTTTTTTTTCACTGTGTTCATAATGACATGGTCTCTACCTGACAGGTGTACTGCTGCTCTGTGTGGGCATGCACAGCCTTGTAAGTCTCCTCCCCCTCACAGCGTTCAAACAGGATGTATGGCCCAACTCTGATTGGGGATTGGCTCTGGTCAGCCTTGGGGGTGGGGCTTTTGGATCTGAGGCAGGTGGATCGGTCGGTGGTCGGAGGGGGCGGAGCCAGACGTGCAACTTTGCATTTCAGTAAATTGTCCCGGGGCTCATCCAGTAACCTCTTCAGACACTGCTGAGACCTGGGTGTGGCCACGCCCATGCTCACCTGTGACTGGAGGAGAGAAGTGACATTATCAGGTGAGTTTGTTCTGACTGTGGAGCAGCTACAGCATAAGTTTGAAACATGACAGTATGACGGAGCTGTTGAAGCTGCAGGATATTTTTTCCATGTTCACAGAGAGCCGTGTGCAGACATGTGAAACCAGCACTCATTTCATAAGTGTTCCTTCTGTGAGAATATTTTCTCCAAATGTTTCAGAACAAACTGAATTTAGAGATGAAAATGTAGGAAAACTAAAAAGCTGTCCACATGCAGTACTCTTGTGTTTTGCTGTACACTAAACCACACGTCATAAAACGCAGGGTACAAGGAGAGGTAAAGGTAGACTGCTAGAGAGCTAGTCGTAGCATCCTTCATAGAGAGGATTTGGCACTTTTAAAACTGATGCTAAGACCTAATGTGAATCCTGTTAGAGCTCGTGCCTCTTTGAGTTGCTAATCAATCCAACATTTAAACTTACTCATTGTCCTTTTAACTTGTTTCATTCATTTCCGTAATTTACAATTAGCCAAAAATAGTATTCTTTAAAATAAGAGCATAGTTTGAAAATGCTAACCCGGTGGAAAGACTAAAGAGTATCAAAATAGAAGCATGACAATGTAGCGTTTTATGAGATCGTGTCTGAAGAAGTTTTTGGTCACAAGGCTGATGATTAATCATAAATTTGAACATTATTACAAAATTTATGATCACAGGAGAGGTAATGTGTGAATTAGTCAAGATTGTGGCGTAATGTGTGGCTCCACCTTGTCTTGCATTTTACTCAATATGACTAATTGTGCTTTTATTTTGAAGTATCTTTTATGGCCTTGATGACTGTGAGGTGAAAACCTAAGATCATTCAAGCCCTTATTTACTGGCCCTAATTTAGTCTCGGTTGCTTTGACCTCCATCATGCTGCTGTCGGAGCGTGTTTATGATGCAGTTTTTATGCCTCCTCAGAGTCATCCCTACATGTCCAAAAAGTGAGGATTCATGCTGTGAGGAGTGTGTATGACCAACACACTTTGGAAAAAGTTTGGAGGCAGTTTCAGGTATGCATCAATAGGAAAGCATCTTATTCTTCGAATGTCACTGAATTTCTTTCTTTACTTCATTTTTACTTTTTTGTCACTTTAAAAGACAGAAAAATAAAACCTGAAATTTCTTCAAGGAGAGCCTCTAAAATTCAATTTTCCACCTTATTAACATTCAGATAGTCTCATGCATCTTAATTGTAACTGGCTTTTCAACCTAATTTGGTTGTGCAGCCATTATTCTACTTTATTCATATCATTGTAAACATGTTGTTTTGTTCGGCAAGTTTTCATCTAAATTTTATTTAATTTCTGTTATTTCAGACCAGTCCTCTGCTGGGATCAACTTAACTTGGATTTTTTAATATAAAAGCTATTTTACCCTTAGTCTAGAGCTCAAAAAAAAAAAAGAAAAAAACACACAACACAAGCCTTTTTGAACACTTGATTTCTAAATTTTATCCAATTTGGCTATTTTAATCCAAGACATCTGGACCCAGACACTGGGTTACTTTGGATCAGAACAACAAACAACATGATTTCATGATAGTGTTCCCAACATTTTAACGAGAAAATGTTGTAATAATCACTTTGAGTTTGTCTGACTTGACTATATGCACTGTATTTAGATGATTTGGTGGGATGCCTGACTTTATTGGTCATTTTTTTGTGAGTTCTGTGAGGACAGGGCTCAAGTTTTCACTCTTGGGTTAATTTCTGCACTTTAGCGCCCTCTACTGGTGACACAGCTGCTGGGCCTTCTCCCGCTCTAACACCCTCCTCAGTGTAATTTCCTCTACTGTAATAAGAATGACATGATTATCACATCTCTCTGTGTTCGGTGTCTCTGCTGCTCACATGTTAACGTGTCTATAGGCTTCATGATGAAACTTCCTGTAAGCTGACAGACGCTTCAGCTTTCAGATCGTTGCATCAGAGCACAACAGTTTATAGTTTAAACAGGCTTTAAATACAGTCAACACCTACCACACACACACACATACGCTGACGTGCATGCACGCACACACACACACACACTCTGAGGATGGATGTGTGGTTGTGGTACAGAGTGTTTGAGCCTAGAGTTGGTGTGGTGTCACTGAGTGGAAACCTGCTGTTAGCCAATGCTGCTTTCACTCTGGTGAAACACCCTGAGTCAGAGTGTCACCACGGCAACGTCATTCCCTCACACACACACGCACACACCAATACACACAGTGAATCAGTGCTGTTTGATGTCTCATCTTGTCAGCTATTTGCAAAAGATTTCTACATCACTTTCTGTTGAGCTGCAGTTTCACAATCAAAGATCAGACTAAAAAAGGGACATGAAGGAAAACAAACTTTTCTCCACTGACAGACCATCCTAAACTCTCTTTATTGATCTTTCACTATTTATTCCCTCTTTCTATATGAAATTTATTCACTTATAGCTTTCCTGACCTCTTATAAACTCGAATGGCTGCAATGCACACCTATAAATGTGATCATAAATTAAATTTAATGTAAATAAACAGCCTATAACTGTATGAAAACAGCAACAAATGTCTATCTCATTGTTCTATAGCTTAACTTAATGTCATAAAATCAAATTTTTTATCTGAAAAAATCTCATAACACAAACAGGTTTGGCCGACTCCAAAGAAAGATGAAAAAAATCCTCTGAAATATTATATGGCCTGCAAGACACTGCCTGTATTTGACAACAGAGATACTAATTTGTTCCAACCAATACAAAACATCATTGGTTATATAACCCTACACCTGCTTCCTACCTGTCCTACACTCAAACTGATGCCCCATATTAAACACAACTACCTGCTAGCAGTTCATCCTAATGCCAAGTTGGCTTGCTATGCTAACAACAATGAGACAAAGTAAAGTTAAATCTGAAAATGGATCAAAAGGAATGTCTTTACTGCCCACGCTTTAACAGACTATTAACCAGTTTCTTGAGCAACTTCTGCATCTCCGTGATTAAAGTTTACGTAGACAGTTTAAAAGTCACATCTAGCCTTTGAGTAATGAAGTCCTCTTCAGATCCCAAACCTCCAACTATCTCTGATTCAACAGTTCCTTTCAAAACTGTATTTCCTGAGTTAGTAACTTCATTATTAATCAGCTGTTTCAACATAAACCCACAAAGTGCCTAAATATAGTGACAGACATTCAGCTGTTATCTTATACTTTTTTTGCTTCTCTCTCTATAAATTGTTTCTATGAGCTCTTAACTTTTTTTGTCTCTTTCTGTCTCCTTTATCTTTTAATCACTTTCATATGGTTCCATTGTTTTGATCTTTTAATCCCCTCTATCTAATTTTATTGCTTTTATCTCTGAATTGATTTTCTCATTCTAGTACTTTTATGTCTTTCTAATGTTCCTTTCTCATTTTAATATCATTATAAATCTTTGTTCCTCTTGGTTTTTAATCATATTTTTTTCTGTAGTTTGGGTTCTTCTGCTGTTGGTTTTTTAAGTTGTTTCAGTTATTCTGTAGTTTGGATTCTGGCCTTCTTCCTATAATTGCATGTGTTCACACTTTTGCCTTTGTGTCGATGCACTTTGAATATAAAACCTTATTTGTAAAGGCACTTTATAACAGGAGTTTCACTTTTACAATCCCAGTTGTCTTTTGTTCAACTGGATAATATCTTCAAATCATGTATTTCATCTCAGTTGCAGCATACAAATCCTGTCAGCACTCAAAGCATGGAGAAGAAAACCTTCCAGTTTTAACACTTATGCAGCTCAAACCCCCTGGGAGCACATTTAAACCATGTTTTTTTTTGTTGTTGTTGTTGATTTTATGCATCTATAAATACTGCTGTTGTAATTGTAGTTGTTTTTAATTACTTGTATCTGGGTTCTTTGTTTGTGCAGGTTCATCAGTGTAAACAACATTTTGCTGGAAAGACTTAAGAACTGTGAGTAGACATTACACTGTACCAGTGCAGTTTCCAAATCTGACCTCATTTAAAACTACAAGACTTTGTTTTTTTACTCTGTCTCTATTTTCTCAATCTCATATTCCTACTTTAATAGAATACTCTGCATACTGTACCTGCTCTTATCATAGATTTTAGCAGAGTGGGCAACACTGGCTCAGGTGTAATACGAGTTGGTCTCCCACAATGACTCAAACATTCAGCACTTTAAATTAACACTCTTTTCTTGCTTTTTCTACAACTTTCAGCTGAATCACTCTGTGTGCAAACATGCACAGAAACTCCTTACAGCAAAAACAGCCACTGACTGAGCTCAAGTATCAACTAAAACATCAACAAACAACTGAGTTCACTGCATCAGCTGATGCAACATGAATCATAGTTAAGGAAGAAGCTATAAAAGGGTCATTACCGAGATAAGAAAGGGAGTTTGCTGTTTGTGGTTCAGTCTGTTTCAGTTTCAAAATGACAGCTATATTGAACACACTGCCCTCAGATATTGATGTAAAACATCTACAGTACAAATGTTTCTAGTTCATAACCCTGTCAATGTTAACAGCATTTCAGAGGTTAATGGTTAATTAGTTATGAATTAAAACATTGTGTGAATTATACTTTAAAATCTGTCCCCAAAATCTGAACGTTACCTCCCCCATTTAAAAAAAAGTGAAAAATGAAGAAGCTTTCTGCACGTTGATGCATCGTGAATATCTATAGGTACGATAAAAATCAATATCGAACAGTATAATATCCTTTATAAGAATCCACTATATATTGCAGTAGCCTATTGAAGCACATTTCTTTCACAAACGTGTGCGCTTTTAAAATTTTTGGATAACAAACTTAAACATAAAGCATCAGGTTGGTCTCTTACCTTGTGTTCTTTAGACTAACTGATCCGGATTGTGGGTCAACAGGAAACCAGCAGATCCAGTGGAAACCAAAGTAGAGTCAGTGTGGAGCTGATGGTCTCTCTGGGTCGGTTTTCCTGTAGCGTAGGTTTTACTGGAGACGTGAATTCAGAAAGTTTCCAAAGTTTGTATTCAGACAGGAATCATTAGATCTGTTGATACTGGGAGGACTGGAGAGGACTGTACGTGGCTGACGTCTTTGTCTTGATATTGTTGTCCTGTCGGTTGCGCAACTTTTCGTCAGTCAGCTGTCAGATTTTGAATTTCTTCTTTTGTTGGACTGACATTAAACTTTAACACAAAAACGTGAAAAAATTAACGCTTGAAAAAAATTAAAATAACATAAAAATGAAACTGCTGAAAAGAAAAATTCCGGAGCTAGAGCGAACAAAGCCGAGTCCTCCCGCTCTTCCCTTCGAGTTCAAACTAAAGTAAACTCCAGCTCACAGTTTGGTCTTTGTATCCAGTTTGACCCTCCAGACTCTAGTTCATCCAGACCCGGCTCGTCTCCGGAACTTCAGGGCGCTGCGTGGACCTGGACTGACTGACTGACTGACTCTGAGTTCTGCTTGGTTACGTTGTTCCTCACCCCGGTGTCGTCATCCGGCAGGGGGCGGAGCTTCGATGTTGCAATCCTGAGCAGATCAGTCGTCAGAAAACAGACACGAGACCAAACACAAGAGTTTCGTTATGATTCAATTTTGGACAAAAGCTGAACCGAAAAAAGTTACAATAGCTACATATATTTTAACTACTGCATTAAAAATGAAAATTATACAAATTTTGTTTTTTTTTTAAATCAGCCCTAAAATCCTTAAAAAAAACAATTACATAACACAGTTCTAACACATAGCCCACTGCCCAGTGAAATCATTCTTTGTCATTAAATTCATAACTTTAATTTGTTAATATCGTAGGGTGAAAATGACGACTATAGAAGTTATTTCTTTCCACTTCATAAAATGCAGTAAAACTCGTTAATTCCCGCCCCAAAGTTTTAACTCAGTTTTTAGTGTTACATCATGCTTTAAAAAAAAATAAATATATATATGTATATATATATATATATATATATATATATATATATATATATATATATATATATATATACATATATATATAGTACAAATCGTGAAGACAAAGAAAATACAAAAGTTTAACCAGTTTTGTGAGGAAGTCAAACATGGTAAAAAATAAATTAAAATAAAATTACCATAAACTTTGTCATAACTCTTGGAAATTGGGTCATAGTTGCAGAAACAAAAAATATGAAATGAAAAGTCAAAACGTGCTGAAAAGTCAAAGTTGTGGGATCAAAAGACTTAATCATTGAGGTGAAGTAAAAATTGTAAGGTTGAATAGTCAAAATCATGTGAAAAATAGTCATAAATAATACATGAAATGAAAAAATCATTACATCAAAAGCTGGAGTGATGAGATAAGGAGCCATTTTTATGATACAAAATGAAATAAATATTTCTAAAAATTTTAATTTTGAGATTAAAAATCATAACCATAAAAGGAGAAATATTTATCATTCATGAGATGATTAGTCAGATTTATGAGGTAAAGTCATACTCATCAAAAAGAGAAAATAAGAGGCTGTAGATATCATAAGTCATCATTATGTATAATCGAGATAAAATTAATTTTGAGATAAACAGTCAAATTGTGAAGTAGTATATGGTATTATAAGATAAACCGGTCCTTTTAATTTGACTTTATTGAAAAATTTGACTGTTTGTATCACAACTATTACATTTTGTTTCATATTGAAAACTCTTGATTTTAGTAATGACTGAACTTTTGATACTTTTGCTCATTGAGGCTTGGGTTTTTTTCTACTTAGGTACAAAGTTAAAAAATATAAGAAAATATAGTAATATTGTTTTTCATTAGATTTTAAAGAGAAAAAGAATTGATCGCAGGTCATGGAAATAATCGATTTTACTGTGTTTCATTTTATTTTACTGACTTGGTATTAACACTCACCTAATTTAAATAAGTGCAGACATAAAGACAAAGTAAAGGAGGTTAAACCTAACTGTTCTGTATATTTACCAAAGTTTGCATTTTCATCAGTGGCTTTTTTAGACAAAAGTTCCTTAAAATTTCTTGTTTCACAAAAGTGAAAGAGATACAGACAATAAAACAGATAATAAAACAGTCATGGCTGATGAACAGGAAACTGCTATTTATTACACCTTCAAAGCTTTTATTGAGAAACTGTGAGTCTCTCAGAAACGGGCTACATTCACCAGAGGCAAGTGTTTCTTCCTGTTAAAAATATCACAGACAGCACGTTGATGTCGTCAGTCGCTGCAACACACAGGGATGTAATTTTACTCATCAGCTGCTTCTTTTATATAAATAACGTGATAACGCTGTTCGCTGACACACCAGGCAGGACTGAGAGATGAAATACTTTAAACATCAGCTGTTCAATTCTCCTCTGGGTGTTATTTTAATGAGGTTTTTATAATAGACAAAAAAAAAAAACATGTCTGTAGGTGTAAGTGAATACCAGCATTTTTTTTAATATTAGTGACGACAAACAATGTAATAGTCTTTAAAAAAAGAAAGCCTAATATTTGAAATAAATAGATATTAACCAAAAAAGTCTCCTGATATAGTTAAACTCCTCAGAATAAATCTATCCCTGTCTCTAAAAAAGTAACATTTACATCACTAATGATGGTCGATCAATGAAAGAGAAACTGAACTCAAAATCTATATTTGATCAATACCTACAATAATATTGTGAGAACATATAGTATAATATAACAGATGAGCTTTTCCTTGAAAGGCTGACAGACCAATTGCAGCTTCACGCACAACCTGCTCTGCTCCCTCACCTGCTGACCTTTGACCTTAATCTGCCTTCAGTCTTTAGTTGTGAGCTCAGCAGCTGTTCACCCAAGTTTTTTCCACATACAGAAGCACATGTGACACGTTTCTGAACCGGATCCACCTGATAAATGATCTGATTATCACCTGTTTCATACAGTATATGCTATATAAAATAAACTCCAGGTAAATTAATACCTGAGACTGAGGACTCAGAGTCTGACTTTGAACTGTGTCTGGACTCAAACAGTTAACATCAGATTCATCAGATATCGACATATTCCCAAGTTTCAAAATATCTGAAGACCTTTACAAATGTCAGAAAATAAAGATTTTTGGTTTTGTAGTGATAAGTGGCTTAACACTTATGGTTCATCTTAAACAATGTTTCTTTGACCTTATTTGTAATTAAATATTTATGAGAAATCATCCAGGCCTTTTTCCGGTTCATAAAAAGAGTTGACACTATGTAATGACACTAGGGGCAATTTGGTCCGGCCTGACTTCATTTACGCAGGCCACAAAGACCATGTCCTGTGAAGAGCAGAAGTAGAGCAATATTAGTAAAGTTTTGAGATGGGGGTTGACTACGGGGTCCATCAAAAACTTGATAAAACTTGATAATAATAAGTTTGAGCTTATTGAGTCAGCTATCAGGTCCCATGGAGTAACATTAAACTTTGAGTGTAGGCACGCCATGATATCAGAGGTGCCTGCGAATGTATAGATCCTTTTAAATTGTTTTTTAAAGAGTAAAAAAGTACATGAAGAAGAATTATAGTGGACTATTGTAAAGATGGCTGGTCATGCAAAGACGTCTAAAGTGTATCTCCATTTTACTTAAGCTAAAGATGCCATTAAATGTTGCAAAATTGTTTCTTGCAAAGGGGGGACATAACCTCTACATCTGCACTGTGCATAAAATGAAGTACCTGCAGAACCTTTGACTGTCTGCAGCTTGAAACAACTTAGTCAGCTCCAGCAGCTGCAGGCCTGCCATCCTCCTCTCCATCCAAGTCCTGTTAGTTAAATTCATAATCCATGTTGAAATCAGCAAGACATAAGCTGGTTAGCTAACTAATTACACTGTGAGATGTTCACAATCTGGTAGAACAAGAATAAAGCAAATGTTGATGATCTGTTTAAATGTAATATCCAAAAAAGAGCATATGATTTTTGGTGAAAAGTCTGTATGAAGACAATTGTGTGGAGTGAAACAGTCTAGAAAAGACTTGATAATGGTCTCAGTATCATAAAAATTAACAATCCCGATCTTTGGTCAAGTTGCTAGAAAAAGAAAGTGTTAGTCTGGAGCTGCACCGGCATAGTAATGACAGAAATTTGAAAACAGCTGAAAGAGAAGCAGCCAAAGAAGTTTTCAGGGGCTTCATTATGACGAATGTTTTATAAAGGTAATTGATGCAAAATGAGAATATTGTAAGCACCCCAGTGTCGTTTCACCCATCCTTATGAATGCAAACCAGAGATCTTTCCTCCATATTTAGTGCTCATATTCAAAGGTGCATGTAAAACCTACCTTAGAAGTTTAAATTGGTTTTAAAAGCACATCTAAAAACAATTAAAACACTTGAAAACTTCAGAGTAAGGAAACACATAAACATGCAAATTAACCTGCAAAAAAACTCCTTTAATTTGCTTCATCTGTTTGCAGACAGCATAAGATGTGAGTGGATTTCTAACAGTGAAGTCAGAGAGGAGTCACCCTACAGCAGGAACCTTCACAGACTCTTCACCTGAACTTCCAAACCTGGGATCACCTTTAATCCCTGCAGACACCTGCTGCTCCACAGGAAATGAGGTCACAACTCTGTCAGGCAGATTTCCTGTTTGTGTGTGACCTGTGACCTCTGGGTGAGTGTGTGGAGTCATTTAGCTCAGCTCTGATTGGACGGAATCACAGGGACAGGTGAGGAATCTGACTGACCTGCTTACCCACACACCAACACACACACAGACACACACAGCAGGTTATCTCCACATGGTTAGTGTGTTTTTACGCCACATGATGAAATATTGAAGAAACAGAGGAGGAGGAATACTGTCAGTGTGTGTGTGTGTGTGTGTGTGTGTGTGTGTGTGTGTGTGTGTGTGTGTGTGTGTGTGTGTGTGTGTGTGTGTGTGTGTGTGTGTGTATGTGTGTGTGTGTGTGTGTGTGTGTGAGTTAAACTTTACTGTCTCTTTCATAACCGACGTGATGAAATCAGAGGCCAAGTGCCTGACTCAACTGCGGCCCGCTGCGAGAACACACATATTCAGCACTCACGCACACACTTAGAGAACACACACTTGGTGAGCACACACTCCTGAGCGGATCATTTCTTATTCATACTGTCCTCGTTCTCAGGATGATCACCTGCTCGACCTCTCTGCAGCCGTGACTGATGTTTCATCTGCACCTGAGTCAGGCTGCAGGGTTCCTGTTTGAGTGTGTGAGCATGCATGAGTGTGTGCGTGTGTGTGTTAAAGCTTTAAATCCACCTCCTGCTGTCTGCTCTCTCAGCTGTGTTCTGGTGGTCTCTCTGTGCTGCAGGGCATGCTGGTCTATGGAGCCCCAGGGGCTTCATGCTGGGTTTAATATTTGGCTAACAGAGGGAGCGTTAAAGACCATTAGAGCCTCGGGGAGGATGAACCACTAGGAGTGATCCAGTTCACTCGGTGGTCTGAGAGAAGAAGGTTTTTCTTGATACAGCGTCACTACACATTTTCCCTTTTGCAGCTCATGCATGTTACACATTCAAAGCCGACTTTGGGAAGTTCAAATTATTTGGATTTCAGTCAGTCTGATGTGTTTTCACATATTTTAAAGTCCAGTTTCAGTCAGAAAAATGCAATAAATTAATTCTTTTAACAACATATAAATATACTGACTAAGACTGTCATGATCTCAGAGTGTCACTTCCCAGGTATTATGGCCTAAAAAAATCATGATAACTATATTTATGGAAAACTCATATTGTTAATATTTTTAGCAACATTTTTATTTTTTTCTGTCTTGTGTCTCAGTTGCTTCCTTTTCTGCATCATCAAACTGTGCTTTTATTTTGAAGTCCACCACTTCTGGTAGATTGAGAGTTTTAGAACTGAATGAAAAGAGTCCAGAAGATATAAATATTTGGATTCACAGTAAATCTTTGTATTTCTGTTTTTCGGATCATCTCCTACTGAGCTGCTTTAAGTCAATTCACGAGCACTCTGCTGCTACTCAATTCATAACGTGGAAGCCATTACTTTGTGCATGCTCCACCTGTGCAGCCCCTGACAATGGATTAGGTCGAGTTTAAAAGTGAGGCACACCAAACTGCGGGGAAAATGGAGTTAAAGCAAAACTTGGCATTTGCACCAAGCTACAGATATCCCTCCACAAACTTTGTTAAAATGAATAAAGCTGTAAGTTTGTTTCATGCAATCCTCATGAAACTCAAATTTGATGAAATTCTCGAATGCACAAAGTGAATGATGTCAGAAAACAACTTTAGTCCTTAAACACTCGATGCTGATGCTGATTTTATTTTATGTAATGTTCCTTTTCCCCAAAATAAATCCAGATGTTTTTTAAAAAATATGTTACTATAATTACGCACTAACTGCTGCTTGAACAGAGGAGGTCAAAGGTTGGACACTGTAATGCTCATAGATACACAAGTACACACAAACGCACACACACGCAAACACTGAGGCATGTCACAGCGGATGGAGTCGTCATGCCAGCAGCAGACATTACTGCTGGTTTCATCACAGAGACAATCCCAGGCTGGCCCCACTGTATATGTGTGTGTGTGTGTGTGTGTGTGTGTGTGTGTGTGTGTGTGTGTGTGTGTGTGTGTGTGTGTCACATCTCTATAAACACACACACACACACACACACACATACAGTATTTAAGTGTCTTCTTATCTCAGTTTTGCATCATCCCTGGTGACCTCTCTAAAAGAAAGAGAGAGCTCGTGCACGCACGTGCGTGTGTGTGTGTGTGTGTGTGTGTGTATTAGGCATTACAGAAGAGACTGAAATAAAGAGGCTTAGACAGATCAGGTTTCATTTGATGAGGCTGCGGTGAAAAAGAGCGACTGACAGTCTAATAACCAACAATTATAAGACTCAGAGGCCCAAAATAACTTAATTAAAATAAGACTCAAACAGCAGGACTGAGGTAATCTAGAAATACCGGACTCCTCTCTGAATTTGCATCCTGGTGAGTCTGCATGCTGAGCTAAAATTCAAGTTAAAGTCTGCAGTTGGACATTTCAGTGTCGTTTCTGCAAAGTTTGATTGAGTGTTCTAGGTGCACGATGCCGAATTTGGTTGTTTTTCTTTCTTTGTGTTATAACTTTGTTGCAAACAAGTGTCTTTAATCACATGCAGACCCACAAACAAAGAAGATCACCAATTACCCGTCCATCCCTCTCAAAGGTTTAAATCCCACACAGTAACGCTGCTGTTGTCGTTCTGCAGCTCGGATTTATGAATCAAACAAATCCCCCTCTCTGGATTGTCCTCAGTGCCTCTCAGGTGAGTTGCATCAGCGGCTAATTAGGCTTCATATTCTCCTCCCATGTGACCTTCAAATCCTGCCCTCGTTCTCCAAAATAAAAGCCTCATCATCAGAGCGGAGGGCGATGTTTGACGTTTATTGGCATGATTTACATTCGAATAAGTCGGCGCTCTCATGTCAGGTTTCAAACAAATGAATAAAGATCTTCTGCAGCTCGGTGAACAATCAACACGACATTTTTGAAGAGTTTGCATCATATCAGACGGATGGTTGGGATGGGAAACTTTTCAGTGCTTGGGTTTACATCATAAACCTCCTGCTTCATTACCGTGGTTGTTTGATTGTGTGTGAAGATTGAAACATGGTGCAGTAATTCAAACCAACATCCAGAGATGTAACAAAGTCCACAACTTGGTACTAAGTGGCTTAAATACAAACAACCTTATCCTTTACCCTTGAACTTGATTTCATAGGTATGTTTAAAATAATCCATGGCTCCTAAAAACTGAATTTACTCACATCCAAGTCCGATCTTAAGTCCATGAGTGTGATTTTGGTCTGCAGGGGGAAACTGGAGAACCAACACAGATGCAAACCTCAGTGAGACCCTTACACGGCCCTTTCCTCTAAGAGCCAAACCACTGCAGCACCATGCAGGTGGAGTTCATCAAAAACATTTAAAAAATTAAGAAAGTAAAGTAATTAAAGAATTTTTTTTTTTTTAAATGCAGCAAGAGATTCCTAAGTGGGAGTTTTTCAGCTTTTGAGTACATCCAGATCTGAAGTCAAATACAAGAGAGAAGCAAATACTCGATAAGAAATCTTAAGTTTGCGCTACTTAAAAGCTCCTGTAAGGAACTTGCTGTCTCTGTTGACTTTGCCCCCCCTGTGGACAGAGTGTTGACCCATATAAAGCTGCTGATTTTGTCTCATGCTTAGAAATCTGGTTTGAATTTGACAGAGAAATAAAGCAGTCACTGACAAGGAGCAAAGACTGTTTCTGAAGCGTACCTGCCCTCTCCCAGCACTTGGACATTAAAAATGACCTCTTAGATGCCACTGATCTTGTCATCAGTAGTCTTATTTACTTTTGAACATCATTGATGTCTCATCGTTCACTCTGATTTGTTTCAAACTAATCAAAAATTCCTTACATGAGCTTTAAGTTGACCATCTTCATTTTTAAGGAAGTTTGCAACTAAGAATAAAGTTCAACAGTCCTAAATTTTGTTTGTCCACCGACCATTTTCTTGAAAAATATCAACATTTAAATAATTTTAATGTTTGAGTTCAGTAAATATTAGGCTGTATACAAGTTTCCTCCAACATATCGGCAAGGCTTCACAAACAATAAGTAGATCTACATTTTCATGAATAAATTCAGACAGTTTAATGAACCTTTTCAAATGTTTGTGTCTGAGTCTGAGCAGAAAAAAACAACAACAAAAAAAACCGCCTGGATGAATACATCTATGATTTAGAAAGGAAAAAAGGAAGCTAAATGGATTTATTTTTGCAGTAAAACTTTCACACTCAGGTGTAAAAACTTTGGATAAGACTTAAGTGAAGAAACTCTCTGTAGTTAACACCAAAGGTGTATTTTATGGAAACTCAGAAGAAGGTCAAACTTGTGTCACCTGTGAAACCTCAGTGTTCAGGCTGGTTTGAGGACTTTAAGTTGAGTGAAACTTGATTTGAGCCATGAGTTTGAAATTTAACACATTTAAGAAGAGAGGCCATTTTAAAGCATCAAAACAAGCAGGTAAAAAAACTGTTTATAAAAATCCCAAACCTCCAAAATATCAAAGACACATCAGACATGAACTCTTAAATTAACTTTGAGGTGCGTGTGTGTGTGTGTGTGTGTGTGTGTGTGTGTGTGTGTGTGTGTGTGTGTGTGTGTGTGTGGTTTTATTGCTCTCCTGTGCAACCATCAAATGCAACTTGAGGCAATACCCAACACACGCACACACACACACACTCGCCCATCTCTGACTGAAACAAACAAAACAAACAAACACACACACACACTCCCTCTAACACCATCCGGCTGCTTTCTGCCGTAACGAGGTGCAATCAACACGCAATGCTGACCAACACACACACACACACACACACACACACACACACACAGAGGCTGGTTGAAGGGTGAAGTCAGCCTCTGATTGCAGAGGAGTTACAGAGTGTTGAATAGTTTCTGTATGACTGTGTGTGTGTGTGTGTGTGTGTGTGTGTGTGTGTGTGTGTGTGTGTGTGTGTTCTGTGTGTGTGTTTGTGTTGACCTCATACTGCCATGATGTCACATCTGTACTGTAATAGTTGCATGAACAGCAGCAGGCGTCCCAACACAGCCGAGTTTTCCACATTCATGTAGAAAAACAGTCGACCAAAGAAACACGAGAAACTTAATTTTAAAACTTTTATTTATTTTTTGACTTTTTTTCTCTCGGCATTAAAAAAAAATCTTTTTAAACTCACCGAGGTCTCATTTTTTGTAAATTTATATTTTGTTTTAAAAATCTAGAATAAAACAGTTCATGTGCATTTACAGTGAACTAACTCCAGCCTCTGTTTGATGCAGATTTGACACCTTTGCAGAGCCTGCTGCAGAGTCTGGGAGTGAATGAGAGGAACAGGAGTGCAGCCTCCAGCCAGGACACACCCCCTGCAGCACTAACACAGACAGCAGGTAGGGTCATCACACCAGATGTTTGCAGATGACACAGTTCATCACGCCCATAATTAAACATGAGAGCGAGCTGCCTCTGAACTCTGCAGCACTCTCAGCACCAAAATATACAGACTATTTAAAGTGTAATAACAGACTCTAAACAAGTGCACCAAGTTGAAACTCAGTGCAAAACTCACACAGGTACATGTAAAAGATAACAAATAAATAATCAGGACATTGACAGAGATGCTTCAACACTCTGCACCTCTGTGTGGCTGCTAAGTATTGATACACAAGAACCATGCAAAAACAGTCTACATTTTGAGACTGCATGAACAAATAATCCTACTAGATCTGATCCTGAGCCAGGGGAACCAAAAATTTCTTGGCATCACAAAAAAATATCTGCTGATACCTCCTAGTAACCAACAGATTAAGTCAATGCTCTTTAACCCCCAGCTTGTCCTGCAAAGATCTCCTCTCAAACAGCAAACTTTCCATTGACTTCACTCTTAAACCAGATATCAATTTACTGAAATAATCCACCTGATGCCTGGACTCACAATTAACAGATTATGTCTGCAGACACTGCAGGCAGCCTCCGTGTTGGTACAGTGGTGAAAAGTTTGTTTGAAACTTTATGCCTTTTCCAATAACTCTCATGCACTCATACTAGATCACTTATGCCTAAATTGCCTCAGTCAACATCATCTTATCTTCATGATAAAAAGTTTTAAACCTGTTTTAAATCATTTAAATCATAGCAGATCAAATCTTAAAACTGGCCAGTTGTAATGTAGTTTCTGTTATTATGCAGAATAATACTGTTTAATATCATCATGATCTAAAATGATAAAACCAATCAATTAAAAGTTAAGAATTGGTCTAGATAAGAAAGCCATGTGCATTCAATGCTGAAACTGTGCATGATTTTATTATCTGTTTTAACTGGTACGGTTACCCTGCATGTTATCTGTTTAATTAATGACAAATGACAGACACCCTGGAAGTCCCTTATGGTGACATTTAGCCAAGCAAACTTAAGGTTAGATCAGAATGATGTTCACTGAAGTTCATCACTTTTGCTTCTCTGTTGTTGTACCATGGTCCTAACAAACTGAGGTCATAAACTATCAGAGCTTTGGTGAGCTGCTTGTTTCAAAACTAAAAGGGTGAGGACTTAAAATCAGACTGACATGAAAGAGCTGATCGCTGACATAAACACACTGAAGAGCTTCAGCAGGAAAATGTTTGAGCTGCATTTGTTAAGGGTTGAGTGTCAGAGGATGTTTGTGCTCTGAATTATTGATGAAGCACCATTAATTAACTTTTCTCACAGTGTTTTTATGTGATGAAACCAGTCCAGTTATCTCCCATCTGCTGCATCCTATGTGTGTGTGTGTGTGTGTGTGTGTGTGTGTGTCAGTTTGATCTGCTCAGTGTCTGCATGATGCAACACACATACAATAGCCAATAACCCGCACACACACACTCCCTCACTTTGTTGATGAATGACAGTCAAACACTGCAGACGTGAAGCTCTTCAGTCAGATCACACAGACTGAAAAAAACACCAAAACACTGTCGACTTCAGCTGAACTCTGAAGTCACAAACAGGTGATTCATGCTCACCTGAACTCTGATCTGCTGCTGAGTGAATAATGTTTGCTCTCTGTTTGTCTTTTTGTTAGTGTCAGCAGAGTGAAGTGAGATTGAGGAAGAGCCGCTTTAAGCCACTAGAGGGAGACAAACTCCACCAGCTCAGCAGGTCAGCTCTGACTCTCACACAGGGTCTGATATGTTGAAAAAGTGTCTCAGTTTGTCTCATCCATGGGTCATATCCTAATCTTTTAAAAAACGAATATATAAAGCTAAAACTTGTTTAAACTTTACTGAATATATCCTCATTTAAAGCATCTATGAGGAACTTTCAACATATGAAAAATAATCCTTTTAGCTCTCTCTCATAGTCGGACGACAATACCTTGATAATGCGGTTTTCACTTCCACTTATACTAGTTTATCCAACTGAAACTGGTCTAAGCATTCTGCAAATGCTCCAGTGTTTCAGCCCAGAGTTTAATCATGTAAATGCGTCGTTGGTGAGTAAACGGTTGTAAACAAAATCCTTGACTGATGAGGACAGAATGTAAAAATGACAAAAATGTCCTATCATACAAACAAACACTACAGAGCTGTTAAAGTAAGCCTGTTGTTGTCGTTTGGCATACATCCTGTTAGCCACTTGCTGACACGTTTCGTCGTTTTGGTGCGTAATACCTCAACCATAAGAGGTCACCACCACAGCATAGGCAGACATGCTTCAGTCGAAAAATTAATAAATCAATTCCACAGTCATCCAGTTAAATCGTTCTGTGCCTGTTCACTTACTGGCTCACTCTGAAAGTGTAGTTTAGTCTGGCACAAACCACCTCTCATTGGTTGCAAACATTAAAGACCAATCCAGGCTAAGGCAAGTGTGTTGTCGCTGTTGTCCCAAAATCAAGAAAACCTCCCATTATTTTCTGCTGCCTTTGTCCTTGGGAAGTGAAAATCTGACTTGTGTCTTTAAAGAAACTGAAGTCAAATAATTCCAACCTGTGAAAATGTCATTTATTTCCATTATCAAAATAAAAAAAAACGTAACATTTCTATCCCTAAATCACAACCACATCAGTCTTTGTTTCTTCGTGCTTTGTTATTTTGACGTCAGAGTGACTCTCAGAGAGGAAACAGAGTCAGGACCAGAATAAAACCTCTGTCAGTTTGAGGAGCAGAAACAATGAGACAACAATTTGAGAGTCAACAAGAATCTGAGAAATTTACTGACATGTTCTCGATTTTACTCACTGACTGTTTTTAGAGATATATTTCAGTTTACTCTACTTACACAGTCACAGAGGGTATAAATAAAAGACTTAACTCTGATCAGTTTGATGAAGCAATCAGAGTTCTACACAGTCTTTACTGCAGATTTTTACATTAGAATAAAGAAACATCTGAAATTCTTCTTCTCTGCATCTTATAACTAGTCTCAACAAAGACATCTAAATTGGAAATGTAAAGTAACAGCAAATATAAAGTGACTTTGGTTGTGTGCCAACTAGTCCAGATTGAGATCTGTCCACAAGGAGAAAAACAAGAGGCAAATTTCTTTGTGTAACTTCACATTTTTGGCTGAGGAAGCTGATGTTAACAGGTGACATAATTGGCAGGAGCAGGACATCCAAACCGAACAGAACAAAAGTGCTTCATACAGACGATCAAAAGTTTAAGTTTCTTAAACTTCAAATTAAATTTTTGAGTTTCGACATCTGCTCTCACCTCTTAGGTTTAGACTTGGTGTAGACTGACTGCAAGTTAAGTTTGGATCTGATTGGTGCATCAATGTGAGGCAGTTTTCTATCAAGCAGTCAATCAATCAGTCTTTATTTACTTAGGACCACTTCACAACAAGTATTATCCCAAGATGCTTAACAAAGAAAGCAGGTCTAAACCAGACTCTGTTTACAAAGACAGGATCAGACTGAGCCCCATCCTGTAAGGTCAGACCCTCTCCCATCCCATCTTCATCCACATGAGTGAAACACTTTACAGCATTTATCAACTTACAGTGGAGAGGAAGAACTTCCTTTAACAGGCAAAAACCTTGAGCAGGACCAGACTCATGTTAGACAGTCATCTACTGAGACTGAGCTGGGTTTAGAGAGAGAGAGATGGATGAAGGTGAGATTCGAAGGCCCCGCCTATAACATACACATGAATCCTCCACAGTTGAGCACTAAATATCTCTAGTTTTACTACACTGTGAAAAAGTACTTTCTCAATTTCCTCTGGCCTCGCTCAGCTGATGGAGCAGGAGTAAAATTGGGACACGACCATCCGCTTTTAAATCACATACGTCGAAGAATGTCAAATATCTGAATGCAGTTTAAATAAATAGAGTCACATTACCACATTTTAACGTCAGTGAAGGAACGCAGTAATGCCGAGCGTCCAGCCCGACATTAAACACACCCAGAGGCAGCAGAATCCAGGACAGAAAGCAGCAAACGTAACCAAAACTGGACTATATTAACGGATCCAACATGTGACAGTTAAGTCAAATGATTCAGATTTATCTGAGAGCTGTAAGAGCAACAGCGAGTGTGTGTTTTTCATTTATAACAGATTTGTGTCAAATATATTAATACCTGATCTTGTTAAACTTTGCCTCCACATGAACTCTGGGTGGGGGTTCACTCACAAACCTTAGAACTTTCAGAGACAAGGATCACACCACTGCCATGGAACATGTCCCAGTTATATCAGCCTTTTGAACCCAGTCCAAAGACTCCATGCAGAGGAAATAAGAGGATGGATACTGCCCACTGTTGGACCTTCAGCAAGAAAATGAAGATTGCTGACATTATATAACTCCAAAGGATCAAATTCAATTTTAGACATTTTCAAACCCTAAATTTGAACCCCATGGTGCACCAAAAATAAAAGTTATGTGATATTGGAAGTCATTTATTTCCATCCTCTTGGTATCACAAACATTTGCACCAAATTTCATCCTAATGTACAAATAATTCTCTGACATATTGAAAGGAAAGCCTCCAGGACTGGACAGTCAGGCTGGCATTGTATAACTTAATGCAGAAATATGAAGTAATGCAGTGCTGGTTTGGACTGGTAAACTGCAGGCTTCATGTATGGAGGTTATAGTCCTAGAAGAGGCACTTTGCTGCATTTTCCTCTCTCTCTCAGCTCTGTTTTATAATTTCAGTATCAGTATGTGAAAATGGTGTATTTGTTTCAGTATCTGCTGACCCTCCTCACGGTTTTGCTCCCCCCAAGAACGTGATATCAGTCAGTCAGTCTGTGTTTTTAACCACCAGCTGTGCTCTGCTCATTAACCTGCTAACCAGCTTCCATATGGCTTACGTTAGCTCACACACACACACACACACACACACACACACACACACACACACACACACACACACACACACACACACACACACACACACACACAGATAATAGACCACATCTAATCTCTTATATTGTCAGACAAAGGAGAATCAAAACTGTCACGTGAAACCTCTCGTCTTCAGGTTTCTTCCGGCTTTGAATTTTTTTTTTTAACTTTCATTTGATGCGCTTTGATTTATAGAAAGATTCACTTTTGTCAATTTACCTGGTCTCCTCTGGGTCCAGGTCTCCTCTGGGTCCAGTCTAGCTCTGGCTGTGGTCCATCAGGCTCTCATGAGTCTCATCAGCAGCAGCTGATCAGAACCCAAGTTAAAGAGGAACATGTGAGGTGTGGGCGGTCATGAGACAGGATGTGCAGTTTTAATTAAAACTAAAGTGACTGACGATCTGCTTCTGGTTATACCAGACCATCCTCGCTCTGATTGGCTGACTCTGAGTCCAGATACAGACTTAAATATTCAGGATGGTAGTGTGTAATCTGATACAGAGCAGGAAAAATATATCTAACCATGATTGGCTTTAATGTTTATCTATTTTGAGTATGATTTGAAGCGTTGTCCAGCTTACTGTGTAACTTGCATGCTTTTGCACATCAAAGCTGTAGTTCTTAGAGTCCCATCCCCGGAGTAAACTTCCACAGAAATCTTACTCTGTATTCTATATGGGTATAATTGGTCACACAGATGTTTGAAATACAGCACTTTTTTTAGATAACAATGATAGTGTCAACCATCTGTCCATTTTCTTGATCTCTTGTGAGATCAGGTCTAAGTAAGTCAACCCAGACATCCCTTTCTCAGGGGGATCCTGCAGTGTTCCTGGACCAGATGAGATATAAAACCCCTTTAACAAGCTCTGGTCCTACCCCAGACCTCCTCCCAGCCTGAAAACATCCTTAAAGGTAATCCTGAACCATCCTAACTGACTCCTGGAGAAATTATCCTGCTTGGGTCAGGTCTTCAGTTTGCTTTGATAACATTATGTTGCAGATTTATAAAAAGGAAAAAGAAAAACTTTGTCAGGTATTCCTGTAAAATGCTTGCAACATTTATACTATTTTTATTATTTTTATGTGAGTTGATTAAAAATAGAGAAAAAACTACCAGGTAACGATGGTTTAGCCAAGTGATTTGATCTGAATTGTTAAGAGGCTGAAAACTTAAAGTGGTTTGGCCCACACCAAGACCCCACTCTGTCCCCTGTCCTAACTAAAACTCAGGTCCAAAGTTGCATTCAAATAATATGTAAAATCAGTGGTGGTTCAAAGGGAGTCATGAGCCAAAAACACGTGAAACAGCTGTGAAAACTGTCTGCTGTTAGCCCAGCCTCTGAGCGTGAGTTTACACTCCTCTCTTTACACCCATTCACTTCACTAAGTTTAGATATGGTCATGTCAGTGTGTTCGGGCCCCAGGACCCATCTGTGTGTGTGTGTGTGTGTGTGTGTGTGTGTGTGTGTGTGTGTGTGTGTGTGTGTGTGTGTGTGTGTGTGTGTGTGTGTGTGTGTGTGTGTGTGTGTTAGCCTCATGTTCAGAGTTAACTCTGAAGTAAAATCACGTTACTGTCAGCGGGGCTTGACGCAAAACGAGACACTAATTCGAGCTTTAAAAAAATCCTAGATTCTTGTAGAGGAAGGAATCTCGACACACACACACACACACACACACACACCTCTGAAACATTGTCGTCTCATTGGCTGCTGTTGATGAATAGATGAGTTGTTGACCAATCAGCAGCATGTGACCAGTAAATATGTAGACCGGCATCAGCTGGACTCACTCTGACTGTCCCTCTGTCACACACACCCACACACACACACACATACACACACTTGGACAAGCTTCTCTTAAACACACATCAGTCTGCTTTCTATAAAAACATCCTCACTGTCAGTCGTCAACCATTCGTTCAACATGCACAGCAAAGAGCAGATCAGGTAAGAAAGCATCTTTACTGCATCTCTATTTTCTGAGTATTTCTTAAACATGTACATGCATTGTTGGGAACATCAACAACTGAATCTAAAATGCAAGACTTTTGGATTCTTTCGGATCAGCTGGTTGAACATCTGACTCTGAGATATGTTCTCTTTTATAGTGAAGTTAATATTTATGAACTTTACTGTATGTCTGCAGTTTTGTGTCTTTGCTGCTGTCTTGTTCTGATCTTCCTTTAAAAAGAGAGAGATTTTTAACCTTATTTGGACTGACCTGGTTAGATGAAAGGTCAGAGAAATTTATCAAGTAGAAATTTTTTTTAGTCTCCCAGTCGTATACAAAAATCACCATCTTGTAATCATTGTCTGATTTCTACAAAAAATGTATAGTCATCTTTATACAATATTAAAACTTGATTATAATGTGAGTGTAAAGGGGCCAAAGGGAAATCTGTCAAATTGAAAATTGCCTAAATGTTCAATAAGGGTGAGATATTTGATAGAGGACAGGTTTCCACCAATGCTTAGGTTGACTGATGTAGTTTTAGGTGGAGAAAAGTGGAAATAAATCTTAGATTGTGCAAAGACTTTATAAAGAACATGATTGTGCTTCTCTTTGTGCTAAATAAACTGTATTTAATAATGTTCAAGAAAACCTCAGATCTAGTGCAGAGGTTGAAAAAGTTAATCTCAGCTACATTATTTGGAGGTGCTGCATAAGATCAACCCAAGAACTAACCAATCAAGAGCAGTTTGGCTCTTTAGATAGCTGTGCTCATGAGTCAGCCCATCACTAATGGCGTTACTATAAACTAAAATAACTGACATTAACGATTAATTGATTTTATTGGAATGAACACGAGGGTCACATTTTTTCCAATAATTAAGTTTCATAATGAATTTCCTTATCCAGATGATTAAGTCTTATGTGATTTTGTAACTCGGTAATTAAAGAAATGAAAAAAAAAAAAACAACACAATGCAGCTCCACAAAGAACTCATTTCAGTGTCCACTTGGGGCTGGTTCCAAAACCAAAGAGTCCAATCATATGTACAATTATATGAAAGGATTGAACATGTTTACAAGCTGCTTCAAATAACAGTTTTGATGACTTTGTCTCTTATTTAACAGACAGCTATGGGAGATTTGTTTGTATATCTCAATCTGTAAGAATATATGAAGGCTGATAGTTTCTTGATTATAAAATAACTAGCTGGCAAATAGCAAGCTTTTAAATCTAGGGCATAAATGCAACACTCTAAAAAGTTCATAATTATTTGTCTTGTATGGTCATTAATATATGTGTTATTTATGTGTTTTGTGCAAAGAGGTTCGTTTATATATGGGGATGTGGCTTATTTAACTAAACAGCTGCATACAGAGGTTGGTCGGGAGGCTGGGCTGTAGCCTCAGCGCCGCCTCTTTTCGAAGTTTTAGATCCGCCAAGGGTTAATTAGAGTTAGCATTTCTAATTTGGTGGACACCATCTTTACACCTCAGAACAGGTGACGATACTGAGACTACATCCATGTTTAAAAAATTAATAAATTTGTGTGTGTCCAAGAGGTGGAAAATCAGTTCTCTCTACATTAAAAAACAGAAGAAAAAAAGCAATTGCCTCTTTGTCTTTTGGTGAATGTAGCATCAATGGGTATCATTGTGTACACCTGATTTAAACTAGCTTGCAGAAAACTGCTTGAAACCACCATAAAAATCTAATACTCATAAAAAAGGAGATATGAGGACAAGCTGAACTGGTCTTAAATTAACCAGAGGACGTCATGAACCTGGGGCCTGTTCTACGAAGCAGGATTACTGCTTAGCGAGGTAACTTCGAGGGTAAGTTTGGGGTTTCCTGTTCTATGACGCGGGTTCACTTCTTAGCGAGGCGAGTCAACATGGCAACGTACGCTGAACGGCTAACCTGCTCCGGGGCAGGTTACGTTTCAGATTGAACTCACCGAGTATAAAAACCCCGCCCACTGACCAATGAGCTCTCTCGAAAAATGGCTTGTCTGTTCTTGGAGGATCCTATAGACCTCGGTGCTCACATTGTCCGAGGAGCACTCCGGCGCGGGAGAGTTTTCAAGAACCGCATGGACCCACTTACTTCTCCGGATGACCACCTTTATGAAAGGCTCATATGGCCGACATATCACACAAAAATGTAAACACGATAGGAATGAACAAATGAATGGATTAATCTTGGAAATGAATGAGCATGGGCTCCATGGGCTGTGTGATCACAGACAACATTTAGTAGCAGCGCACGCCCCTTGTAATAATAACCCCCGTAAAAACTGTTGTTCAGGACTGCTTACTTGTGCTTCCTACCTACTGTAATAGCCGTTGTTTGAGCCCACATGCAACATTTTTGTTCTCATTCATGAAATGCTTAAATCGCGGACATTTTCGGGGACAGCTTTAGCCGGGGACAGATCATCCAATTCGGGGACTGTCCCTGGAAATCGGAGACGTCTGGTCACCTTAGTTAAAAGCGCATGTTGAACAGTGCTATTTCAGGGTGATAATAGCATCAAAGATTAATTTTCTGCCAGGATTCCTTCCGTGCTTTTGCAGCGGCGATGGTATCGCTTTTGATATTTATGATAGATCTGAATTCTTCATACTTTCTCATGATTGTCTCCTGTTCCTCGTTTTTAAAGTATGCGGTCTTTTGCTCTCCTGCCTGCTCTGACGCTCTAGACTGGTCCATGTTCGCGATTGGTCAGATGCGGCGGGCTCCGCCTTACATGTGTGCACGCGCTCATAGCAAAGCTGGATCTACTTACGAAGTTGATAACCAGCGTCGTAAGACCGTTTAGCGAGACTGCTGGCTACCGCGCTAAGTTGAGCAAGGTAGCTCCAAGGCTAGCTTGCTAGGTTGAACTTGCTTCGTAGAACAGGCCCCTGGGTAAACCCAAGTCCTGCAGCAGCATTATTATAACTGATGAACATGCCGCAGCAGAAAAAAATCAGATAATAAATTGTTCCCTCTGTCTTCTTCTTTTCCTGTCTCCAGTCATGATGAATACCAGAAAACAGCTGATTGGTTGATGTCTCAGACGAAGCACCGCCCCCAGGTGGCGATTATCTGTGGGTCTGGACTGGGCATGCTCGCTGACACACTCAAGTGTCAGGACATCTTTGAGTATTCTGATATACCAGGGTTTCCACAGAGCACAGGTAATCTCTACACAGGTTTATTTAAAAATATACAACCTTGAAAAATATGTTTGAGGGAATATTTGATATTTTATAGTTAGCCGATTGCATAGGCTGATCACTGTGTAAATCATTGATCTTGCAGTGCAGGGTCATGCAGGTCGACTTGTTTTCGGGGAGCTGAAGGGGAAGACATGTGTTTGCATGCAGGGACGCTTCCACATGTATGAAGGGCACTCACTTCTCAAGGTACAAATACACACTTTTCAATGTACAAATACATACTTCTTAAGGTACAAATACACAATTAAAGTTAAAAATGTCTTTCAGCAGTGTGATTTATGTTCATGAAACAGTCCAGTCCTGTCAAAGGAAATGAGAAACAAAGCTCAAAATTCACTGTTTACTGTGATTTGTCAGTTATGTAAGACTGCAGCTGAAAGAATTAACTCACCCTAACAGGCTGTGAAATGTCCTTGGATATGCGACACGAAAGAGTTGCTTGTTTAAGCTAAGAGGAAAAGATGTTGGGTCTTTAATTTACAAAACCCTGTCCACTAAAATGATGGGTTTCTGATTTTACGTGCTGCAAAATAAAAGAAAAAACAGTTCGTAAATGAAGAAGTGTTATAAATACTGGGAGGAGGATTTGTTATTGGTGGAGTTAGGACCACAAGAAGCAGAAATGGAGCTAAAGTGGACATGGAGTAAGCTGCAGGGCGTTAAGTGTCCACCTGAGGCTGCCCCTAAAAGTCAAAGAATCCCCATCAATCAAGCCCTATATTAAATGCTCATTTTTACAGTGGACTTGAACTCTCATTTCTTTATCAGTAACAAGTGTAAAAGTGTTTAACTTGGGTGATTATGGGCACTGCTGAGCTGACAAACACATGGGCCCATTTAACCCATTTGCTAAGAGGCTGAAGGCCCACTGCAGCTCCACCTTTTTTTTTTCCTTTTAGGCTCATTATAGGGTCAGTTGAGTCAGTATTGTTGATGAGTGATATGCACATATAAACACTTTTTAGTCAGCACCAGATTTACCAGACTTGACAAATTATCAGTTATTTTTAGTATCTTCAGCCATTGTCATTTACATGTTGACTCTATGATCCTATGATTAAATGTCATATAAAAAAAACTATAATCAATATTGACTTCATATTCAGTCCTTTAAGCTAATCGTTTGGTCAAAATGTTTAATATTTTCTTTTATTTATTTTTTTATTTTGGCTTTAAACAAAAACACATTTGTCATAGGCTAATAGCACTCCCACCAACAGCTGTCTAAACCCGAAACAGCTTAGTCACACAACCCAAACACATATGGCTGTTTGTAATCAGCAGCATGTGAGTGAACCTGTAACACAACCCGTGAGAGCTACATGATTGTGTGTGTGTTCATGTATGTGCTTGTTCATGTATGCATGCATGCGTGTGTCAGCAGTGAACCCAGATCAGGTCATGCATTTGTCACATGCAGCCTTTTAGCAGACTGTTCAATGCTGCTATTGTTTTCCCTTCTCTGTCTCGCACGCACGCACGCACACACACACACACACACACACATTTTTTGTGACAATGCTCATCTTTGCTCCTTAACAGTAAAACTACTAAACTGGCACTATTATTTGAGTCTTAATTCTGATATGATGTTCAGGTTTTGCACACAGTTCCACCTGTAAGGCTGTACACAGGGCAAAAAAAACCCACAAGGACATTACATAAGGGTCATCTGACTCTGCCTGAAAGTTTTACCAAGAGGGCAAAAATGTCAGACGTCCAGTATCACATTAGCGCTGCTGCCACAGCAACAGGGCCATGTCTTAAATGTGGGGTAGGCAGGAATCTGTTAAGAAGCATCTTTTTTTGTGGTGTATATACAAAAAAGCTTTTGATATCAGTCAATAGATATTAGTTATTGATGATCTTTGGGAATATCACGATATAGCTGTATTTTGTTATGTTTGTTATTGATTGGTTGTGAGGCAGATGCTGCTCCCCCGTGTCGTTCAGGAGCCCAAACAAAATTATTGTGCTATAACATCAGACAGTAGAAACCAACCAGAAAGTACAGAATTTGTCTGAATCCTCCTTTAGCCACGACCACCAACACAAGCAAGAAAACAAACTAAATACCGGAGACTCTGGCAGAATAACAGGCGCTTAAAATGGAGGTAGACCGGACAAGAGCTAAGAAGCCGGGTCAACAATGATGGGGGACATTTCGGGATCTTACAAACCCTGTAATCTTTCTGCGGAACAGGTAAACCGCTTTAACAAAGTAAGCCAAGTAATCCAGAAGTGTTTCTTGTCAAACGAGACCTGCTGTATGTTGTAGTGCCGCTAAACTGTTTACCTCGGGAGTATGTCATTTTATGCTAGTTGTAGAAGTCCTGCAAACATTGGGCTCTATTTTCGTGCCTCGCCGGAGACGTGCCGCAAGCGCAGCGTCAGTCAGATCCACCGCGCTGACAAGGCGTTCCCAAGCACATTTTGGTATTTTGGTGAGCCGCGCAGCCCGGCGTAAGTATCCCCCCTCCCTAACTCAGCTCCTCCCAGCAGCATAAGTCGTAGACGGGGAGGAGAGAGGGCGTGGAGTGGGTTTAACACAGCCGAGACCTGTTTTCACCAATCACATAAGCTCCTCTCCTTGCCTTTAAATCCGCCACAGGTGAGGCATATTACTATTTTCATGAAGTAGTCAAAGAGATCAGGAGATGTCTTAAGACAGTAATGCCACAAGATGGCGACAGAGGGCAGCTCCTCAACAAGTGTCCTCCACACTCTCTCATATGAGCACAGATGGATTTGGTGTGTGTAATGTTGGACCCACTGGTAAGACAAACACCCTTTTCCACAAACAAAGACACTCACATAAAGTTGCATATATTCAAACCTCACGTGACAAAGGTGGGTTGAGCGCACAGATCACAACATAAACTCCAAAAATGGCATTAAAATTGGAACCATCTGTGCGTAAATGACACATCGCGCTCCGTGGCCTGGCTCTTTCTTTTATAGATGTTGGCATATAAAATAAATTTGGCTCACAAAACTGAATAGCAGGACGGAGAGAGGACACGGAGACATGTCCAGGTCGAGCTGTGCGAGAAATAAGAGGAAGAGGAAGAAAGAAAAGGAGGGAGACGAATTACATATCTTGTTAACTTCATCATGTGTGTTTATTTACCAGATATTTAATTTAATTTAATGCGGTTTCAGCTGTGTTAATTCGGTCAGGTTGTGTGGCCAAACGCGTGCCAAACGCGCTCATCAGATCACATTTAGATCAGAATATATCTATATAGATCTAAATGTATGTGCTGACTCAGATTATTAGTTGTTGATGATTATTTATTGCACTGAAATGTGCCTGACACTGTGGAAACCTGCCGGTGAGGCATCAGTGACGTATGTCGATACGCCGCCGGTCTACCAAAATACTACTAGGCCAGCTGCGCTCTGCCATGCGCTGAAAGCTGACCAGGTTTGAATCAGCGAGCTTTCAGCGCACTTTACACGCCGGTGGCGAGCACGAAAATGTCACTGCGCCTGCTGATTCTGTCGACACCTCCCCCTGCCACGCCACCACGCCCAGCTTGGCGGATCTCGGCTCGCCTCCGTGCGGCTCAGTCCACGAAAATACCAAACTGGCCTTACGCCGGGCTCCGCCAGACGAAAATACAACTGTGCGGGGCTCGCCGCCCTCCGCCGCCTCACCGGCGTGCACGAAAATAGAGCCCATTGTGTTTGCTGGTAATCTGTTGGCATCCACAGTAGCACCAATGCTTTTTACTTTCATGTCAACTGGGCTCCGTTTGTAATTATCTGAAGTACAGTACAGGCCAAAAGTTTGGACACACCTTCTCATTCAGTGTCTTTTCTTTATTTTTTTATATGACTATTTACATTGTAGATTATTACTGAAGGCATTAAAACTATGAATGAACACATGTAGAATTTTGTACTCATAAAAAAAGTGTGAAATAACCAAAAACATGTTTTATATTCTAGTTTCTTTAAAATAGCCAAGCTTTGCTCTTGATGACAGAAGTACCTTGTCAGGGTTACTTCAGGCACTCCTGTGAAGTAAAAACCATTTCAGGTGACTACCTCATGAAGCTCATTGAGAGAACAGCTAAAGTTTGCAGCGCTATCAAAAAAGCAAAGGGTGGCTACTTTGAGAAATCTAAAATATAAAACATGTTTTCAGTTATTTCACACTTTTTTCTTAAGCACATGATTCCACATGTGTTCATTCATAGTTTTGAGAATCTACAATTTAAATAGTAATGAAAACAAAGAAAATGCATTGAATGAGAAGGTGTGTCCAAACTTTTGGCCTGTACTGTATTTACCTGCATTATATCTGAATTTAATGTGAACGATAAGAGCGAGCAGGAGCGTCTGTTTGTGGGCAGGGCTTGCTGGAGCAGAGAGGGAGGGGAGAGGAGGAGCTGAGGGGAAAACTGGTTGGGAGGGGTAGAGTTTACATTCAAGATTTCTCCCAAAAACTGGCACTTCCTCAGATCCTGCCAACCCCGCCTTTAAGGATTGGCCTGGGGTGGCATAGACCCCCATGACTTGTGGATGGTCCCTACAGAAAGCACAAACTATGGCCAGCTACTTGTCTTGTTAGAGGAAGGGCCTCAAAGTAAAGTAAAATCAACAGTTTGGACTTTTTTAAAACTTTTGACTACTGTATATATGAAGATAGTCACTGCACCAGCTTCTTATTACACTGTAAAAAAGTGAAACCAAAACGCTCATGACACACGTTTAACTAAAAAGAGAGGCAAAAATCCCTAACAGTATCACATAATAATCTTAATTGTGACTTTATGCATGCATCTTGTTTTACAGTTATCAAACAACTCAGCCCATAATAGTGTTGCTGCTGTTTTTATTTTTTTTTGCACAGACTATAACCACAGATTTAAGATCTTTATGATGCTGAAAAGACATTACCATAATGACCCTGAGATAGGATTAGTACAACTGAAAGTTTTAGGATTGCCAATATTTGTTAAAGCAGTGGACGATGTTTCTTAATATGAAAACTTATCCACCTGTCTGTTCAATAGACAACATTCCCGGTTCGAGTCTTTAAGCTGTTGGGGGTGGAGACTCTGATTGTGACAAATGCTGCCGGTTCACTGGCTGACGGCCTGAAACCTGGTGACATCATGATCATCAAAGACCACGTCAACTTCCCAGGATTGGTTGGTCTGAACCCACTAAGTGGACCCAACGATGACAAGTAACACCGATTTCTATACTTATATTAGTTGTTGCTTGTTTTATATTTTTGTTTATCTTTATGTTGTTTGCCTCATTAAATATGAAGATTGTTTAACTGCCATAGTTTTGTTTCAGTAATTGAATGTGTTTATTATCTTATCCTCCAGGTTTGGTCCTCGTTTCCCAGCCATGTCAGGTTGTTACGATAAGGGCCTGAGATGCCAAGCTATGGAAATTGCCAAAGAACTTGGCGTTTCTGGCCTCATGCAGGAGGGCGTGTACGCCATGGTTGGTGGGCCAAATTTTGAATCAATTGCAGAGGCCCAACTGCTGCATCGACTGGGAGTGGATGCTGTCGGTAAGACAAACTTGTTTAACGGTTTTGTCAGATTGTGCATTCATAACTTTGTAACTTAGTTAAATGATGCTTAACTTGAGGTCTATGTTCAACTTGAACAGGTGAGTTTAAATAAATTGACACCCCTGTTGTCAGTGTGGTCCAAAAAATTAGCTGCAAGGACCAAAATCTGTTCATTGTAACAGTTTTCAATAGTGTAAGCATTTTAATGTTGTGGTCAGAGAGGAATGACTCACTTTTGGGGCAGCCCTCTGGTGGCCATTGGAGGTACTGCAGGCTGGCCTTATCTTTCAGCTCATCTACTTCCTGTTGTGTGTTTACAGGTATGAGCACTGCTCCTGAAGTTGTGGTGGCGACTCACTGCGGTCTGAGAGTCTTTGGCCTCTCTCTGATCACCAATAAGGTAAACACATTGATCACCAGCTCGATTGATTGATGATTTAAAGATCACTTGTTTGATTCGTGGTTTGGTGTATTGATTGGCAGGTGGTGAAGAGTTACGAGGACTCGGACAGCGTGAACCACGAGGGCGTCCTGGAGGTCGGTCGCCTGCGCTCTTCAACCGTCCAGCAGCTGGTGACAGAGCTGATTGGCAAGATGGAGATCAATAACAACAACATGATACCTAATGCTGTTTAAACACACACAGACACACTCTGTATATAACTGACTGTTGTATTTACAGCGTTTTTTAAAGACTTTTTCAGAAAATTATGATTAATCCTCCTTTGTTGCTCTGTAACATCGCTGTACCAAAATCTGTATTTATTCTAAAAAGTTGCTTCATATTTTTCCATCAGGGTAAATCTGAATGTAAGTATTTGTTGTGATATTTTCCCTCAGTTTTACAGATTAATATAATATGACCACTGTATTTGATGGTGCTTTAATATAAAAATACATGAGACAGAGACTTTTATTTGAGATCGCTCTCTTGTACATTGTTTCTCTTTGATAATGGGATTTTATTTTGTCAAAAGTTCCACCTAATATCTTCTTATCTAATTAAACCTTGTGACAATCCTCCTGTGAGCTAAACCTGACTGATATTTTTGTCTTTATATCGTCCTTCTGATATCTTTTTAGCAGCTTTACATGATTTATACTTAAACAAATTTACGTTTCAGACTGCTGTCTTTGAAAACCTTCATTCAAGGTGACTGTCTTTTTACAGCCCTCCCAGCATTCTAGAAGCCTCCTTCATTGCTGCCATGCAACAAAGTTCTATTGTGTTTTCATAAAATGGTGAACTTGCCCTTTTAAGGAGGTTTGCTGTCTGATGATGTCACCAATTGAGCAAACCTTATGTTGACCTTGTTGAATTCTCGTGTGATTTTTTGGATGAGCCATATAAACCTTGTAATCTGAAACTTAGCTCATATTTATTACAGATGTTCAACTTTTAACTTATTTATTTCGAAATATGACAAAAATTTAATAAAACCTCTTTAACTATTAAAGAATAGTCTTTGGTTTCAACTTAATTTCCTGCTATATACACACCTAACTGTGAGACAAACACTGAAATTTGAAATGTCTATAAAATGTTATTAACCCTGTTATGTTAGCCTGGCATTGTTGAGCAGCCAGGGCTGTGCTATATAACGTGAGGATATAGCTGACCCTAAATCAGTTGGAACATCTTAATCCACTTTGGTCTGACTGGTCTACACAGGCCCTGTATAAGGACACAACTACTCTCCCTGTTATTTGATGTTGTACAACATTTAATAATCAAACATTTAATAATAGTCATAATCCAAGGTGGCAGCACTGTGCACCAACAGTAAACAGTAGCAGTGAAATCTCTCATAATGTATTAATTAGCACCTCTGTTTTGTTGTTGTGAAATTTAATAAGTGGTATGTGCAGTATTGTCCAACATCTCTGGCGATATGTTACTATGGTGTTTGTATTTGTAAAATACCATGTAATGCATTGATTTCTACTGGTGCAGCGAACAATGGCTAACAACAGCTAACAATGACTGAATTTACAACCACAGATATCATACCACTAGATGCCCCACGACCCATATAAGACAACAGTAGCGCATATGCCAAGACTGCCGCCATCTTGGAGTGGCAAGCATGGTGATGAATGTAAACAAATGCTGTTGTTAGGTAAACCACAGGCTTCCAAAACTTCAACTGACTGCAAAACCATTGACAGGCAATTCTCCAAGATGGCGGCAGTTTTTAGGCGAGTGCAGATATGAAAAAAAGGCACCTTACCCTAAAAAAATGCAACAAAATGTTTTTCAACAGTTTTTTGTAGCATTGGATATCCTTAATAACATTATAAAAGTCTACCAAAGTCTGACCACTAGAAAGGTGTCATTTTCAAGATTGCGTCCCAGATGGCCAAAAGCTCACTAAAATGCCTAGAGCGCCTTTATTATATACCCTAGACAAGTAATTTTGGTGTCTAACCCTATGTTTATGGGGCCTGGGAATCCACTGGTCTTGTCCAAACTGCAGAGATACATTTATATAATTGTGAAATCCAATATTTTGTGCGTGACCCTATTAAAACCCTCTGGAAGGACCACCCGTTTCAGGTGAAGAGTATAAGTTAATACAAAATAAATTATATACATACACACACACACACATATATGTGTGTGTGTGTGTGTGTGTGTGTGTGTGTGTGTGTGTGTGTGTGTGTGTGTGTGTGTGTGTGTGTGTGTGTGTGTGTATAGGCTTATTCTCAAAATAATCTGCTGTACAAAGAAAATGTCAATTTCCAGGTAATTCAGAAGGTGACAGAGGTAATATTGGCAGTTGTTAAGACAGTATTGTTTGCTTATTGGAAGGTTGTGGATAGGTTGTGGAAAATATTAGATAGATTTTGAACAGCATTAAACATAATTGCTGAACACATTATAGCAAGGCTAACAGTGTAAATGTGCCAATAGGGAATGCCAGTCACTTCAGCAGTTGGAAAAAGCTGACTCAGAGTGATATTGCCTGACCATGAGTGCTGCTCTCATAAACCAAGAGACTTGCAAAATATGCCGTGCAGAATTAGGAGATGATTCTGATGTGGTTGAAGTTCGTCAGAAGGGAGCTGATGGAATCAACTGTGCAAGTGTACAAAGGCGGGATGACATTGGATGACACCTAAAGTGTATGACATCAGCGAGGTGCAAAAGGTCCTGGGTAAAGACTTGTGTTCTTAGTTGCTGTTTGTTCATGCCTTCACAGGATGTGATACAACAACACATATTTTTGGTGTTGGGAAGAAATCTGCTTTCCAGAAACCATGTTTGGTGGCAAAAATACTGATGCACTTGCATCTTTGCGCTGCAATCTTCTTAGCAAGAAAATCGTGTCTGGAAAGGCATTTATTACCCCAGAACATCTCCCTCCTACAGAGTCCTCCACGCAATATTATTGCCAAAGAGTTTATTACCAGATCACAATGTGGACTGAAATGGACGGTGACATGAATCCTGTGAATTGGGGATGGAAATTGGAGGACAATCGGTTTGTGTCAGTTATGATAAAACAAGCTGCTGCCCCAGAGAGCCTCCTGAAGATGGTTCACTGCAATTGCACAACTGCTTGCTGAACACAACGGTGAAGTTGTAGAAGATACGGACTGCCTTGCATGCCTGCTTGTGGATCATGTCAATTTGAAAATTATGACAATCCACATAATCAAGCAGTATGGGCGGAGGAGTGTGACTAGTAACTGTTAATCTGGAGTGGAATTAAGTGAAATCTAATTTCCACATGCATTATGGCATGATTTATTATGGCATGTGGAAAAAGGAGATTATGTTTTGAATGTTTTTTTTTTTCATTTCTATGTACTGTATATTCTTTATAAATTTGCTTGAAATTAATTGTTTTAAAACATAATTCTACTTTAATCACTTCACTATAATTTGTATATTTCCTTTTTTAATTATAGATCATCAAATCATAGGGTTAGACGCCAATATTATTTGTCTAGGATGAATAATGAGGATATATTGGTATTTTCTAATTGCTCTTATTTACAGAATTACTTAAACAATACAACAACTACAAATACAACCACTTCATAAATACAACAAATACAACTACATATATGTAAAATTGAAGTACTGCTAATTTTACACAGCTCCAAACTCAGCCTCATAAAGTATCTCTTGCATTTTAATTTTGATCCGTGATTGCCTTTCTGGGGTCAGGCGCCTCATTGACAGTGCCAAACTTAAAAGAAATAAGGTCACGTCATCCGTGTGTTGGGCTCTCTCAATGTCTCGCTGCGCTTTTCTGGCTCCTTCCTTTTCAGATATTCCTCAAGCACGCTGTCACTTGAGGGTCTCTTTGCCCTGGCTGGTCTGGGAACTACAGCATCACCCTCTCCATCATTCTCTGCCTGGTTAGATGCCTGCTCTAGTGACCGTACATTGTGCTATTGAAAAGCAAGAAATTAGTGCTGTGCATTTTAGTGAAATGGTTAAGATCTGTCTGTTGCTAATAACATTAAGCAAGGCATGGAATTTAAGACAGCAGCAAGAGAGAGAAACAGACAGATTTTAGATGGATAGATGGATAGATACTTCATTAGTCCCAAAATATTCAGAAGAACACACAGAGCTGCTAGAGAGGCTGCCACTGGTAGCTGCGCCTGAAGTAGGAAGCTGCTGTCTGTCAGCGAAAATAAAAATGATCAAGTCATGTATTATGGTACGGCTGTATTTTCAAAATGTCACTGCTAGCACTCTTTCTGGTGTTAAAGCTATTGACAATAAGAGGTTGAAAGGGGTTTGTAGCTAACCTCCTGAATGAAGTGACTTCATCTAGGAAAGACATTGTCATCATGCATTTCCACCTCTTCTTCGGTTTTCCACCTGCCTGGCCGTTCCTCTTCATCTCTCCCTCCTCTCTCTTCTTTTGCACGTATGTGTCCCTCAAATTCCTCCACAGCTTCTTCACTTCTTCAACTATCACGTAAAAATAATAGGGATTACCATATGCCACAGTTACTAAAAACAGAAAACACAACACCAAACTGATTGCTTTTAGTTCTGATTAGACACTAGAGTTGAGATGGCTGCCTGTCATGATAGCATGTACTGAGTTGGGGCCAGTACCAGATAAACACATGAAACTATGGCAACAACCGTTAGCTTACGTTAGCACAGGTGAAAGTTAAAACAAAGATGTTAAGCAAACTGTTAAATCACACAAACCATTGTCATATGAGAGACCCGACTCTATGAATCTCCACAAGTTGTGTCTTTTATCAAAAGCCCTCTGGCTGTGTCTGATTTCAGAGACCGCACCGTCTGAAGTGTGCGTGATGTCATCACGCGGCGCGAACGGTGTGCCATTTGGCTCGAAATGCTAAGCGCTGTCTCAAAACCACACTACCCCCACCCCTTTTTGGCCTTGGTATCCCACAATTCTTTGCGTGCCGCTGCACAGCCGCACATTTCAGGTGAGAGGCTGGACCCGCTTAGAGACACAGTGCATCTTCAAAGAAAATAAAAGAAATCCAAAAACAGCAGACAGTCAGCTCGGGCTGCATGAGCGCATGATCTCTGAACTCACCAAAAACAACTGATCCACTCTGCTACCACGATCAAAAACATGAGAAATAAGAAAGTTGCCAAAACTACAGCAGAGTATCAGGACCACATCAAGTTTTTTTTTTTTAAGACTTAGAGATTAAAGTTGTAAATATAGGAGAACAAAGTCATAAAGTAAATAAAGTCATAAAGCTGCTTTTGTGGAGGGGGAAATGACTGAAGCTGGCCATCTGCAGGGTTATCAGCGGGTGTGTCAGCGGGTCATTCAGAGAGTTTTTGTGGTTTCTAAAGAAACATTCCAACTGATGATCAACATTTGTGATTAGGGCTGAAACGATTACTCGAGTAACTCGAGTAACTCGATTAATAAAATTCCTCGAGGCAAAATATATGCCTCGAGGAATCGTTTAAATCCGGAACCATGTGCAGCGCACGGTGTTTGACACGGACGGTTATTTCTGTTGCGCAGAAGCGTGCTCTTTCCGCTCCTTCCGCTGCCGCGCGTTTGGTTCAATCATGGAGGGAAACGAGGACAGACAGAAGCTGTGTCCGAAATGGCATACTGCCTGCTATCTACTTACCTACCCAAGCAGTAGCTACCATAGACATAATAAAAGATAGACCCCGCATCGGCCGCTACCACGAATGGGCGCTGTCGAGAAATGCGGCCGCCATCTTGGTCCGGTCATCCGCCTCACTCTGCACCGCTGTTTAACCGGTGGAATGAAGTCTGAGCGCATTAAATGAATCATAGTTCTCTCAATACTACGTAATATTCTTCTCTGCAAACGCCATTCAAAGAGGCATGATAGAGGCCATATTTTTTTTTGGCGTTTCAAATACTCAGAATGAATAAAATGATATTTTAGAACATGGCAGCAGTGGCTGTATTATAGTATAACAATTAATCAAGGATATATTTAGGTTTAGAGCTAGGTTCCTGCTATGTCTCAATAATTATTAATAACTGGCGGTTTTAATAGGTCAATTCAATATATATTGATTTGATTATAAATTTTTATATAGTTTAATTTTATTTATCCATTTGTAGACACACACAAATAATGTCATATAGAAGCACTATTTTAATAACTGGAAAATACACACAAATATATAGCCTACATATCAAAAAAATTTAAACACAAGAACAGCATGACAGGACAGCATCTAAACTACATATCAATTTGCTTGTTGGCTACACAGCACAGAGGAATCACTTGCTGCGAATTTCTCCCTCTAACAGCAATCTCCCACTTCTTCCTCAAGTTTTTGTCCTTAGGAAATCTTCAAAATGAAACAGGAGATCGCCACAAAGAAATCTTTAATAAAACAGATAATAAAACAGAGCTCACTTTCTTCCTTTTTCTTTCTATTTTATTTCTTAACGTTTCTTAGAACCTCTCTCAAACAAAAGTTTTTCAATCTAATGCAAATCTGTTGATAATCGACCAAAGTTGCTATTATTGTGAATAAGCTAGCTGTTCGCAAATGCTGTTTCCTTTTTGGAGTTGACCGATAGTCTTCCTCTTTGGCCTACAAATGACTCTACAGTCAAGTGTAATGTTTAAAAAACGTTTAATCATAACTGTGAAAAGTTATTTCTTGAGCCCTGTTCTCTGCTGTCCGCCTGTTGGCACAGGAATACGCCGCACAGTGCTCCGGCATCGCTGAATGAATGAATGAATGAATATGATTGACCGGAGCGTATGGGAAGCTTGACCTGACCAAGATGGCGGCCGCATTTCTCGCTGCGCAGCACCCCCAGCGGGGTCTACCCTTTTATTATGTCTATGGTAGCTACTGCCTACTGACTACTCAAAGATGATTTGAGTATGCCGCGGCTGCCCGAGCGTTTACACACATACATACTAAATACCCCAGAATGCATTTCGTGCCGGCCGGACGCAGCGCCGGGAAAATTTAAATAGTCCTACCACAAGCTACATAGAACGACTGCATACCGGACAAATTATATAAATTCATTCAATAATAATATTTTTTCTAGCGAGAAAGTAAGTGTTTACATCACGATTATGAGCCCAGTTGTTTGAAATAGTGGCTGTTTGTAAATTTGTCTCGGCGTTTTCGGAGACCGAAGCGTCCACTTGGTCGGTGTTTGCGTCTATTTACCGTAAACACCGGGCAGCAGCAGCTCCCCCTTCACGTTTCCAAATTATTGCGAAGTGTTTTCATAATCAACATCTACACGACACAAACCGGGCGGCAGTGGATGAAAAAAATCACACAAACATCTGTGTATCCATGGTGATAATGCTATACACCACCTGCTAGGCGTGTGATGAGCAGCAGAGGGCTGCAAAATGACCAACACACAACAACATGTAAATAAAAATGTAACACTTTTATATATTGAATAAATGTACATTTGCTTGTCAAATTATGTTAGTATCCAAGAATTATATTATTTCAGCCTATTAATTAAACAAGTAAAATTAGATCCAAAGCCTGGAAATAGTTGTGACTGGTTTAGTGAAAACTGCAAAGATCATTACCATAGCAATTAAAAGACCATCTGCAGACCTTGCCTTCAGTAGTTTCATGTGAACTACATGGTAAAATGTAAAACTTTTGGTTCCTGATTTATGCAGTAAAAATATTCATTTGAAAGACCTGGCCTATTTCAGTTTTGTGTGTTACTGATGGTTTTTAATGAGGCAAACGTGATTCAATGCAAAGTATTACAGTGAGAGCAAAACATTTCTTATCCGATTACTCGATTAATCGACAGATTAATCGATAGAGTACTCGATTACTAAAATAATCGATAGCTGCAGCCCTATTTGTGATCCAGAGGGAGTCGAGCTCTGACAAGCACTACGTCTCTGACACCGGCGGTAACCTACACCTGCAGAGACACCAACACCTTATTATGGCATATGGATTCATATCATGAACTAAAGCTCAATGTCATTCACGGATAAAAGATGTAGAAAAGATGTATTTTCATATCTTCTTTTTTAAGTCTTTATACTTGTGACAATGTGATGCTGATGTGCCAAAGAATGAAGTATCTCCTTGTTTGTGAAACCTATACTGAAGCACAGTTCCTTCAAATGCGTCATGGCCCTAATTTTAACAACTCTCCTTTGAAATAACAGGTAACCTTATGACTTTATTCTCATAAATTCTCAAAGTCTTGCTCAATATGGCATTTCGTGCGAAATGGGACACCGTTTGTGCCGTGTGGTGACCTCAAGTACACTTCAAATGCTGTTCGACGGTGCGGTCTCTGAAATGAGACACGTGCTGTGTCCGAATTGCCCGCTCGCATACTACATGCTACTGCTACATACTACTGCTAGATCCTACTCCTACATATTAAACACGTTGGCCCAATTCGGACACACTAGACGAGCGGTGGGGAAAGACGACCCCCGCAGGCAGAGAGTAGGTACTGCGCCCGTGCAGACAGTTTTAGACTCTTTGAATGGTAATTGTGCAAGTGATGGATGCTGCTGTATTATATTCCTGCACTGCTTTAGAAATTCACAAAGTAGCTTTTCCATTACTTTTATCCTTCATTCACTCACGTGGTGATCGGTTGTTCAATGAGATCTGCCTGATTACTGCAGCTGTGCAGTTTAATGATGGAATAAATGAGCTTTCTCTCCATGATGTCGCCACATATTTGCTCATAAAATGATTACTTGGGCAAATATGACACCATGACATGACAAAGAGATACAACCGCACATTTTTTAGGACAGTGTGTGAAGTTACATGAAACTTACATCTGTACTGCTGCGGTCCTGCCTCCTCCTGCTGCTGCTCCCGCCATGGTGCGCGCTGCTGTGGCCAGCCGGCGTTCGCGATGCATCTAAATAGGCAGCAGCTGGTGGCGCTAGCATCACATGCGCTTCTACAACTTTTAAGAGGACGAAGAAGATGCCCGCGGTGCATTTTGGGTCAGTAGCATGGCCGTAGGATGCACCGCGACCATCCTACAATGTGGGCGTGTCTAGTATCTGAAGTAGTATCTGAAGTAGCATGCTACTCGCTCCGGTGGCCAATTCGGACATGCTACATACTACTTCGACTACTACTTGGCAATTCGGACGCAGCAATAAACAATCAGCTGATAGGCCATGTTGGATATACCGGTGAATCTGACGTCGCAATAACACGAAATCTGATTGGTCAGAAGTTGACACACTGTATGCCAAAGTTTAGAAAAATCGACCGTGATCTGAAAAAATAAATGCCGCAATATCGCAGGACAGGAAAACGTTGCTGATGTGAACGCTTGTATTGACAGGATACAGGTTCGAAAATAAAATATTGACGTCTGAAATAATCGCCCCCCCCCCCCAAAAAAAAAAACGTGATCTGGAAGAAAAACACATTGTTTTTCTTGTGTAGTTTAGTGCATCCTTTGAATTCCTCTGACTGATTTATATAATGCAAACACTCAGATGTTTTCAAAATCGTCAGAGGGGCAGATGATCGAAACTATCAGGTGACAACATCTCTTCATACTGAGGAAACTGACAGAAGACGGAGTTTTGTATTTACGCAAATAGGCACATTGGTGGTTCGTGATGGGAAGCCACCCAGTGACAATGACCCAAAACGACTTCCTTAAGACTTGCATCATATCCCTGGTGGTTCTGCATCTGGTTTTGATGGTCATGATCATCATCTATTTGATCATCAAATACAGAAGAAGCAGGTAACAGCCCGCCCTGACTTCTTTAAAACTCAAGTAACTATGTGGTTGAGAGTTGTGAGATGTCTTTGTTTGTTTTGATCTAGGAGAAACCTCACAGTCCTGAGGATCTCGGCAGGCCAGTCCTGTCATGCCCTGACCATCACAACTGAGCCTAACCACGCCCATCAGATGCTGGACCACTTGCTGGATCGTGTTTTTCTCCAGGTAGAATGCGAAACACAATCTGGAGAGGTGCACACAGAAGAGCCTGGTGAAGAACCTTCAGAGGAACATGGTGCACATTCTGAATCAAACCCAGAGCTTCCAGTAACAGTTTCTTCAGTCAGCCGAGGTCAGTTGTTGAAGCAAACATTTTTGTGATATGTCAGGGAATGTTCAGCTCACAACAGATTCCCCATCATGAAAAAAGTAAGACGAGAAACCAATGATGTTGAAAACTGTGAGATACACTTCCAAATGATGGCTCATGATTGTCATAACACCTGCAGCCAGTAGGGGGAGCTCTAAATCACTCAGCTTCACTGTCAGCGAGTACTCACGGCATCCTATCTAATAAACTGTATCGTCTATATCTCAGTTCAGTCAGCAGCAGCTCCACCCTCTGAGAGGAATCACACATGTTGCCTAAACAGTTTTTTTTTTCAAATAAGTCTGAATAAAGTTTGTTTTTGTTTCTTTCCTGCAGCAGTAAATACACTCCGTTACAAACTGAGCAGAAAGACTGGTGTTAGAGTTCCTTCTCAAACTTTTTTTTTTTCATTTCTTTGATTTCTCATACAAAATAAGATGATTAATTTTACATGAATTTTCTTCCCTTCCAGACTCCCCCCCTACTTCTTCACCTCCTCCTCCAACAGAGAAGGATCAGCCTAAAGATGTGGACAGTCTGTAATACTTTAAAACTGAGTGGGCCTCCTGCTGTGATATGGGAGAGTGTTAGTGATCAACTTGGTCTTAGATTAACAGATAAATAAAAGGAGTTTTCTTTTTTCAAAGTTTATAAAAACATTGTGAACTCTTTATTGTGGACTAGTCCCCCCGCCACCACCATCACCACCATAGTTTACTGCAGAAGCAGTATTTCTATACCTTCAGTGACCATGTGAGGGCAGTAGAAGTTAATCTTTAATATGATGACAGTACCACTGCAAGCACAACCTCTGATACTTTGGCTTTGTCCCTGTACTCCCTCCACATATGAGCTGTTTATGAGCCAAAGCAAATACACCTTCAAACAAGCACATAAACATATAAAAGGATTTTTTTAAATTAATTTAATATATTTCATATACAATAGTGTTTTCAACCCGGTAAGAATAAAAGGTTTAGGTCAAGGTAATGTAAGGTAAGTTACAAAAATCAATCAAATCAATGTAGGAGGATGTTACACTGAGAAAGAAAAAAAATCTGGATTCTCCATTAGCATTGGTGTGACTAAATTAAAGATTATTATGTAGAGCATTGCTAATTGCTGTGCGTTTATTTATTTAAGGGGCCTACAAAACACCTAATCTGCATCTTACATCAGTTATTTCTTCAGCAATTCTGTTGTCTAATTGATATTTTTCTTGTTACCCAGAAAGTTAGTAAACTGGCGTAATAATAATAATAAAATAATTTTATTACTATCAAGCAGGCCGCCTGGCACATTTATATTCAAATTGCATCGGCTAGCTACTTCACCAATATCTAGCAAGTAAACTATTGTGTAAGTAAGCAACAGTTAACGATCTCCCCTTAACTTGTTCATGAGTGAAGCTGCTTTTTGATGATCTGGTGCTTGTAAATTTGTTGTTATTTTAACTTTTTGTAAGTTTAACTGTATTTTTCATACAAAAGCTTAGCTATCTACGGACAGAATTAGCCTAACTAACAGGCTAAGTAAACTTCATTTTAGCCAGCAAGTAATGAGCCTATTTAATAAGCCTTTTCTTTACCACATCACTTAATTGTGACTGTACTTACCAGCTTTGTATTAATCTAATGGCTGTTAAGTTTGTATTTTCAGCATCTTTAAGTGATCAAATAATCGTCTTTTACCTAATTTTGCTCCATTTTTTCCACTGTTTACTGTTTTCTCTTCAATGACTTTCATCCTTTTTATTGATTTTTTAAACTGATGATGTGTGTATTAAGTGTTGTGTTTTTCTTTGTTTTAAGGTTAAAGTCAGAGCTGATCCCTGCTCTTAAACCAGAGATTAAATCAGAGAAAACAGCTGCCAAGTCATGTTTTATATGTTAACTCATCCATCCTGTCTGAAGTGTTTTATGGAGCCAAACTGTGTCTTTTGTGTCAAACAGGAAATGGCCAAAATGTTCCCTAAACCAACTCAGCCTCCACACACACACACACACACACACACACACACACACACACACACACACACACATGCACACAGAGTCCCCCCTCAGTTATCTGTTTCTCCTCTGCTGTCGCTCTGACACACACACACACACACACACACACACACACACACACACACACACACACACACACTCACACTCACACAGAGGGAGGTAGATAACTCTGTGATTCCACTGCTGAATTTTTAACGCTGTTGTGGAACTTTTTTTTTCCAGGCGGGTTACTGTGGCACCGGGGTACTGTTACACGGACAGAGGCAGACACAGAGACCGGGTTCAGCTCAGATCTGTTGTTTGCAGAGGCTGCTCAGGAACAAAACCAGGCTATTCATGGAGTGTACGGTGAGTTTTGCACATTATTTTACACTGTTTTCTTTCTTTAACTTTTAGAGCCGCTTTTTTAAGAATACAAATGCAAAGTTTGTGATCATACATCACTTTGTTTCACTCATACAAATCAAACCAGTCTTAACTTCTAGTTATTTCAAATGCAGAAACATCAGTTTGAGGGTAAATTTCTCATATAGAAGGTAGTGAATGGTCATTGTGCATATGCAGATCTGTTTGGGGGTGTTTACAGTAAGAAGGCATCCTAAAAATTTATAGGATTTAAGTGGTTTCACATGCAAAAACTTGCAGAAAGTAAACATTGGCACATGCAGTTTGTGACACCCTGATAAAAAGTGGCTCTCAGGTGCAAAACTTAACACTGAAATTAGACAACAAACCTTTTTAAGGCTTATTTAAATTGTATAAATATAGTAAAAGCAGAAGTTTTAATGCTCCAAACAGTCATTTTCACTTTTAGCTGTTATTCAAAATAACTGTCAGTAACTTCCCCACGGTGTCCCCTTGTCGGTCTGACTTGTCTTCCTCATCACCGTCAGTCATTCTTGGCATCTTTAGGGACTTAAATTATTTATTGTAGGAGTTTTTTGTGAGTCTGTGCTCTCTTATGCATGCTAGGAGTCTTTGTGAGTCCATTCAACGCGGGACTTTGTTTGTGCTGGCTCTGTAACATAATCAATGTAATCAGACCTTTTAAAGCAATTGTAAAAACTGATTGCAATATTGGGTAATAAGAATAATAATAATAAGTGGACTAAAACAGGAAAAGTAAGTCAGGAGAGTTTCCTAATAAAGTCAGAGTAAAGTGTGCTGAGTGTTTTAATGATGTAAAGAGGATAATCTTTCACAGGAAATGTGCCTCCAATGTAAATAATGGAAAAAAGAATTCCTCTGGCTCGTTTATTACCGCTCTGTCATGTGTTTCAGACTATTTTCCATGACAGATCTACAAAAGAAATAATTTTCACCTGCTAAGAAGTTTAAAGTTTCATTTGTCTAAACCCTTTTTCCAAATATTTGGTCTGATTTCAAGCATGTGCCTTGTGTAGGCTGTTTTATCTCATTGGTTTTCTTCAACAAAGTAGAAAAACTAACAGTAAATTTCACCAATTACACTGGATCAAATTATCCTGTCACACTGATGTGTGTTTTTTTTTTAATTTCTGGCACTGATTAAATCCTGATTGAGCTACTATGGATCCTAATAGACTGAGGTCTTTCTGTATTTGTATATAAAATGCTCAGTCACAAAAACATAATTTCAGGATGTTTTATCAAAATAGCAGGACTAGACTTGGTTTTTAGACTTAAAAAATCCAGAAAAGTTTGACCAGATCAGAATACATCATCTATAAGTTAAACCCAGACGCTTGCTGGAGTTTACTCTGTCCCAGCCCTTATCCACACAGAGACATCAGACAGAGAGCAGAAACCGTAAGAAATGATACCTTTGTTTCACTTTGACACAAAACACACATGCTCGAGCCAAGCATTACGTAGGATGAAGAAGAGCACATACATGGCAAAAACAGACTACATCAGAATGTAAACAACAATGATAGATGCATCTGTGAGGTTTTCCTTCAGGATGTGACATTCTTAAAACTATAATACCTGCAGGATCAGAGCAGAGAGTCTGAGAACTCAAAAAACTCAAGAACATCAGCGTTGCCTTATCACATCCACATGACTGGTCTCAACATGCCAACCTGAGGACATCCCTCTAGACCTGGGTTCAACACCTGGGTAGTGAACCTCTTAGATTTAGTTTCACTCACAGTGCCGTGGTGATTCAAAAGAGATCTTTTGTGGCCCATGACTTCAGTCTAAGTATCTGCACCTGTATGCTTAGCTCTAATATAGTAGATCAAACTCTGAGTACTGTGATAATGATTTAATCTCATTAACCTCAAAGTGCATGTTGGTTTTGACTTGTCAAGAGAGTGGTTCAAGGCACAGTGGTGGTGTTTTCCTCCATAACACTGGCAGCAAAAGCAGAGGTTTTTTGAAAGAGACAAATGAGACATGCAATACAAAATAATTAACTTCAATTTTGGACTCAAATCCTGATTAACACGTCCAAGCCAATAGACCCTTTTGGGGGCTGATGTCATGATGATGTCTTGGTATGAGCTGGAGGCAAAAAGAAGTACAAACTAGACGTGAACACATTTCGCCTCTGGGGTAGAAGGTGAAATTGGAGTCTCAAAATGTCGTCTTATAATGTTGTTATTTCCAGAATAGAAGGGGTTAATCATCATTTCTCAAAACTGTAATTCCTCTGTATACGTGCTGCTCTAGCCAGTCAACAAAAACTTAGACAACAAGGACTTGACTTGAGGTGATTGGCAACAAAACTTGTGTTAATGTATTATGCATGAACTGTTTTTGCCTCCAGCTAAGCTCCACCCACCAAAAAACATCATACTGTTCACTGACACAGAAAGAGTCCACGACCTTAATGATTTGTAGCACTGCTTTCAAAATCCAAAGGCCAACATTTCCAGCTAATCACCATCAATATGGAGGAAAACAGGGTCCAAATCTGATCAGCGAGGACATAGCAGAGGGAGTGAAGTTGGCAAAGGCTGGAGTATGAAGTGTCAGGTTTAGGTTTAACGCCAAAAGAGGACCTGGACCCAGACGAGAGGAGGGATTTATTGCAACATGCTGTTTTAGGAATCAAAGGCTTGTATAGCAGCTTTGTCTGAATATATCAGCTGTCAGAATAAATGAGTCGGCAGTGAAAGATGGAGGGGAGAGACCAAGAGTTTAAACACAAGGGGATCTGATGAAACAAAGGCACACAATCAGAAATACACAAAAATATACACAAAGCAAAGCTTAGTGTCATCTTTCATACTCGGAAACTTTTGTTCAACTTTTAAAGTTTTTCATTCCAAGTGAACCAGACATTGATCTTCACCTTTCTCTTTTAGACTCATCTTGTCCTGATGCTGTTACCGTAACATGACTCTCAACACCCAGAGAGAGAAGGAGCCCTTGCGGCGGCGAGGCAGCACACCAATCCCTCCCACCCACTTCTACCGGCACCCGTCCTGGCCCCGAGACCCCCATCTTCCTGTCAGCTCCAAGCAGGACCCTGACCAGCCTCACCCTCAGCGCAGTCACCCTCGTCTGGGACAGTCTGCGTCCTACCATCCAGGAGACAAATCCCTCCACTACCTGGCAGAGTGGAGTTCAGACTCAGAGGATGACTCGCAGAGCGACTCAGACTGTGTTTACAGGGTGGTGTTATTAGGAGACCACGGGGTTGGGAAGACAAGTCTGGCGGGGATATTTGCCGGGATCACAGAGAAAGATGAACAGCCTGGAGGTGGGGCGTCACCTTTGGTGGTCTGATTCACTTTTTTTTTTTTTACCTTGAACTGTGACACTTTTGACAACTGCAGAATTAGCAGCCTCAAATACTTAAAGTTTGTCAATCTGTTTTGTTTTTTTTTAGAAGAAAAAAAAACTTGATTTAGTGCATGAAAGGGAAAGGTTGCTTACATAAAAAGAAAAGAGTAAATTTTAAAGGCAGCTTCCACATATAAAATGTAGGTATCTATGATAAAAAAAAGCATGTATTGAGAGCAAAAACACATGTAAACTTAAGGCAGGAATCAAAGAATCGTTTATCCATTTCTATAAAATGACATCTGTGTGAAAATTTGGCTGTGTGTGAAAGAATTAGACAATCAGCTTTAAGATCTGTCAACTTCCTGCCAAGCATCATAAATAATCAGTTCAACCTCCATCCAACAACAACAACAAACCAGCATTTAGGAAAAAGGTCATCTGGACAGAATTTGCATCTTTAGATTTTGCGAAATCTGCATCATAAAGTTGTTGCTTCTGCAATCTTATGTCTGCAATCAGTGTTTGCCCCACTGTGAGTGAACAATGTGGAATTAGTTTCCTATGTGTTTCTAATGTTGGCACCACCAGCATTCAGTCCACTTTATAGCCACCTACCCCATCCTGGTTATCTTGTTCAGTGGTTATACGCCAGTTCAAACAGACACAGCTTATGTGTAGATGTATTGCGATTTTCCTGATCCTCTAGTCGCACTATAAAACTGGTAATCAGCACTTGGCTACGAGATGATGTCTGACATCCGTGCTTTTTTGTATCCAGATAGTAGAGGGTTACAGCAGTATGACAGTACGCTTTGACTGGAGCTACAGTGAACTCTACTTTACTATAAACTCATAAAACATAAGACTGAGAGGAGAGTTAATTTAAAAAAAATCTTAAACCTGTCTTTTGAATATCAAATGTTTCATGATAATGCCAACTATTTTCCACCAAAACATCAAATCATCAGTCATCTGTTTCCGAGATCTTCTGCAGCTTTTTTCTATTTTTGATTAGTTTTTAGAAGTCAACATCTTGTAGCCAATGACAGAGTCACCAAAGAAACTCTCACATCAGGTTGTTTTTCTGCCGTGTTTTATCCTTGAGCGGCCGTTTTCTTCCTCCTACTCAGCAGATCAGTGCTCAGTTTCTATCTCTGACTTTGCTGTGACATTACAACCTTCACTGCCCTGACACCATCGATCAGCTCCAGGATCACATGCTGATTGGCCGGAGGCCATGATTGACAGCCTGCATTGATCTGTGATAGTCTGAACATAGTGTGAGGGAGCACAACTTCCAGCCGTTGGCTTTAAGGTTAACTGAGCTCCATGTTCGGACTGCTCTGGATGCTTTAACATGTTTCTGATCCTGCAGTTGATGATTTATGTGCAAAGTCCTGCTACAGTTTAAGCACTGCTGTTTTTGTCTCTTCATGATTAAAGAAATTAAAGACAGCTTGAGCATTAAAGCATGTTAAAATAAAAGACATCAGCCACATTTAGTCTGCATCTAATAAATCAGATCAGGGAATTCATGATTTGCTGTGCAGGAATGTTTTATGTTTGATATTAAATCAGTTCAGTCCATTATTTTATTGGGTAAGCATCCTTTAACTTTTATAGTCCTCATCTGTACATCATTATAACACTGCCAAATTCCTAATGTAAGTCACACATGTCTGTTTATAGCAAGCAGTCACTGCGTGTAGGCTTTGATTGTGTTCAGCAATGAGCAGTTTTTATGCAGATGTGTAGCTCTTTCTCATACCACCATCACCCTGCTCTCTACATATAAGGAGTCTGAGGAATTATCAGAGGATTGTAAAAGCCGAGAAGAATAAATACTTCTCAGAATTAATTGCTTTTAACTGTAACAACCCCAGAGCTCTGTTCAAAACCATAAACACTGTCCTTGAGGCTCCCAAGTCTCTTGGTTTTGATTCCTCCACTGAAATCTGTGAAAAATTCCTCCACTTCTTCACTGATAAAATTATGTCAACCAGAGCCTGTATCTCTCAACCTTCATATGACCCTTCTGCCCCTCTGCACCCCACATCTGTCTTTGCCAAATTTGAGTCTGTGTCCCTCTCTATTTTAAAGGACATAGTCGGCCATATGAAGCCTTCTGGTTCCCCTGCTGATGCCATCCCCCCTCGCTTGTTTAAAGAGGTACTTGCTACTATTGGACCAAGTGTCCTTAATATTGTTAACAGTAGCCTCTCCTCTGGTACAGTACCTAAGGATTTTAAACATGCTGTAGTACGGCCTCTACTTAAAAAAACCGGCCTTGACCCATCCCTCTGTGCCAGTTTCAGACCCATCTCAAATCTTCCATACCTGTCCAAGATTTTAGAGAAGGTGGTCTACAATCAATTGTTACCATTTTTGGAAGATAATGGTATCACAGAGTTGTTCCAGTCTGGTTTTAAAGCTCTCCACAGCACAGAGTCAGCACTTTTAAAGGTTTCAAACGATATTCTAATGACAACAGACTCTGGAAAGTTTGTTGTCCTTGTGCTCTTAGATCTGTCTGCTGCATTTGACACTGTTGACCACAGCATTTTAATCTCTCGCCTGGAGCACTGTGTGGGCATTAAGGGTGTTGCCCTGGACTGGTTCCGGTCTTATTTAAGGGACAGAAGTTTCTGCGTTAAACTTGACAACTCTGTGTCGTCAACAGCTCCCCTCCCACATGGGGTCCCCCAAGGCTCAATCCTTGGCCCTCTTTTATTTGCCTTTTATTTACTCCCCCTTGGTTCTGTTTTTAGGAAACATGGCATCTCCTTTCATTTTTACGCTGATGATTGTCAGATCTATTTTCCACTTGCACAGAACAACTCCAACTCAGTCCAGCAACTCACCGACTGTCTTAAGGACATTAAAGCCTGGCTTTCTTTTAACTTTCTCAGTCTAAATGAGAACAAGACCGAGGTAATGATGTTTGGACCAAGTGGAGGCCACCCCCCCAACATCAACCTAGGCTCCCTCTCACCCTACCTCAAAGAGGTCGTCACTAACCTGGGAGTTAAGTTTGACCCTGATTTTAAATTTGAGGAACAGATCAGCGGGGTGGTACAAAAAAGTTTTTATCAGCTACGTCAAATAGCCAAGGTGAAGCCTATTTTATCAAGACCTGACCTGGAAAAATTAATCCATGCTTTTATAACTACCCGTCTTGACTACTGTAACTCTCTGTATGTAGGGATTAGCCAGGCTTCCCTTGCCCGCCTGCAGCTTGTGCAGAACTCTGCTGCACGTCTCCTCACCCAGACCCGCAGGCGTGAGCACATCACCCCCATCCTGGCATCCTTACACTGGCTCCCTGTACAGTACAGAATTCATTTTAAGCTTTTAATATTTGTTTTTAAAAGCCTGAACAATCTTGCTCCACCTTACATTTCTGAAATGCTCCAGCCTTACTGCCCACCCCGACCCTTAAGATCAGCCGATCAGCTGCTAGTGACGGTCCCATATACAAGGCTGAAGCTCAGAGGGGACAGAGCGTTTGCTGCTGCTGCCCCGAAGCTCTGGAACGAGTTGCCCTTGAATATTAGACAGGCCTCCTCATTTCCTGTTTTTAAATCCCTTTTAAAAACACACTTTTACTCCTTGGCTTTTGATACTTTTTAGTGTTACTTTGTTTTTTATCATTTTAGCACCTGCCGTGAGCCTGCTTATTTATTTTACTTATTTATCCCCTTGCATTAATGTATTTCTGCTCACTTTATCTTGCTCTTTGTGTTATTTGTTTTATGTATCATTGTACAGCACTTTGACTACCCTTGTGGTTATTTTAAAATGTGCTATAGAAATAAAGTTGATTGATTGATTGATTGAAGGCAGCTGAACTGGCCCGTGGTGGCATTGATAGCTGTGCAGTTCTGGCCGACCCATAAGTCATTACCAGTTTACTGAGACTCTTGCCAGTCTGCATCACTTTTGAACAAGCAGACTCAGCATGTAAACTTGTCATTGTGAGCCTGTTTGCACACCAAGATAACCACTTTGCAGAGCACCTCAGTTCAGCCCCTCACTTCTGGGTTTAGATTTTACTTGGTTCATTGTTTTTGTTTTTTTTTGTTTCTGTCGCAGTGGAAACCTACGAGCGGAAACTGACGGTCGATGGAGAGGAAACAACACTCATCGTAATGGACAACTGGGAGCATGACAAACTGGTACAAAGTATTAGTAAAATACACAGCTGCAGGCATTACATGTTGGTTTTAAAACTGGGTTTTGAGGGCACCTGGGGCTGCTGGTTTCAGACCTGTGGGGGGGAGTTTGGCTGCTGTTGTTCTGGATAGATTAAATCGTTGAAGTAAAAAGTTTCTCTCTGTGTTCGTGTGTCTCTATCTGTCAGGAGGGGGAGGACAGCTCCTCTCAGGACGACTGTCTGAAGGTTGGGAGCGCCTACGTCATTGTTTACTCTGTCACCGATAGATCCAGCTTTGATTCGGCTGCAGAGCTTCGAATTACTCTGCGACGAGCCCGCCAGGCTGAAAACCTTCCCATCATCCTCGTAGGCAACAAGAGCGACCTGGTCCGGTCCAGGGAAGTTGCTGTTGAGGGTAAAGATTCAACATTTTCATGGACAGACAAAGAATTCCTGATGATTGTTGGGAATATGAAACAATTGTCCGCTCACCTTTTTTTTTTTCCCAGAGGGCCGAGCGTGCGCAGTGGTGTTTGACTGTAAGTTCATCGAGACTTCGGCGTCTCTGCAGCACAACGTCTCGGAGCTTTTCGAGGGCGTGGTCCGGCAGATCCGCCTCCGTCGAGACAGCAGCGAGGCCATCCAACGCAGACACTCCATCTACAAACGCAAAGAGAGCCTTACCCAGAAGGCTCGCCGCTTCCTGGATCGACTTGTTGCTCGGAATAACCAGCGCATGGCAGCTAAAGCGCGATCAAAGAGCTGCCACGACCTGGCTGTCCTCTGAGGATGAGAGTCCACCATGGTCACCAGATGGGACCCCCTTTGACTTGATCTCCTGAAGGATGGCATCTGGAGTTATTCTCATGCTAATGGATTGGATGACGGCGTGGGACAGTTACCCTCTGATGAGTTTTAATAACTCCTTTATCCAGTCTACAAACCTCTGCGACTTTCTCTCCAGATAAAAAACAAACAAAAAAAAACTTGAAAGACTCGCCCCCGTACAGTTTAAGATGGCCGTGTGCTCAGTGTGTGGGCATGTGAGGGCACATGACAGTTTGGGATGTTGTGTGGTTTCAGCTGAGGTTTCTATTGTTTAAAGTTCAACATTGTAAAAAATAAAGTCTTAAAGGAACAATACTCTTCTTACATGGTGACGTCACAGCCTCATACAGGTCCATGTGGGTATCTCATATCTTACATACTATATTCTGTAGGACTGTGTCTCTCACAGTTTTGAACACATCACAGTCTCAAACGACCTTTAGTTGGGATGAAACTAAGAAATCGGTCAAAATTCATGTCAGGAACATACGTAAACAACTGAAAATTAAATTTCCATCAAGTTCTCGGAAGTCAGAGGTGGGCACAGTTACATTAATCAAACCTTTAATACTCTTAACCCCCAATCAATTTACAAAAACATTTACTTTAATTCTCTTTAATAGGTTTACGAGGATCAAAGAATCTGCAAGGAACTCCAAAAACCAAGTCTAGTACATACATCAAACAGTATTCCCGTAAATATCCATGGATTGCATTAAGTCTTTCTCAAGTTGTATATGATCCACCTTAGCATGTAGGCCAAGGCCTGGATCCTCAGCTAAGATTCTCCTAGTGATGGTTACTTCAGGGTTTTTGTGGTCCAGGTCATTCGGCTCTACAAGAAGGTGATTATTTGGTCCTTTTTTAAGTATCAGAAGTTTTCCTTCATTTAATTTTGCCTAAATGAGAAAAGTTTCAAAATCTTTCGTTAGTTGCTCAAACCTAAAAAAAAGTACCTTGAGGAAATAACCCTGAACAAACCTTTAAACAGTGTGTGCCCTATAGCTCTCTTTCTCCCAATCATCTCCTGCTGCCATGCTACCAAATTATCAACATTAAATCAACTTGTGTTCCTCAGTTTAATATGATAAATTATAGATTTGGACATATTTTTGGACCCTTAATTTTACCTGGAAAGTTTGGAAAAGGAAACAACTATAGAAGATTTCCAGCAACAAATGATGAAGCAGGACGTTTATGATGGTTAATGATGCTCTCACAGAAAGATTCAACAACTGATTTCATGGTTTGGGCAAATGTGTCCATCTTGTGTAATCATTGACTGACTTTTTTGAACAAGCCATTTAGAGCAGCCTACAGTCCTAAGTCCTAACCGTAAGAATACCTCTTTAACCAACTTTTGGATAGCATGACCTCAGCCCAAAATTCTGATGTGTGTTTTTTTTACCTGCCTTTGTCAAAGTCTCTCTCCACTGATCCCCAACCCTCTCAAGTTTGGACTCCAAACCTCTGCCTGCCTTTTTAGATGTTTATGTCGCCACTGCAATCACAGCGGTGCTTTAGACACAGCTGAAGAAAAAGCTGTTTAATGACTGGTCGTCATAACAACAACTTTTCATACTGACACTTGAGAGAAGCCAGACGGTGTGTTTGGCTGATAAATATGACAGTGTTATGAACTGGGACGTCTCTGCCCTGAGCTGAGCTGTGCCGTTGACTTCAGTGAAAGAGGTCTTCTTCATACTGAAGGAGTGATTGTAGACACCATGATGTCACCTCTGATTTTTGAGCTGCCATGGGTTTTATTTTGAGTCAGGAGTGACCATAATAGGAAGAGAAAGTGGATCTGAACAGGAGTCGAGGTTGGCAAAAGCTGAGTCAAAGTCAGACCATTTATGTGTAAGGCTAATTCAAAAGCTGGCGAGTGTTTGTTGATGCATGCTGTCTGTCAGTATATTAGTTTCAAGTGGTGATTGTTAGTGGGAATCATTTATTGGACTAAAGATGCCAAGACAGCTTGTGTAAGGTGCCCAGTTTGTTTCTCACTCTCACATATTTCGGGTGAAAGAGGAGGCAGTGATTGAGAGTACAGACTCAGGGATCTCAGAGTTTTCTCATCACTGCTGGTCATCCTCTTTTCTGCAGGGAAAGCCAACAAGAATCCCCATGTTAGTGCTGAGGCTGCCTCAGATTAATCAGTAAGCAAGAAAAAACAAAGAGCTAAGAAGCTAGGAATGGTGTGTATGCTAATACTAGAATATAACCAAGAAGAATAGAGCACCAGGTTCTTTGAGGGCCTCTACTTCCATCAAATTATAGTCCAAGTAGGGCTGGGCGATGTGGGAAAAGGTTCATTACGCTATATTTTTTTTCGTATCAGTCGATATCGATATATATCACGATATAAAAATGAAATTAAACAGTGCTTATTGGTAGCATGTCGTTGTTGTAAGGCGTTGCGCTAGAGAAAACGTAGTAAATGGTCATCTGTTTTCGGAGTTCAAATGCTATGGTTGCATGTAGCTGCAGCCTGCTACTATGCAGTTGTTTGCTATTTGGTTCTAATTCGGCACATGACTGGTTCAGTGCTAAGCGGACCCGCAGAAACTCCCCTTTTCATTGGCTATTCATAAAGTCTACCAAAACATGGCAGAATGCCAACTATCAAAAAAGCATATTGACCATGTTTTATATTGATATTGAGGGAAATGAATTTTCGATATATATCGTTTTATCGCCCAGCCCTAAGTCCAAGTCATATGGTTTTCACAATGTTAATGTAAACTTTTGAAATGCACAAATGCCACTGAGCCATAAAGGCAAGGTCAAAGGGTAAGTTAGCTACCTCTCACAAAACACAGCCATGCACCTTCACTGTGATATCTATTGTGAGTATTTTATTTACAGGTGACTCACAGGAGATTTTGCCCCGGTTAAAGTCATTACCAGGATATAAACATTCATATTCCAGCTGCAAATTTGGGAGGTCATTGTGGATCGATAGTTTCAACTCTGTTTACACATAAAATATTCACATTACATCAGATGCTTCTCCATCAACGGTCAGAGGGGAGAGATTTTTCACCAAAAAAATCCTTGGGTATGTCGAGGATAGATAAGCAGGGCTTCTTTGTCCACAGGGGACACCAACAGGAGCTTTGAAGCGGATCAATATTTGCATTAAACCAACAGCTCGTTGGTGTCTGAACAGTTTGACGATTAATTTGTGCAGCACATACTAGTTACTTCCCCGTATTCATTTCCTGACATCAAGAGTGTTATTCAATGCTCAGGTTACGATAAAAGCTCTCTCTGCTGGATCAGATGTAAAGTTACGTTAGACAGCCCGCTGAGAAACTGTTTATTTGAATCTGAACAGCTCATTACGGTTTGAACATGAACTGTACCCCCAGGCTGGAGTGAAAGCTCAGATATTGGATAAAAAGTGACAACCCAGACAGACCTCCGTTAAAGTTTATCCCCTCACTTTTCTCAATAGTCCTTTTACTGCCATTATGTTGCTCTGTTCTCATTTAGTTTAATTATTGCAAAATCTGCGAAAGCTGATTTGCAGCACTTTCTTTTGACCTGAAATTTTCAATCGTGACACTGACAGCAGTGCTGATGTTCAACCATCTTAGTTCACCATCTTACAAGCTTGCATGTAGGTATTTTCTTTGATGCAGTTTTGGGCCACTTATCAAAATTTGTAGCTTCGGGAGGAAAGTTTTGACAATTGCTTTGTAGAAATCCTGATCATTTTCAGACAAACCTCTGTATCGTCTGCTTGACATTTCACTGAGAACGACTGTTTTGAGTCTCGGTCAGTCAGTGTCACTAGAGGAAAGGTTAGAGGATGAGCAGAGCTGTTGAAACAGAGATAAAGCTGAGCTGCTCTGAAATTACAACAAACCAGTGGAAACTACAGCAGGTCATCTGTCAGACTGTTTGCCCCAGATTATACTGATCAGATATCGATCCTGAGTATTGATCCGGACTTTGGAAGTGATGGAAACACGCACACACTCGCTGTTGTTGTAGGAGGACAGAGAGGGAGTGTTTAACATTGATTTGTTGATTTGATGAGGGTAATGGAAAATATGCATGACTCTGCTCAACCCGGATGACACACACACACACACACACACACACACACACACACACACACAGAGTGATGTGTAAACATCCTCTGAGTGGAGGAGGACCAGAGGCTCAGAGCTGTGAGTTCAGCTCCCTGTTGAATAGAAACTTCGGAAAATCCCCCACTGTGGCTCCTCGCCGAGGTGTTAAAGTCGTGGAGAAGATTTGATAAGGACTCATGCCATAGATTTTTAGAATAACTGATGAAAGTGTCGATCTTATTGGATGCCTCTGTTGTTATTCTACTGTTGTTTTATTCCCAGAATCAGGATTTGTCTGTGGTGTTAATTTGGCTAAAATTCAGCTTCAGTTAAAACTGTTCAGATTCATTTGACTCATTTTCTTTAGACACTTTTGCATCAAGTAAGAGCAGGGCTTTGAGTGCTCCAGAATGCAGCACCAGGACTTTTTTAGAGTATTGGGACTTCTTACCAGCCTAAACTTCTCTTCCTTTCCTCTCCATATTAAAGTAACACCTAAAGAACATCACTCATGGTACAATAAGTGATGCTCATGTCCATTCACCAATGTTATGGCGCCTGCCCTTGGTGCATTCTAAACAAAAGTACACAGAACTTCTGGTTTCAAGCCCTCCTCTACAGGTAATTGAATGGTTCCTGCAGGGCACTGTTGTCTGTATTTCCTTGGCAGCCTTAAGCCCCATGAAGGTCTTACAAACCAGGTAAACAGAGAGCTACTCCAAAACAATTTTTTAAGCAAATTAAGTCACTTGCATATCTCTTTATTCTTCCTCTAATTTCTGCATAAACAAAGTTTCACAAATCCTGTTGGCAGCAGGCAAGCTGTTTTAATGCTGTGTGTCTGTCTGTAGATTAAGCACCTGGTTTTCATGTGGATGAGATTGTCCCTAATATGGAAACAGTTGATGTAAAGGTGAGTCACATAGTAGAGGTTGAAGTTATACTGGTTGAATAACATTTGTGAGATATCATCCCTTGCTCTTGTAAATCCTAATGGCATTTTTCACTGTATGTAAATCAAGCAACCCTTTCTTCATGTAAATGAATCTGTCTTTAGGTTTCTGGACCTTTGGTCAGTACTGCCCATGTTGAGTTCCCTAAGAACTAAATTGAGACCCTGGTTCCTGCTCTTGAAAGGCTATGGTGTTCCCAGTTCATGGTGAAACCAAGATATGAACACATTATGTACATTTAGGTTATCTTTTGCTCTTTGATGTCTACTACAATCATGAT